GTAGGCCATAATTGTGCACAGATTTTGATTTGGAGTTGCTGCTGCTGCCGATGCCGCTGCAAGTAGTAGCCGAGAGTGCGCACAGTGCAACACCGCTGTCTTGCCTTGCCCCTGGCCACATCAGCGCGCAACATACATAGCTGTAAAACAAGTAAGAATGTTCTTGACAAGGCTGACCGACTGGACTATACCCTGTACGCATTGGAGGCAAAATATTTTTTCAATCAAGAGAAACAAACATCCAGACGACTCACAAATTTCCTTAGATCATACAATATGTTTCCAATGTTCTATGGAATATTTATTTTGTAAACTCAAATTAAACTATATATTTATCGCTTGACGTGTTTCTTTGATTAATTTTGAAATTTTAGAAATACCTGCAATGAATGTTAGACGAAATATTCTTATTTTATTTGTTTAATTTTAAATATTTAATTTAAACAGTGCCTCTTAACTTTATTTTATTTTATTTGTAACTTTAATTTTAAGTTTAAGTACTTTCTTTTAATTGAATATAATTGCCCATTTTAATTTCAATGTTTTACGTACTTTTAGACCATATTAAAATATATATTATCTGTTCTAATATATACTACAAATCTAAGAAAAAAAACTATCAATTATATGTGGTATTTAAAATCAATATTTAAAATCATCTACTCATTATCATATTATGTTTTCAATCAAGTCAACTTCTACTTAACTCAGCCTTAAAATAAACTTTATGTGGTTGGAGTCCTCATTTTCTGTTGGTGGCATGTGCACAAAGTCATCATGCCCTTCTGCAACTCATGGGTAATGGGTATAAAGCCAAAGTGTAGAGTACCTGGCCCATAGCTCTCGGCCATGCACGAAGGCGCAACACTTGAGCGTTGCACGGGCTGCAGGACTGCTGCAACAGCAACAGCCACAGCTACAGCAGCGACAGCAACAACCTGTTTCGTGGGAACATTGCCTACTCTGGGCTTAACTCCACCTCTGACTCCGACTTCGACGCAGACTGTGGCACGGCGAGCTCAAGCTGCGGCTCGCGCTCAACTCTGGCAAACGTTCGCCTGACCATTGGGTCTCTCTACGTCTTTGACTCTGACTGTGGCCAGACTAGCAAACTGCCAAACTGACTGCCTGACTGACGAACTGGCCAAGCTTGAACCCGCTGCTGCTGCCGTTGCTGCTGCTGCTCATAAATGAAACCTGTTAAATGAATGAAATAAAGTGTTATTTGCTCGGCTCACAAATGTTTCGTTGGCCATCGAGTTCTTTTTATTTTTTTTTTTTTTTTGGTGCTGGCTGCTTGGATTATGCGAGCTACAATCTTCGCTCTAACTCAGTATGTGTAACAGCATGTGTGTGTGTGTTTGTGTGTGTGTTTTATGTGCTTGCTGTGCTCCGGTTGTTGGACTTTGCAAGCTTTGGAACGCAGCCTCAGCCTCAACATGCCGCAATCTGTACGAAGTTTAATTTGATTTCTTATGAGCAGCCCTGCTCCTGCATACAAACACAAATACAGATATACACCCACAGAGAGAGAAAACTCAAGTATATATGCTATTATTAAGCTAAAAGTAAGTAAGTAGAGTCGACTATTTTACTACTAACCTTCCCTTGCATCAATTTCTTTCAAGTATTTTAGCAAAATAATTGAACACGATTTGACTTAAAACCGATACTACAACCTAACTTAACCATATTTTAATTAATTTTAATATATTTCATTCCAGAGCACACATCAACAAAATTTTTGTAGAACATTTTTTGCTCAGTGTATGTGCGGACATGTGTATTTACAAATCTGTGTGAGTGACTTGTAAATTTTTGATTCTGTTCGCTTTTATTGTTTTTGTTGCTGTTGCTGACCGCCGTTTTTTTTTTTTTTTTTTTTTGGTGTGTGTGTGTTTTGTTTTTGTTTACCTACAGTAGTTGTAGCTGCATGTTTTTGTTGTTTTTCAAGTTGGTCTTCAACTTGAGTTTTATTTTTAACTTAATTTCTTGCCCGGCCAGCCGTCACTCGTCCATGCGTAATTCATATTTTACTTAAGCCAAACCCAGTTCTGAAGGCACATAATTCGCAACTTTGGATCCCTGTCCTACCATATAATTTGTGGCAACAACAAATTCTGTTCGTGTTGATCTCCCTCCCAAAAACAAAAAAAGACGAAGCACAGAGATGGAAACAAAAATAATGCCACGGCGTAATTGCCATTGCCCGGCTTTAGTCCAATAAATGTGGGCTTTACATCATTTAGAGTCACTCCGCAGTCGTTTATTATTTCATTCGTCTCAGGCAGCTGATGCGCGGATTTACATTTTATTGTGTATGTTTTAAGTTGAAATTATACTTAAATATTTCACTTCCCTTTCGCGATCTCTCTCTCTCTCTCTCTCTCTCTCTATCTCTTGGCCAGCTGTTAAAATGTTGGCTTAATTCGACAATTTAATTTGGGCTTTTGCCCGCTAAATACGAACCCAATCTTGAGCAGAAGCAAAGGTAATTCGTTGAGCTTATGTGAAATGAGGAAGCTGCTCCAAATGGGGGGCGTGTTCGCATCTCGCATCTCGTGTACAGCAATTTTTTTTGGTGAACACTTTTGTATTCGGCTTTTTTTTTTGAGCAAAATAAATTGGTAAGGGAATTTTGCGATTAAAAACCCGATCAGATTAAAAACCGGATCAATTTAACAAAACTGACATATTAAACAACTATTTTAGATATATGATAACTAAAGAAAAATGATATAATTTCATTGAATTTATGTATTGTCGCAACATGCTTTTATTTGATATTGCAATTCACGATTTCATTCATTATATACAATTGTTCTTTGACTCGTTCAAAAAAGTACCTCAAAATTTATTGGGATGGTTTTCTTACAGTTAAACTGTATAGCTCAATGAAATTATTCGCTTGAGCGCTTTTTGGTATAAAACTAGAATTTGTTCATCAATCTTTTTGTGTTTATTCCTAATTCATCTTTACACACATATAATTCTAGTTCATTATAATTTTAGAAACTACTTTACGATTTCGAAAATTATACCCTCCTTCTAATACAATATTGTTTACTGCATAGTCCCATTTTTATTTAAATTTAATTCAACTCCATAAATATTACAATCATCAACAGCTAAAGAATAATACCCATAGACTATAAACCCATAAACGAAACAGAATTTTATTAATTTAACTAATCGCAGCCAAAATCTTCGGTCTGGCCTTTGTCAATTAAAAATCATTAAATCAGAAGCTGTTTTGGTTGCAGATTTGTTCTGATTATTGCCGAGTGAAATTAATTGTTCATGGATGGCATTATTTGGTAAATTATTCAACTATGTAGATTTCCAATTTCATAGTTAACCACTTCACATTAAAATAAAAATAAATTTATATGCTTTGTATGGGTTGGGAGCCACCTCGACCTCTTTTGACCGAAGCGCAACTAATTTTTGTTGAATCTTATAAATAAAGATCTTTGGCCGCAGCTGATATTAATCAAGCAACAAAATGAGCGTTACTTTTTTTATGTTTTCCATTTAATTTTTCTAATCAAAAATATTCGGAGCAGTAGCAAAAGATTCAGATTGGGTTTTACGTTTCCTATTGCGATTGAAGCTTTGTGTTCTACTTCTCGTTAGATTTCAAATACTCGTATACTGAAAGAAAAGTTTCTACATAAATAAAACAAGAAGGTAAAACGTAAGTAAAGGTAGTCAATTTTTTTTTTAATTTCTAGAGCTTATATTTTTTTAAGTGTTGGGGAGGGACAGGCCGCAGCCAGGGCGCCAAGCATTTTAGTTCCACGTTAGGTACGCAGACAAGGCCACACTTGGAAATCCGAAAAACTATCTGTTTAAAAAAAAAAGAAGGAATTGATGACTAACGGAACCGTTTACATTTTACGTTCCCATGAAAAAAAAAAATTTAATTTGATTGCCGTTTTTATGTCTTCATTAGCAAAATGCTACAAAAGTAATAAATTAGAGATTGCGGCCGCTCGAGAACGGTTAGAGGTATATGGGTGTGTATATGTGTGTGTGTGTGAGTGTGTTCATATATGTGTGTGCATGTAGACCACTGTAAAAGATTAACGCTTTATTAATGAGCTCGATTATTCATAATAAGTATATATATATACATATGTTTTTTTCGTAATCATATTTTCGCACTCCTCCCTCTCTCTGTCTCTCACGCTCGCTCTCTATCTCTCTGTCTATCTTTATTGAAACATTTTGCGGCTTCATTCAATGCTAATTCGACTTTATGCAATTGGATTTTAAGATCATTAAGAGCGAGCACAACATGGACATGGACATAGACGTGGACATCTTAACATGCGCTTCCTTCTGCTGCCATTATTGATGAAGCAGCTCCAACAACAGAGTGTGTGTGTGTGTGTTTTGATGTGTGTGTGTCTGTGACTTTGTCTGCACATTTGTTGCACGCAGCTCGTCAATCAATTGACCAAAGCCAGTCCGCAACCGGTTTGTGGTCCACTTGCAATGCACTCTTCATTTCTTTTTAATTTGAGTATACCCTATAAATGGTTGGTATACTTAACTCAAGGATGCAGCTCCCATTCTGGGCGCCACTGAAAATTCGAACCAAAAGTGGTAAAGTGGTTGTATGCAAGTAAGCTTGACTTAAATTACATTATATGACTTTAAATTTTTTAAATATCTTTCACTTATTTAAGCTGTAAATTGATATTCCAAAGCTTTTGCTTGCTTTAGTAAATTAAGTTGATGGGGAGAAATCACCATTAATCGTCATCATTTACTATGTTATATATATATATATATATATATATATATATATATATTTGCTCTGTGATTTTACGCCACACTTAATAATCAATATAAATAAAATAAAAATGGGTGTTTTTTTAAATCATAAAAATAGCGATAAGAGATTGCCAAACGTTATTCAGCGTTGAATTTCATCTATAAAGAAACAGAATTTATTTTAAAATCCATTAGTCGTCGTTCAGTCGTCGCAGCAAAATGTTTAAATCGTCAACAGTTTTAATCGCGGTTTTGCTTAGCTTATTGGCAGGCAGCATTTATTGCTCGTTATCAAGTGAGTTTGATAATCCGATGCTGGGTGATGTGAAAAATATTATATTATTACAGTAACCTGTCAGAAGGACGAGGAACAGGTATATGTTAAGATTGGCCACAAACACTACTTCATATGGCACACGAAGGTGACCTGGCTTGAGGCCGTACACTTATGCCGGCGATTTGGCGGAGATTTGGTTTTAATCGAATCCGCCGAGGAGCTGGAATCGATTTCCAACTATCTGATCAAACACGGCTATGATCATACCGCTTGGCTTTGGACATCGGGCAACGATCTGGTCTCGCATCGTCAATTTAAGTCCATCAATAACGGAATGCCACTGCCATATACTAGCTGGTCAAGCGGGCAGCCGGACAATGCCGGTGGCAATGAGCACTGCGTCCATTTGTGGTTCAACAATCGTAAGTCTTTCCAAATGAACGACTGGATATGCCATGAAAAGGCCCAAGCCATTTGTCAGAACCAGAATCATACCCGCTGTTACGAATCTTATCACTAATGCCCCTGATAACCTTAACACTGTCTGATCTATATAAATAAGTGTAGATTAAAATACCACTTTTTGTTGTCAAAAGCAAACTAAAAAACGATTTTCGCTTGCTTGTTTAATTAACTTAAATCGATTTGAAAATCAACACATTATTTATATTAAATATTATGTGAGACTTAAAATTTGGAATGTCAGTTCTCATTTACCATACACAAATAAGGTATACTTTATTTTATCGATAAGAACCGATCATCAACTTTTGAAATTTTGTCAATCTTATAGGAAACACATATCTTGAACATATGTATATGCTTAACTGTGAGAAGCGAGCAATATGACAAGCTAAGCGAACTGAAATATACTTATGTATATATCGAGAAATCTGTGATAGAGTGGATTTGAGTATGCAAAGGTGTTTTAAGCGATTCAATATATTTCACAGCCTGGCTTCAGAGCATCACCAAGTCGATATCTGTTGCGACAGCTAGGCTTTTTTGTGATATTATCTAAGCATGTGTTGATTTTTCCTGCTCAGCGTCGCTTTTCCAACTGTCAACAATGGCGGAGAGCCGTCGAATGATTCGCAGATTCTGTTTGACAGTCGATCCGGTTTTTCATTAATGAACATGAGAGAGGCTGCAGAACACACGCACTGAAAGCGACAGCCCGACAACGGCTATGGCCATTTGATTTATAGGCATATAGGTCTAGTTAAGGGGTTGCACAAGACACTGAAGAAATCGACACAAACATATATATATGTATATACAAGTATGTATATTGGGCTTAGTCAGTCAGTTGGCCAGTTGGACTCTCCAGTTGGGCTCCAGGGCGCCCTAATGAAGATAATTTATTATGCGATGCCGTTTAATTAAAATCAGATAACTGAAGATCGTTTGCTTGTGCTCAACTCGACTCAACTCGACAAAACTCAACTCGACTCCTTCCAAGACGTATGTAAGACGATCCATTTGGGCTGCTGAGCTTCAACCGTTTCAACCGTTTCGGCAATAACAGACATTGTCATCTTCTCTTAACATTCCCTGGACTGGCCAGAAGCGCTGAAGAAATGCTGACATTTGCTACACTGCGAAAAAAATATCCTTAAAATCGTTACCTTAAAGTATCAAAAGAAAACAACAAATTTTTAACTAAAACTGTCTTTAAAGATATTGTTTAAAAAACCAGTCAATCTGCCTAAAAACTAAAGTTAACATAGAGTTCCCGAATTACAACATTAAGGCAGCGAAAAATAGGTTAAAATTATTATACAAAAAATTATGTATTGTGGCCAAACAATAAACAATAAAAAACTTTATTTCGTAACAAAATTTTGTTGACTATCTCAAGGCTCCCAAGATGTCTTTTAAATATGAAAACAATTTTGTTGTTACCAAAAATGTTCCTAATTTTCAACAAACCACAAACTCTAAGTAAGAAACTTTATTCAACAGCAATTAGGACCGATTGAGATCAGCGACTTCGGTTTTCCTTTAAATTGTAGACTATTTTGATTTTTCTGGGTGTAGTTCTGGTTGATGCTCTCGCTGTGGTTGTTGTTGGTATTGTTAATTTCCCAGGCGCAGGGCAACAAGATTTCGCGTTAAGTTCAACAACTTAAGCAACAAAACTGTTGCCGGTCGTCGTCGTCTTCTTCTTCTTCCTCTTCTTCAACATCGCCGGTGGCAGCTGCGACTGCCCCTTTTTTTGTCGATTGCCATACATGATTGCCATTGGTTCCTTATCAGGATCTTGTTTGGGCCATCTCGACTCTTTGACTTTTAATGCCGGCCTTCATTATCAACATTGCCGGGCCATATGCAAATGATTTTTAATTGTGTGGCTGGCTTGTTAAGCCTGCGGAAATCTCTATTTAAACGCTTGTCGCAACGTCAGTAACGACTAAATGACGTCTTAAGTATCTGGACCACACACAGAAAGCAGCTCCAGCTCATTTTGACCAGCTGATGAGTCACAATGTGCCCACAAAACTGCTCTTGGCTATTTTCAAGAATTACACTCAGCGAAAACAAAGCTTACATTAAAAAAAAAACAATTTAATTCAATAATCTGCGCTTCGAGCCATTTATAAATCATTCTTTATTTGTTTATTGAACTTTTTTGTTTCGTAAATGAGAATAAAAATAAAATATGTGTAGGAAGTCTTGATTAATTCTTAATTTAAGTTAAGTTTTAGTGCATTTTATTTGAACTTTATTAAAGTTGCATTATGTACTTGAACTTCTATACTAAATATCTTTCTCAAGTTTTAAGATCTGAGAAATATCTGACAAAGTAATTTCCCCCGATTTTGCATTTTTTCTGAGTGTAACGAACACATCATAAATATTAATTAAACCATGGTGCAAATTTGTAAGCGCCCATTTTTGGCACTTTCTTGCAATTTACATAGATACAGCGCTCGAGGGGATTTCTCTCGAACAAGCGCCGCTCAAATGTTCACTTGGCTTCAGTTAGGAGGCGGAGCATCTACTACAATGTGTGTGCTGGCATTTGTCTAGCGGCCATTTAAGAGCGGAAAAACTGTAAAGCCGAAGAGCGCAGCAAGATTTGCTCTTCAGCCACAAGACTCAAGCTTTGGCGCTTTGGCTTTTATGGAGCGAGAGAGAGAGAGACACACACAGCGGGAGTGAAGGAGAGTGCGCTCGCATAATTAAACTCGCTTTGTAAATGCAGCTCTAAAATCAATCACAGGTGCAGCAGCAGTTGACGATCACAGTTTGTGAGTAACTGGGAATGGCAACAAGTTTCCTTGCATGGTCGAACATGTCATAAATCAAGAGCCGGCAAGAGTGTGAAATTTTTAGCAGCCAACTTTATGTGTGTCGGGCGCATTTTTAGCCATTTATGACTTAATTTCAATTACACGTATTTGGCCAAATTATTTGTTGACACTTTTAGGCCAATTAAAATGGTAACACGTGCAAACAACACGTCCAAAAGATGCTAAGAGACTTTAATTAAATTGAGTGCAAAAGCAGCAATAGCAACATTTTGACAAACGCTTAATATTCGATATTATCGATATTATCGCTAACGAGATCCATTTTTTTGAGTTTAATATAAAAAATATGATCTTAAGCCGTAGTCGACATTTATTTGTAGTTCAAATAAGCCAAAACCTTGACTAGCAAAAACAGAAAAAATTAAATTATTTATTATACAAATTGACCAGTGATAAATGTTTAAATAATTTTCTTGGTATTGACAAATATTAATAAATTGATAGCCAAAACTGTAATTTAAATGATTTTATTCTTATTATTTTTATAATCATTTATTAACTTTTTTAGCTTAAAATAGTTTTTGTCCCTCGTTTAAAATAGTCACACAATTAATTTATTGTCAAGCCCGTATATACACTCAAAAAAAGGTAAATATCAAAATTATGTTTTATATATTATTGTATGAAAAATAAATACATAGTATTTTTTGAATAAAGTCGTAGTTTTGTTCATTATTATTGAGAATATAATTGAAGCTTACTTTCAGTTACTAATATTCAGTGATTATTGTTTAAGAGCCAAGAAGGCCCAATTTGTGTTTAAGTGTGTCACTTAATTTATTACTATCTATTTTTTGCAATATTTTTGATAGTCGACAGTTTAAATTTTGTCAAATTGCCGCTACTTTAACCAAATTGGTTCTTGTACATTTGATAGAGGCACACCTTGCGCTTGGCTGCTGCACAGTTGAACGTGCAAGGTGCAGCAGAGATCGGGTCCATTTGCGGCGGACAACGCCCATCAGAGCCCTCAAAGCTATGCCCAGCAAAACGGAGGCATCGATTTTAGAAAGTCTGTGCAAGAAATTCAATCGCTGCGCTTAAAACGGTAAAGCCGAAAACGAAGCCAAAGCCTTTTTCTTTTGCAGCAACAGGAGCGGAAAACCAAAGTCGCTAAATCTTATGTATACATACATATATGTATGTATATATACATATATATATATATATATAAATATATATATATAGGTATATAACTTATTGCAGACATTTGGCCTTTTATTAATTGTTTGACGGCGCCCGTGCCCATGAAGCTGCTACTCTCCCAGAACCCCACCGCAACCGCATCGGGCACAGAGATTTTTTTTTTTGTGCTCACTTCTGTGGCTCAGTGTCTGGGGCGTGATGAGAAATTTAATATTGGCAAACGGATAAAACCGCCAGATAATTATACATTTTGAGTGGCCCAAGCTGCTGCCCCGCAAAGGGGCTATGTATTTGGCCGACTGGCGCTGGCTTACTGGCCACCAGTTTTGCAGTTGCCAGTTGCCTGTTGCCCGCTGCCAGTTTGCAGTTTGCAGTTCATGCTGCTCATGATAGTATAAGATTTCATTTCATTAAAGTGCATCACGACGGACGACAGACGGCTGGCGGAATCAATGAGCGGACCGCTACATAGTTCAGACGCTACAGTCATTGCAGACCCCTCAACCCTCTTGCTACCACCTTGCCTACACTTGGAAAAATGACTTAATTTTAAAAGCTTAAATTACATCAAATAAATTTGTGAAGTGCACACATTTTGCATTTTAAAATCATTCTTATCATTAATTTGTTAATAGATATTTGTAAGACTTAAGAAGAAAGAAATTTTAGATATGTAAGAAATAAGAATGGTATTTCTCAAAAGTACTTATGTTCCTATTTTAAATTAAATTGGTTTTTTACTCCAGAAGCTATTTTTCCGCTTCATAATTGAGACAATTTTCCAAGGCTTTCTATGGCATCTTTTTCTGCAAGTGTAGCCAAAAGCAGCTACCAAGCAAGCTAAGCCGAAACCTTCCTTACTTTTCTTCTTATTGGCAGATTACGGCAGCGGGGTGGCCAGTCCGAGCCAACTTATAATCAAATCCGATAAAAAATTTCATTATTGCTCCACAGCAGCAGCAGCAGCAACAACAACAACAACAACAGCAGCAGCAGCAGCGCCCATAACTGTTTTGCAGGTAATCTTTGTAGTTGCTGTTGTTGTTATGATTGTTGCTGGCTGCACTTAATTTTCGCATGCGCACTCCGCAACTCATGATCGCGATTTCTTCGGTCCGTTCCCTTTCCGTTTCAGCAGCAGCAGCAGCGGCGACCGACGCCATTTTGAGCTTTAGTTCTCAGCGACTGCCACAGTCTGCAGTCTGGGGTCAGAAATAGAAAGAAGCTTTGATTTGAAATAGATGTTGCCATTGTTGTTGTTGTTGTTTGTGTTGTGTTGTGTTGTTGTTGATGCTGCTTCTATTGCTCTAGCAACATAAATTGGGACGTGATTATGAAATAATTGCAAATCTCATTGTAGCTTTGTACTCTGGACTTGCGCAATGTATTCCAAACAAATTGTAAAAGCCAATCAGTCGCCAGTTGATTTAAGATCAGCTGGCTCATCACGATGAGAACGCACCAAGGCAACAACAAGCGCAACACCTTGGGGACCTTGACACGAACAGGAGCAATGACAGGCGACAGTCGACAGTCGATTTGACGCCATTGACAGCCATATCACAGCTGCAGCAACAGCAACAGCAGAAACAGTCGCTGTGGGAGAACAAAAAATAAATAAAAAGAAGAACCATCGATTCTCCATTCACAATAGTTTTGCGTATTTTGTGTAGAGTTTTACCGGATGTGGAAACGGACTGAAAAGGCGTGGAAACCAACTAACATGAGATTTAAAACACTTGATTATCTCAAAAATATATAGTAGAAACATAAAAATAAAATAAATAATTGTAATGCATTGGTCTTCTATTACATTAGTTTTTCAGAATGAGCTTCGCAGAAATAATAATGATTCACACCACAGTTACTTTTAGCCCATTTTCATCAGGGCATTAAAAAACGGCAATGCCAGCCATATTAAAGGCCAGTCTGCTCAATATAAAACACCTGATCAAGAAGAGAACAGCAGCAACAGCAGCGACGACTCCTACAAGTAATTTGCATTTGGCCGCCGGCTCGAAGACTGTGCGTCATATTGTATTATGGGTGATCTGGCTGAGTGAGATTCACGTTTTCGACTCATCTCGGATCGGCTACTGCTCGTTTGTCCACACACATACGCAAATGAAATATAATTTCAACACTCGCATTTCTGTTGATTCCGCCCTTTTTTGATGGTACGTTCAATAATTTACATGGGGTTAACACGCAACAAGCTGAACACAGGCCGCAGACTGGCCTTGATTATCTCACCGTAAATCGAATGCACGCACACAGTGCAACAACAACAATTGTTGCAACAACAGGAGCAGCAGCAGCATCAGCAGCAGACAAAAAATAAACAACGCATCAACTTTTGTAAAGGTACAGAGAGAGAAAAAAGAAAAAACCAAAGAATTTCTATTGCTGCGTTGAATGTTGAAATATAGCCAAATCATGGCTTTGAAGTAAATAAATTTCCACGCCACCGCTCGCCGTGACCGCTGAACTTCTGACGAAGACTTAGAGTGGGGCCCAGGAGCAGGAGCAGCATCTGAAGCTGATGCTGAAGCGGCAGCCCAAAAAAATACCTGGGCCCGTGTATAAATAAGTAACCTGAGCTGCGCAACACGTTGCCTGACAGCCCAAAAACGGCACACGGCTCTCGGGCTGTGGGCTCTCGGTTCGTTTCGCTTCGGATCGGATTGGAACTTGTTTAGATGCCGCTGCAGAAGCTGCCTGCCCCCTTTTGCTGCAGATTGCAAGCGGTTCGCGTGTCCGCCTGGCGGCTTTTTGATTTATTTGCGATTTATGCACTTGGCTGCCGCTGTCAGTTTCAGCCCAGCTGCCGACTCCGCATCGAATTGGTGATGCAGCTAGGGTTGGGAATTGGAATGGGGGTGGGGGTGGAGGTGGGGATGGAGAGTTGCCACATTCGCACATCCACTTGACCGATTTCCATGCAAAGACTGGAATGTCAGAGACTGCATGTCACGGGCTCTCGTTGTCAACTCCATTTTTTGTTCATGTCATATCCGACTTTTTAGAATATGCATCAAATCTAGCCTTTTATTGTGCGGAAAACCAAAAAAAAATACATATATATATATAGAGCAAAGAGGAAACATTAACACATTGAAATATTTGTCATATATATATATACAAATATATATAAGCATATCCATTAAAAATGTTTTTTCATCTACATGCTTCACGAGTTTATTTTTAAATGTACATATTTCTACACCTGTCCTTTCATTACAAACAGTTTTAAAGCGCATAACATCATTATGATTCTCGTAGCAATTGTTTTTATTAAAAATATGGCTGATAACAGACAACAAAAAAAATTTGCTAATTGTTTATTCTATTTTCGATGTAAGACTTGTTAACTGTTGTTTTGCTCAACAAATCTGTTTATTCTGAAACATATAATACAAGAATAAATACTATAGACCCAGGATATACAAAGACAATCTAAAGACATAATCATGTAGATGTATATATGGATTTACTATAGTTTAGACTCGAAAGGCATTGAAAATTTGATTACGCTACGCGTTTTATAACTGGTATTTTGTGTGTGTGTGTGTTGGAAAGCATTTGAAGTTGTTACTGAGTGTGTTTCTGGGTGTGTGTGTGTGTACGGATCGTTGTCAAGTGATTATGAGCTTGATAAGACGAGAACACAGCTAAGAGAGAGGGCTAAGCGCTTTTGGGCGCCTTGTTGGCAAAGAACCACATCAGTCCCATCAGGCAGCTGGGCGGACTGTTGTTGACGGCGCCCTGCTGCACCATCTGCCTGCCCTCGTCCAAGGAGAGTTCGACCACCTCAATTAATTCATCGCCGACGCCGCCGCCGCTGTTGGCTTTGTCGTCATCCGTCACCTCGCAATAGTACATGGCCTGCTTGGCACCCGATGAGCCAACGCCAGATCTAAAAATCAGATGGTAAGAAATGTGCGTTTGGGATTTGCGAGCACGTACCTATAGACCATAACTTGCTCAATGCGCTCCACGGGCACATCGTAGCCGCATTCCTCGACCATCTCTTCGCGTGCGATTTCCGCCCAGCTCTTTGACTTATCCACAATGCCGGCGCACAGTTCCAAGGTCACGCCAATGGCTGGGGGAAAGGCCGCCAGATCGACCTTGTCAAAAGTGCCCTTTTCGCTGGTTATCACCCCATGATAGACGGCCGGTCGGAATTGACGGACAAGCACCAGTTTTTGTCGGCTGGTGTTGTACAATACTATTGCGACGCTGTCGTGCACTTTCAGCAGATCCCAGTTCTTTTCCACGCCATTCTGCACGTAATACATGCGAAATGGCTTCACGTATGGCGAATCCTCGGGCAACTTACCGACCCAGACCTTTGTAATGTTCTCCATCTCCGAGCAAATCAGACTGTCAACTACAGCTGTTGACGGCGAGGAGCACAACTGACAGCCAATGCTTTATTTGACATTTGACAGCTAACAACAACATGGTCACATTGAGCATTTGAAAGTATGTATTACTGGGTCAAAAACTAACGAATAACTCTTAGGTGTATCTATTGAAGCTGTTTTAATTTATCACGAGCTGGTCTATCAGCCATATCTCTGTTATATATTTCAATTAAAGACAATCTAATAGCTGATAACGACCATATCAACTGACAAGCTAGATAAGACAGTTTTTTCTTGGCGCTTATGGTTACACTGGAAATTCAAATATTTATACTTATATTTTATTGCACAAAAACCAAAGTGTAGCTATCACAGTGCTTGAGCCAGAATTGATTGTTGAGCCTGTTTGGACTAGGCCTCTAGCATCATTGATTGACAGATCCACAACCTGTATGACTTCATTCTCAATTCCCCCGCCTTCAGACACTTTTTGGGCATCACAAACTTCACAGTAGAACATTGTTATTGTGCTGCTCGAGGCGCCAACGCCGGATCTGAAATTCATGACGAACTCCAGGCAGTCAGTGGGAACATCATAGCCACATTCCTCGCACACCTCTTCTCGTGCAATGTCAGCCAAGCTTTTATCTTTGTCAACCACTCCAGCAATCGGCTCCAAAGTGAAGCCCAATTCAGGTGGAAACTTGACCAAATCAACTTCTCCCTTTTGTATTTGAAGGCTGTTACCCGTTGTTATAGAATGATACACCGCCGGTCTGAATTGGCGCACATAAATGAGCTTCTTTCGAGAAACATTATATACGATTACCAACACACTATCCAGAATTTTAAAAATATCTCGACTCTTCCTGCGTCCATTTTCAATGTAGTGCATCCGGTATGGTTTAATCCATTGTGAGTTCTTCGGCAGCGGTGTGAGCCAAACTTTAGTTATGTCACTCAACCTGTATATCAACAAATTAGCTTAGCTTAAAAATAAATAAATAAGACTCGCCTCAACTGATTGCCACAACAAAATCTCAAATTCGAGCAGCGAAAGCGACTCAAAGTCAGGGCGGCACAACATTTGAACATTATCAATTTGGCAACAATAGTAAAACTGGATGGCAACTCTCAGTCTGCTCGATTTGGTTGGTGTGTGTTGGTATAAATAGTGCTGTAAAACATGCGAAATATTCTGTCACTTATAATTAGGGGCGAGAAGACGTCGGTGTGTATTAGAATTTGTTTTTAGTTTTATTAGGTAATACCAAAATTTTAAATACGATCTTTACAATAGTAACAGCAAACGAAACATAACATAAACCGTCGAAACAATTAAGTTAAAATGCTACGCTCGAGACTAACGCAAGCTGCCTGCACCGCCAAGCGTGCACTTTCCACGACCCCCAATATGCTGGCCGTCAAGCAGATGACGGTCCGAGATGGCCTCAACAGCGCCCTGGACGATGAACTGGCACGCGATGATCGCGTCTTTCTGCTCGGCGAAGAGGTCGCCCAGTACGATGGTGCCTACAAGGTAAGTGCAACATTTGACATTGCCACTTGCCTCGACGATTACGTAAACCGAACAGTCCGTCCAACTGACAGTTCGCAACTTTAGCAAAATGACACCTGATGCTGTCGGCGGGGGTGTTGGGGGAGGCAGTAAACAGTTGTTGTTATTGTGATTGTTGCTGCTGCTGATTGCACTGTGAGCCGAGTCTTCCTGCAAATTGTGTTATTGGAAAGGTCATACTATGCTTGTTGCTATTTGACTAAATGAATAGCACACAATCGATAAACCCTGCTTTGTTTACATGCCCCCATGCAAGTGTGAAAATGTCAGCAGGTATTTAAAAATATGTCACTTATTGCAGGTGTCGCGTGGACTATGGAAGAAGTATGGAGACAAACGCATTATCGACACACCCATCACAGAAATGGGTTTCGCTGGCATTGCAGTCGGCGCTGCGATGGCCGGTCTGCGTCCTATCTGCGAGTTTATGACTTTTAACTTCTCAATGCAGGCAATCGATCATGTGAGTAGAACTTACCCTCTCTCTCTATATATATCTACATATATAGATGCACCCACACATACACACTCCTACACACATACACACACAAGCAGTAGCTTAACTACTCATATTATCTCATGAACTTTAAACAATGTGTGTCCAGCTGAATATCAATTCAAGTTTGTCGTAAAACCAGCTTCACTCAGACGTAATGGGATAATATGGGTCGTTTCAAGTTGAGCTGCTGATCTACCCGATTGAAAAGATTGATGATTGCTGTCTAATTCCACCCATATTATCCAATTATGTGCAGGCGAACACGCTTGAATCCGCCAAACGGCACAATAACCTGCTCCTGCGCCCCCTGATCCAGCGACAACCCATCGGGGATTTGCAACAGCTTCACCAGAAGATAATCGAAAGTCCACGCTCCAGCTGGCTAACGGAGATCAATGACACACTCCGAAGAGATCGCATTGGAGAGATAATTGCACCACCGTTGGACCGAAGCAAACCGGATAAAATGGAAGCGGCTCGCCTCATTGTCATTCGGCGGCGTAAGATGAAGAAGCACAAGCTAAAGAAGCTGCGCCGCAAGATGAAGTTCGAGTGGGCCAAGGTGCGACAGCGACGCGAAATGCGCAAGGAGAAGGCATTCCAGGGCCAGCTAATGGCACAGATCAAACAGGCAGAGAGTTTCAGCGCCGAACAGCATGTCGCCGAGATTCTGCGGCAGGCCAACGAGGTGCCCCTGCCACGCTACTGGAAAGGACGTCGATTGCCCGCTTTTATCATTAAGCAGAAACTAGGCATTAAGTAAAAAAGTGAATACAATAAAATGTGCGACAAACAACAACTTGAATTGATATCCAGTTGAACTTTGCTAAATTGAATACTAATCCAACTCTAAATTTGGTAAGCATGATAAAGAAAAATGTATAATTGGATTGCATATGCAAATGATAGTTTCGGCAAGGATTATTCGATTGACTTTTCAAGACTGGTCCGGGCACATTAAAATATTAAATTGAATCCCATTTGTAGGTCATCAACTCAGCCGCAAAGACATTTTATATGTCTGCAGGTGCCGTAAATGTGCCCATCGTGTTCCGTGGCCCCAATGGCGCAGCTGCTGGTGTTGCAGCCCAGCATTCGCAATGTTTTGCCGCGTGGTATGCTCATTGTCCCGGATTGAAAGTGGTATCGCCATACGACACGGAAGATGCACGTGGCCTGCTCAAGTCGGCTATAAGGGATTCCGATCCGGTCGTAGTGCTAGAGAACGAACTGATGTATGGCGTTGCATTCCCCGTCGACGATAATGTGACAGATGTGGATTTCTTGGTACCCATTGGCAAGGCAAAGATCATGAAGCCGGGCAAGGACATCACAATTGTGTCGCACTCCAAGGCTGTGGAAACGTCTCTACTTGCTGCCGCTGAATTGGCCAAGAAGGGCAAGTTAACCAAGTCAACCATAACAAGCAGAACATTATAAAAATTGATTATATATTATGTTGCAGGCATTGATGCTGAAGTCATCAACCTGCGTTCCATTCGTCCCTTGGACATGGAAACCATATTCGCTTCAGTTCGCAAAACACACCATTTGATCACCGTTGAAAACGGCTGGCCCCAACATGGTAAGTCTCACATTGAGCATCAGAGTGCCTTGAAATTCTTATATATGTTTTCTATAAACAGGCGTTGGTGCGGAAATCTGCGCTCGCTTTATGGAGGATCAGCACTTCTTTGAATTGGACGCGCCTGTTTGGCGCTGCTGTGGTGTTGATGTTCCCACGCCCTATGCGAAGACATTGGAAATTAATGCCATTCCCCAAGTGCATGATGTGTTAGCCGCTGCCCTCAAGGTGCTCGGCAGTAAAGCGGGCAAAAAGTAGACCAAAAAAAAAACGATATTAGATCAACATTTGCGTAGCAGCACAGACTGCACCTTAATTATTAATGAACAGTCCTAAATCAAGTCCAAACCGATGCGCATGTGTTGTCTCCAAATTTTACAAATAGCGCAACGAAATCGAAACGTGAAGTTATTATTGGGGATGCAACGTTTGTCCCTGTTTTCATTTAGATGGGTTCTTATTTGGTTATAGAAATCTCTGCTTTAAAATAAAACTAACATAATGTCATAAATGGAAAATTAGAATTGTTAATAAATTCGCATCATACATTTTTATTTTAAATTACAATTAGGCTCCAAAATATAGCATATTGCACATTATATTATTTTCGTGTAGAAAAATCGAATTTACATATATTTATTTTGCTGGGCATCTGTTTAAAAATCAAAATTGGCGCTCAGTGTAGTTGGTGCAGCCCTGGTACGTCGCAAGTAATTTTACAACACTGCCAGCAATCTAATTTTGTTACACAGCACTCTTGTGTTGTGTTGTTGAACAGGGGCGAAAAAGTATCAATAACAAAAACAATTATCAAATGAAAATCGACAAGGCATGTTAATTGCAATGATTTGACTGTAATGGCAAACAGCTCCAGCTCCGATGAAAGCTCCAAAGCACCAGACAACTTTCAATTATCAAGCGCATCCACAAACGACGACGACGACAACGATGCTGAAATCTGCTCTGACGGCATCAATTTTAATACAAAGAAACAACTCAATTGCGATGTGCGCGTAAAGCTAACAGCTGCTGCTGCTGCAACGGCAACTACTGCTGGAGGCGATGCCTGCAACGGACTGCGCTGTCCGCTTTGCTGCAAGCAGCAACGGCGACTGCATTGTCGCACTTGTGTTAAAAATGGCAACATTACTCACAGTGCGACGGAAACAAGCGAAAGGTTACTCATCCAACAACAGCAACAACAAAAACTATAACAAAACTAAGTTAAATATATCTCTCTCTTTTAGTCTTACGGAGAAGCAGCAAAAGTACATTAATCTACAGGCCGGCTTGAAGACGTACAGCAATCGCTATGAACATCTCATACAGCAGCACAAATCCAATGAGAATCGCATGATTGCGATACGTGCAAAACGGGAGCAGCTGCAGCTCCTCCAACAGCTGATCGGTAGCACAAGGCAGCGACTGCAATTGCTCAGTGAGCAGCGGGATGAGCTGCGCCAGGCAAATGTGAAAAAGAGCGAAAATCTGCCCAAGTATCCCACCAAGGTGAAGATGCTCGAGGATTATGTGATCGATCGTTCGATGCGCATCGATAAGCTGCGCCAGGAGCATCAGACCCTCCTGGACAGCATCAAGCAGACGGCACGCAGAGATATACAACAGCTGGTCACGTATATATTCCCCATATCGGAGGTGGTGCTACGCGACGAGCAGCAACGCAAGGTGTGCGCAGAGCGCAGTGAGGATGCTGAAACAATTGCAGCTCTAGCGGATGCAAAAAACACATCGTATATACGCGGCAAATGGGTGTTCCATGGCAGTGGCATCAGTGAGGTGCAGTATCGCATTGTGGGTCCCTCGCTGCCCGCCAACGGCGACTACTCCGCGTATCTGGACTGGCTGTCCGATAACAAGGACGATGTGCCCAAGGCGACGGCCAATGAGATAACGCCCAGTCGTTTGGAGGCGTATCGCATTGTGGGCGCCCTCACGTACACGGCACAGCTGACGCAGTTGCTCAGCTTCTATTTAAATGTGCGGCTGCCGCATAAGTTGGCCTACGGCGATTTCTGTCGCAAGCTGCTCAACGAGGAGCAGTTCCAGCGCAAGGTGTGCCGCGTCAACAACAACATCATGTATCTGGCCTACACGCAACAGGTGAAACTGCGCTCCCTCAACGAGCAGCACACGCTGGAGAACATCCTGACCATTCTCGACTTGGATCGCAGCGATCTGGGCAGATTCGGGCATTTGGATGTGACGAATGCACCGCTCGCCAAGTCGGTGGACTCGCTTCTCATTGGCATTGAGACAGCAACGGAATCGGAATCTGAAGGTTTGTATTTGGCACAATCCTAACTCAAGTTGAGATCTATTGAAATATTTAATGCTTGCAGATGAGGGCTCATTGAGGCTCGATTGGGAGGCGGTGCCCAGCGTGAGTGTGTCGCAGCCGGAGTTGACCGAGTCCATATCGATACCAGCGGTGGCCCAACAATCGACCATTGCAATGGCAGCTAATCGGATCACATCCATGCTGCGCTGGATCAAGTGAAAACCAATTTACCTGTCTATGTGTGTTAAATTCTACAAATTAGGTTAGGCGAGGATGAGGAGGAGGAAACGATGATGGATGATTGAGCGATGATTTGACACCCATATAGGTGTGTTATTTACGGCTTCTATATTGATGTGTATAGAGATTGTGTGGAGTGTGAAGACTATGCGTTTTTGTTTATAATATAACTTATTTTTTCTTTTTATTTAATAAATTTTATTCACTATAAATAACTAGATACAACTCGCGCGATTCTAAATCATCTTTCATTCAAAATACATAATTTAAGTTGGTGGACTTGGGTTTTCATGATCATAGTGAGCAATGAACAAAAATCGATTTTACACAATAAGGAAAACAATACGGAAGGGAACAGCATATCCGGCGGACACCGAGCATACCCTTTCCGATTCTCAGATTCTCCGAACTTTTAACTTACTTTAAGTGAGGCTTAATTCGTGGCAGTGATACAGACACACAATATACAAATTTACATAGTTATCATATCGATTTGAATGCCAATCCAGTTATGGAAACGGATCTAAAAACGCACGTCCTTATGAAACCTACAAACTAAACTTCCTAGTTCACCCCTTAACTGCTTAGAATAGCTTTTAGGGGGTGCGCAAAATCTATGAATAGAAACTATATGAATTTTGTGGGCAGTGGCGTCGCCGTCGTCGCCGCCGCCGCCGCTGCTGTTGTCTCGCTGATCCCATCCAGGGCGACGACCGCTGGCGGCGGGGAAGGCTTCAGAAATACTTGTGGCAGTGATGCTGTTGTTGTTGTTCCCATTCCCATTCCCGTTCCAATTGTAGCTCCTATTTGAGATGAGGCACTTGCCACATGTGCGGCCGTTATAGAGCCGCCGTTCAAGAGACCCAGCTGCGCATCGTATGCATCATAGCGCCCGGATGCGCTCATCGAGGAGAGCACCAGTGCGGCAGCGACTGCGTGCTCGTGATTGTAGAATGCCGACACCGACACTGACTGAGACGTGGCGGGTGTGGCATTCGCCGTATGTCATTGATGAGTGGTTGTGCCCGCGCTGGCACTCGCTCCGACTCCGGTGGCTTCTCCTGCTCCCACTCCAGCACCAGCACTTGGACTGGCATCCTTAAAAAGCGAACATTGTGACAGTTTCATTTGCTTCTCCAACGCAGATATTTCCGATAACTTATTCAGTATCTGCGGATTGCGACTGAGATCGTAGCCAAGGACACCGGCAGACGGTGTCACTGGTGATGTCATCGAGCGAATTACGCTTGGAGTCGGCTTGCTTGTTACGGTTACATTATTATTTTTGTAGCAGTACCTGTTGTCCAGGAGGAAGCCCAGCCCATTATTGAGTCCATTGGGCTCGGTGCCCGTTTTGCTGATAACCGATGTCGCTTTGCTCTTTACGATGGTTGACTGTTTGGTTACGGCAGCTGGGAAGACACCCACAATCTCCACGCCATCGGATTCACTGCTGCTCTCACAATCCATCACAGAATCGGGCACGGTCAGTGCCGGCGGCGTCGCTTGCGTCGGCGGCGTTGCATGGACGGGCCATTTGTTTGCAGCCAGCTGCTGAGATGTCTGCAATATATCGCTGGGACTCTTGTAATCATCCAGATTGATAATGTGGGGCACCGGTCTCGTTGCTCCGCCTCTTAGCACGTTCGTTGTGGAATGTAATGCACCAATTGGCAGACTAAACGCCGAATTCTTGCAGGAGACCACCGCCGGAGAGATGGCAGCTGTGGCAGCCGTGACAACAGTTGTTGGTGTTATCATAGTGTGAAAGCTGGGATCCGTCGTCTTGGTGGGTGAGGCCAGTTCCAGCATGCTTGCGGCTGCGGCTACAGCTGCCGCATTCAATGCCACTGCCTGCGCAGAAGTGCACGGCTGCGACATCAGCGTATCCAGCTGGATCGTCTGTGCTGGCTGTTGCGATGGCGATGGCAGTGATTTCTTCTTTTTGGCCGGCTTGCTGCTCGGCTTCGACTGAACGCCAATGCCGGCTGGATGGATGGATGGTTTCTCCAGTTTGCGTTTGAGGCTCGTCGCTGGGACACTTGCAACGGAATCTGTATCGGAATTGGCACACGAGCGACTCTGCAAAGCCGTCACACTGAGGTCATTGAATTGCTTCAGATAATTATTGACAGCGGGCAGTGACATTGGTTCCGTGACCCCTTGTGTATACGGCACGTGCGGCACTTGCGACATCTGTGCAAGCGTGGCCGCCAATTGTTTTTGGATATTGATTTTGGGCGGCTTAACGCTCGGCTTCGGATTGTTCTGTTGTATTGGGGCTGTGCTCGTTGCGGACAATGAAAGCTTACGCATGACGCTATTTGATGAGGCACTTGTAGCAGAATCCGTATCGGAATTGGCACGCGATCGACTCTGTTCGATGGGCGTCAGCTCATCGAGTTGCTTCAGGTAATTATTGGCAGTTGCTGTTGTGGTTGTTGTTGTGGCTGTGATTGCTGCAATTGCTGTGTTTCCGCTACTTGTTGCCGATGTCTTCTTTGCTTTCTCCTTCAGCTTTTTGCTAGCGCTCTTATACCGTTCGATCTCGCGCTGCAGATCCTCGTAGCGCATCCAGCCGGTGGCCCACAAATCCAATACTTTGTCTTTTAGATAGCCATTGATGAACTGCTCGAGCGAATCCTTGCGTCGGCCCAGCACAGCATAGGACGTCCAGCGTGCCTGGTAGACCTCGTAAAGTCGCTCGCGCAGCTCATTGGTAAACTGGAACTTTTTGCGCGGCATCTTTGGCGGATGCTCCGCGTTGACATCCGCAGCACTGTGAACCAACCAAAAAAAAAGGTCATATATTAGAAATGGATGGCTGTTTGGGAATAAGATCTTCATCTTACGCAAGCTCTGCAAACTTATGCAACTCGATCTCGTAGTTGGCTATCGCCTTGGGCATAACCTCGGCGACCGCCTTGCGCAGGCGCTCCAAAGCAATGGTCGTCTTGTTCTTTTCCTCGCGGGCACGCACGGCCTTCGCCTTGCGCAATATAAAGTACTTGGGCAGCTGCAGCTGATATTCTAGATGAGCAAACACCATGTTTCGCTCGTTGCGCTCCGTGCACAGCAGCGCCTCATAAATCCTAGATGAGAGTTGGTAAAGTGCATTTCAATAAAATATGGCAAAACATTTGCATATCTGTATATTTGTTGCAACTCACTTGAGCAGAAGCACCGTCAGTTTGCTATCGAGCGGGAACCTTTTGCCGCACAAGTCTCTGCTCCTGACCAGCTCCTTGAAGTTGTTGATGCTACCAAGTATGTCCTTATCGAGTGTTGCAGGTAAAATGGTATCCGCAGTGCGTAGATCTAAAACAAATATTAAATATAAATAAGTATTTTCGGATCAGTTGAAGCGACCAGTTTGCCCTACTGTCGTTCTCTCTTTCCCTGCCCTTGGTGAGCTTCTCGGATTTGCCTTGTTCACTGGCTGAATCGGTGTCGCCATTATCGGTGCTGGATTCCACATTCATCGAGGCGATGCACTTCAGTTCGCCGTTCACCAGCTGGCCCTGTGACTTGAGGAAACTATCTCTTTTGGCCTTCAGCATATCCTTGACTGTCGTTGTCTTCACCACCTTCTTGAATGCCTGAGCCTGAGCATGAACCTGAGCCTGAACCTGCCGCTCCTCCGAGTCCGAAACATCTATGGCATTGGGACGTGGCGAGTTCGAGGAGGAGGATGTAGGCACATTCAGCTTGTTGCTTGGTTTTTTGCTATTGACACTGTTGTTCCTTTGCTTGGCAGCCTCACCGGTGGTTTTGGGACGCTTCAGCGAGCTCTGTTTGAACTTGTTGTTGTTGGAATTCGTGGGATTCGTGGATGAGCCGCTAACGGCATCGTCCAGACTTTCGCTCTCACTCTCTGACTCATCGATGCTCTCGCTGTCTGAATCATCATCATCATCGTCATCATCATCGTCGTCATCATCGTCCTCATCATCGTCATCATCATCACCATCATCAGCAGCATCATCCTCATTATCATTGTTATTGTTATTATTGTAAACCTTATTATTAACGGCTTCCTTCTGCTCCGTTTCACTGGATGAGTTCGACGATGACTCATCGGACGAATCATCCGAGCTGCTGGACACGACACGCTTGCGCGAACGCTCCGGCATCTTGATGATGGCATCGGTACGCCTTGTGCTCGATTTTTTCCTCAAGTTCTTAAACACCAATGCGCCGCAATTGATATAAAAGCCACCCTGTAGTGTTTCCACCTCTTCGGGCAGGATTTCGTCGTACTAAATGAGAACGGGAAAATATATATCAAACTGATTATGATCATAATCGTGATTGTGTGTGGGTATAATGCTTACCGCTTCAGTGTTGTCTATGAAGGAATCGGTTTCATCGTATCCCATGCCAATGTCACAGAACTCATTCTTTTTGCGCCTGCCACGGCCCAGGGCATAGGCATTGCCATACTTGGCCTCCAGCTCCTTGGCAATGCGTGCCACATCATCATCATTATCGCCAAACGGATCATTGCTTCCATTTTTGGCCTTCAGCATTTTAGCCTTTTTCTAAAGTAAGGAATCATATTGAGTAAGCAAACTCAACTAGTTAACTAATTGAGTGCACTTACCTTCTCCAGATGCAAGAGCTTTGAGTAGTTGAACTCGGGATATCTGAAGGTGTCCGTATCGAACATATCCATCTGCAATCGCACAGTTTTATTCGCTGATCGGCTGCTCTTGTTCGACTGGCCGCCGGCATCCGAATCGAGGAGATCAACGCCGAAGCGCGAAAAGCCCGCCTCATGGCTATGGAAAATGCTGCGCTGGCTGCTGGTGATTGTGGTAAAGGACACACGCTTGTGCTCGCCCAGCTTCGACATTGCCGCCGCCGCCCCCCAATTGTGAAGCTGAATTCAAAAACACACCACAAACACAAAAATCACAACAGCAAAAATGAAAGAAATAGCAAAACAAAGCAAATGCAATACGAAAAAAAAACACACGTACACGATACCGTTTACCGTTTACTGTTTTTTTAATTTTGCATTCCCGCCCTTTTGGTAAGCGGCACGCCGCGTGGTGTTTTCTATGCCAAACAAAAACAATGGCAAACAGGCAGCAGCAGCAGCAGCAGCAGCAACGACGACGACGACGACGACGACGACAGCGACGGCAACGGCGACAGCGACGTCGGGCCCCACCTCCTGCTGGCTAATGGCTAATGGCTGTGGCTGTGTCACAGCAGCGATGTCTGTTTTCTGCTTGCTGCGTTTTGCTCACGTACACCACACACCAGTTCCTTGCTGGCCTGTTTTCACTTTTTACGAAAATGTGTCCAGCACTAAAAACATAAACAAATGCATTGGCATCGGCATTTAAATTGCTTGCATGCCTTTAACTTTTCCTTGGAATTCATTCACTTTTGGCTAATTGCAGGCCAGCAGCAACACTGCAAACATTTAACACTAGTTTTTTTTTCTTTTTTTTTCTGTGAATTGAAAATAAATTTGTAATTTTTTGGCGTCCAGCCGGCGCGAAGAACACAATGCCAAGTGACCAAGATACACAACGGATAATGCACGCGAATGGCTTACTTAGTTTGGGACTGGCTTCAATTAAATTTAAGCGTAAAGGTTTTGCACATTTACGAGAAGTTTTGTAATTTGTTTCTTAATCAAATCTTGTGCCGTCTTCAACGCTAAACATTTTCACTGCACTCATGCCGCCGACCCCGCAATTAATTATTTGTAGCACTTTGCAGCACTGGCTGCCTAATTCGCAATATGGCTGTCTCGCTCTTCGCTGGCGTGTTTACACTTGCCTCTCGAAACTGTTGCGCAGCATTACTTAATGCAAGCTTTCGAGTAGAATTTGAATGATCAGTTTGCAGTCAGCATTATTTAAGAACTGCAAGTATAAGGAACAAATTTATAATATGCATGCTCCTCTGCTTACCAATCTTTACGATTTTATGCTTAGATTTAGAATAATCTTATATTCGATAAACAAAATCAGATTTGCAATGATTCCTTTTATAGATGTATTACTTTTTTTTTAAGGTGTCCGTATGAATATGTATTACAAGGTTTTTTATTAATAAATACATATGTTTTCATTTCGCAAAATTATCTGTCGAAGGATGTTATAATTACAAATAACTTATGAAATGCATTACTTATACGATGTATTTGCAAGCAGCTGCAGACCCGGCGCTAATGCGTTTCAGTGTGACTATCATATTATGTTTGTTTTGACTGGCAGTTTTGTGCGTTGCCCAGCACTGCTTGCAACAGCTGTAAGGGACACGGCGAGCTGTTTGTCACGGCGCTCTCAGTGTTATTGTGTGCTTCGAAGCTGAATGCTTCACAAAACGCCAAGTGAGTGTTTACAAATAATTATTAATAAAATTGTTTTAAGAGCAAATGCGCTGTTTGCGTGCGTGTGTATTTGTGTATGTGTGTGAACATGAATTTCCGTATGTATGTAGGCCAGAAATAAAGTTGCATGCATAGCAATTTGTACCAAAAAGTGCAAGATTTAAAATGATTGGGCCCATAAACCTTATCAGAAAATAGTGGGCAATAAAAAAAGTGAGAACGTATATCATGCACTACGAGTGGCACTTAGGAAACAGTTCTGCGAGAGCCTTGTCCTGTGCTGTGCTGTTATTGTGTACTTATGTTGTGTCCCTTTGCTTGCAGCTCCCACCCGTCCATCCCCCCTTAATATCGAGTGACCGCCGTTCAAAGAGCAACGAACGCGACTCTAACAAAACACAAAGGCCACTTTATTCGTTTACTGACTTTCGCCTGAGACACACAAGCGAAGCAGCCGAGCAGGAATAGCATTTACAGCAAACAAAGCGATTGACTGACACCATCCACACACCATACCTGGATCTCCCTATAACTATAGCTAGCTAGCTATGCGGTACGTGGGGCACCACACGTAACAACGACAATAAAAGAGTCCGCCTTGTTTATTGTTACAATTGTATCGGAAGGAGAAACTTAATACAAACCCACTCAGCGCTGGTCTTGACAACGGTAAGCAATATTCATATGCAATATGTACAAGCACACAAATAGGCTCCATTAGTAATTAATGTGGCCTCGCTATATGTGCCATTTGTTTTGTTAAAACAAATAGTCGCATATGTCGCACCGACAACACTACCCTTATCGATAAGGATCCACAGCAGCAACAGCAACGACAGTTGCAGTCTTATCTATTTGCCATTTGTGGATACTTTGTTTTTATTTTTGTGATTACAAAGATACCCACAAAAAAAATGTAGATAAAAAGACAAAACTTAAAAAGTTGTTTTGTCTTGGGTCGAGTGACGCATACAATTAATAATATTTGCTGTGATTGGACCATTGCATGCAACATATTAATGTATATCATCTATATGTATATAGAGCAAGTGCGTATGCAGGGGGATGGAGAGAGGGAGTGACTGCCCCATTGTTATTTGATATAAGTGTGTTTTAAATAAAAGAAAAACACCTCACTTCCCATGATTCATGAACTGTTCAGATGATCAATCAGAAGCACTCGATCCCATTATGTGGCTTTAAACATGCGTCTTGCTTTTGGTTTTGTTACTTCGTTTTCAATTTATGCTTTTTAGTTCTTTACAACTGGGCCCCCAGATTACTGGGATATATGTGGATAAGAAATGTTAAGAAAGCTTTCATCGCCTCCAATTTTGGGAACGACTTTTATCCATTCTTTGTCACTTGCTACTGTGCCGGGAGCTAAACAACGAAAACAATGCACATCGCCTACTTATCAGAGTTAATATTTAAGTATGTTTTTGGAAATGATTTATGTTTTGACGACAAGCGCAGAAATGACAAGCCAAACCCGCATAAATCGCTACATTTAAATGACGTTCATTTGCACACTTCTCTTCGCCAATCAACAAGAATACTTCGATTAAGGTTTGCATTATAAATAAATACCAACTATCCAAGATTCAGATACCCTTGCAGACCGAAGTCCACCTGCTGACATCTAAATTGATGTATTGTTGTTATATTTTATTTATTTAATGTCAACTAAAGTCAGTCGACACAAAATATATGAAAAAAACACGTAAGAAATATTACAAATTAAATTAAAAATAAAATGTAATATTACATTTAAATTAAAATATAAAAATCTCATAGATATTGAGTTTGACCCAGACATACTGGTAAACAAAAAGCTGTTCAAGCTAAACTCATATTCCGGCAGATCGTCCCTGAATTTTTGAAAGATGCTGATAAAAATATCTATGTAGATCTATATATACCTTGTCATACCAACCGCAAGGGTATACAATTTAGTGCTTTCTGCTTTCTGTTTACTATTTGTATTATAACTGTGGCAGCTTGTGGCAGGTGTTTGAAAGCAAGTTGCGGTAAGTGACCTTGAAAGTGTCGCCGTTTTCGTTGCTGTCGCCTTGCCATCCAAATTTGATTTACAAATTTCATTTTCAATGGAAAGCGAATTACATACATTTTTCAATGATAGTACTACACAGACAGACAGACAGACTGTACATATACACAAATACTCTGACGCCCGTTTTGGGCCCCCAACCGGTTTTTATTTGTTTTTGGTCAAACAGTGGCAAGGCGAACAACAAAGACGAAACAAAATACAATCGTGCAACGAGCAACAAGTTGCGCATTAATTCAATTTAATTTGCTTTTAATTCGCTATTATTGTCCACTTGCACAATTTCTTGTTGTTTTTAATTGTTTTAGTCACTTTTGCTCTTGTTGCCGCCGGCTGCTTGATCACGTTTATTATCAGAGGGAAGCCGCATCAAAAGTCAATAGACACATTTCTATGTACACGTATAATATAAACAAACCACAAAAGCATAGGCCAAAACACATTTGTATATTTATATGTATGATTATGCAAACAATAAACACGTGTGAGACAAAATGCTTTCGTTGTGCACCGAAAACGAAATACTCTTGCTAAAATTATCTTCTAGTTGACATATTTTTATTATATTGTGTTATGATATTCATTCGCATCATAAACATAAGTGAACCATCTAGTTTTTATTACAATTTATTTACGGAGCAGATAAGACTGATTCAAATCACATGAGAATTCCTTGGTTTTATTGTGACTTAATTACATACCTCTGAAGATACTATGTTTAGCTCTGCAAAACCATAAAAACTAAATATACACTGTTTACGACTACATCTCAGAAATACGGTTGCGATTATACCTAGAATATATAGATTCTACACTATAAAACAACAAATAAGTAAAGAATTCCCGTATAGGCATATTATTGCGGACTATCCACTTTATTGTCAAACCACATAACTTATTACATTTTATCTATTTAAAAGTAACATGTTCGCATATCTAACAAGTTTGAATCTATTCAAAAAGGTTATTTCCTTTAAAATTGGAAAAATTTCTGTTGTTACATGATTTTTATACTTTTCAAAAAATAAGAGCATTAAAAGTGTGATTATCATTATGATGTTATGACGAGAATGGAGTGTGCGCTGCTGTCTGTTGTGGCTTCCATTTGAAGCGATGACGAATGTTCTGAAATAAAATAGAATGAAATATGTTTATATATATATAGTATATAGAAATTGTGATGGTTGTAAAAAAAAAACCAATAGCGCATGTGGAACGTTTTGTAAAGTATGTTTTTACAAAGTTTTGCATAAGTGTGTGAAATTACTCATTGGTTCGTATAAAATAATAAATTAATAAAATTATTAAAGAATACTTTTTAAAAACTTAATGATAGAAATTCAATTTCGATTGTATTTGTACTATAAACATACAAGACAAACTTGTTGCTAGGAACGAAAGTTCATTATTGATGTTGATAATGATTTCTATTCCATTCTAATGACAGCCTCTCAATTCTATATTTGACTACAGACAGTGACTACGAGATTAAAATGGCGGAGAACGTGGAGATGGTGGATAGTAAATATGGCGAACCGTTGCGTTATGATCGCAATTTCCAGGGACCACGACAACGGAATCGCAGCTGCACTGATGTGCCCTGCCTGATCCTATTTGCGCTCTTCCTGGGTGGGTGGGTATTTATAGCCCGTTATGCCATTAATAATGGCGATCTCGACAAGCTTATGGTGCCGACAGATACGTTCAACCAGAAATGCGGCATCGATTCCAATGTGCTAAACAAGAAGTATTTGTTCTTCTTCAATCTGGAAGAATGCATTGATCCGCTGGTGCCAATTACGGGCTGCAAAACGCCGCAGGTAACTAAAAAAAAAAAACGTATAAACAACAATCATCATTAATTAAACATTTGTCACTGTCTTTTTGCAGATTTGTGTAGAAAGTTGTCCAACCCAGACGTTCGATTGGGAGACCATGAACAAGAATGGCCTGACCATTGCGCAGCTAAAGAGTCCCCTTATCTGCAAAACGGAAAAGGACAAGGCAGCCCTTCACTCCAGGGCCGACATCGACAAAGCTGTAAGAGATGGTCGCTGTGCCCGCCACTATATCAAGAGTCAACCGATCTTCAATCGCTGCATGTTCGAGATCTCTGATCAGCTATGCAGAAGATCACCCAGCTACCGCACGCGTCGAGATTCAGAGCAGCTGCAGCTGACACATAATGTCAGTCAATCCAAGAAGCTGGTTATGCCGGCAATGGCTTTGACTCTTCAATCTGAGGCTCAAGCGCGAGTGGCGGTCTCCCCATCCCAGGTAGCGCCGGTGAATGATAAGGGTGACCAGTGTCTCCAGCAGCAGCACGATGGCGAGGTCATCCAAAAGAAGATGATGCAAACAAATACTCAACTGGCTAAAATGGTGGGCAATCTGGTGACGCGCTTCTACAATGGCACAGCAGATGTGCAGCGACTGGGCGAAGAGATTGTCGATGATCTGGTCAACTCCCTGACCGTTGTGATAGTTGCATTGTGCATCACACTAATCGCTTCGCTGGTGTTCATCACACTGATGCGCTGGCTAGCGGCGCCAATAGTCTGGTTCTCCATCATTGGCGTCCTGATCGGCCTATTGGTCGGCATCTACTACAGCTTTAAACAGTATACCTACTGGAACAATACGCCAACGGTGCCGCAACACGACTTGAATCTGTTTAAGCAAATCGAGAATCTATTGCAGAATCCTACATTTTGGCTATGCTTGTCCATTGCATTGTGCATCTTCTTTCTGACCATCTTTCTGCTGGTGATTGTGCTGCGCAAACGCATACAGATTGCCATCTCACTAATCAAGGAAGGCAGCAAAGCTGTCAGCACGGTCATCAGCACCGTCTTCTTTCCCATATTTTCCTGGGTGCTGCTGATCGCTGCTATTGGTTTTGCCGTTGTCGTTGGCCTTTATTTGGGCTCCATTGGATCGTTATCGTTTCGCATGGTGCGCCGCTTAGACAAACCCTTCGAATTGAACAACGAGAATTGTATTTGTCAAGGACCCGCTATTAATTACACCATTGGCAACGCCTGTGATCCGCAGATATTCCACGACTATTGCCGCACCAGCAACGGACACTGCGTTGACACCTCATGCAGCTTCCTGAAGCTCGATAATCCCACGTATATCCGTTGGGCCATAGCATATGATATTTTTGGTTTCTTCTGGCTGAGCTTCTTTATAACCGCCTTCAGTGACATGGTGTTGGCGGCCACCTTTGCCCGATGGTACTGGACCTTTAAAAAGCGAGATGTGCCTTATTTTACGCTGTCGCACGCCTTTGTCCAAACGGCCTTCTACCACTTGGGCACCTTGGCTTTTGGCTCACTGATCTTGGCCATTTGCCGGATGATTCGCCTGGTGCTGGAGTACATCGATAGGAAGCTGAAGAAGTATGATAATGTTGTGACACGAGCTATTCTATGCTGCATGCGCTGTTTCTTCTGGCTGCTGGAGTCCTTTCTCAGGTTCCTCAATAAAAATGCGTACATCATGTGCGCCATACACGGCAAGAATTTCTGCACGAGTGCCAAGGATGCGTTCAGTCTGCTCATGCGCAATTGCCTGCGCGTCGTCGCACTGGACAAGGTCACTGACTTTCTCTTCTTTCTTTCGAAGCTGCTGCTCACCGGTGGCGCTGGAGTGGCCACATACTATTTTCTGGCCAACAATCCGCATGTTATACAACTGAACCACAAGGCTGTGCCGACCACTGTTGTGGTAATTGCCGCTTTTCTAATAACCAGCGTATTCTTTGGCGTCTACTCGATGGCCGTAGACACACTCTTCCTATGCTTCCTTGAGGATTGCGAGCGCAACGATGGCACTCCCGAGAAGCCCTACTTTATGTCCAAGCAGCTAATGAAGATTTTGGGCAAAAAGAATAAATTGCCACCGCGTCAGCGTCGCAGCAAATAAAGAAAGCACAAAAGCAATATCCAGATTCCCTGAAGATTACTGTAGAAGTAGTTTGTTTGCAATGTGAAAGACATACATATTTATATATCCATACATATACATATAGATATACATAAATGTGACATTATCATAGGCCACAGGTTGTGCGCGATTTTTGCTCATGCTTCAATTCAATTAGTTAGCGACTTGCCACAGGGCGCGGCTGCAATAAGCATTACATTTAATGTAATCAACTCATGTGCTCCACATATTTTATATACTTGAAATGTATATAATACAAAAATGAATTTCACATACATATATAAATATATATAGTATTATATACATATATATACAAATCTTTGTGGCTCAGCGAAGATCAACGAGGTGCTCAATATAAGTGTTGTGATAGCCGCTGAGACATGAATAACATAAAGACAAACCAAAAGCATGTAAATAAAAAAAAAAAAACTTTTGCATACTCTTATTAAGTAAATACAACAGATAATTAATTTAAATCTCAGAGAAGTAAATGTTTTCTCAACGACTTTGAAGTAAACTTTAATTTAGGAATGATTAAATTGAGAAAACTAACAATAAGGTATTTATTTTTGTGTTCTTTTTCTTCTATGAATGCACATTTGTAATTGATTATATTTTGATTTTGTTTGTAAACATATATTTGGAATTTAATAAAATTGAATTCAGCATGAATTACATCCATCCTCAACTTGTGTGAATTTTAACATTATCATGACATTTGAATAACAGCTCAAAAACAAAACCCCTAATACAAATAGTTGAGCAGCTATGTAAGTTTTACGATTATCAAATACTAAAATCAACATTAAATTAATGGAAACTAAATGGAAATATCCTTGAGCACAGTGTCGCTTATGTTTTGCAAGTCATCAATGTCTGCACAATCGCTTAAATCGAGACAAAACTTGGGTGGAAGTGCATTCAATGGATTCACATCACTCTCCTTGCTGCTGCACAGCAGCTGCTTTGAATCCTGTTCGAGCATATGAGGAGAAACTGGATCAGTTAGCAAATGGGTAAAATTAGTGATTATTAAAAATGTATTTACATTTAGTGTTTGATCGTTGAGCTGTATGCGGGGTAAAATTATCTGCTCGGGCAAGGGACCGGCCACCAGTGCATCCAGCCGTCCCGACGGTGATGTGCTGAGATTCTGTACGTTAAGCGAAGAATCCAGCACTTTCATCATGGCAGCGCTCTTCTTGGCATAAAGCGAACTGTTTGTTGAATCATCGGCCGGAGGCAGTCGCTCGATGCGTGTGCGATCGTTACTGGTAAGCGGAGTGAACGGAGAGTACGTGCTAGCAGTGTTGGACTTGGGCGAGCTGACCAGCCCGACTGTCACTTCATCAAGGCTAAACGAGGATTGCATGTGCTTCCATTTACTACCCATGGCAGAGATATTTAGTTGCGTATTGGTCGTCGTATTCGAGCTTTTCGCAATGGTGCGCAGCAATTGCATGGGATCAACAATTTTAGACCGATTCATGGTGGTGTTTATCTTGCGCACAGAACGTGGTGGAGCGAGTGCGGGTCGAGGTGCTAAACGTTGGCAAATGGTTAGCTAAACTAAAGGGCAATCAAACCGAAACTATGCCGTCTCACCTAGCAAACTATTCTCAAATTGTTTGGCATTGAAGTCATCCTGGAGAGGTAGACGTACATGCACATTGCGTACGCCGCTGGCCATTTCCGGACGAATGGGCGGCGTCGAAACAAACTTCATGAACAGGGGATGGTCAACGGCACCAGTTGTTGTTCCTCGCGGCAATGTGTCCAGGGTGCGAAGAGGCGTGCTTGGCACCACCAATTGCGAACTGTGCTGCGTCTGTGACACATTCCCACCGATACTATTGCCGCTTGTGTTCCTCTTGGCACGTACGTTTAAATTCTTTTGCACCTCGCTCAATTGCTGGTGGATCTGCTCCAGCTCGCCACGCAATGTCTTCAGATCGGCGGTGACGAACTCATTGCACTCACTGTAGTGATTGTTGGCATCCAACTGCTCGGCAATTGTCTTACTAATGCTATTGAAACCGGAAAGCAGCGCGTTCATTCTACCGGCGTTCCCTTTAAGTAAAAAAAAGAAGAAAATTATTCGAGTTTTTGGGCCAAGGTTTATGTTAAGCTTGTAATAGTATGAATTGATGTGAAAACCGTGAGCAAAAAGATATTGCTTTGGAATATTCGTTTAGTATTGAACAATATATTTCAGCTAACCTGCTGTTAAATTGCATGCTTCGTTGCCAAAAAATTTTTGAATGTAAGCGATTGCTTCGTCGGCCGCCTCATTGTTTTGCTTGTGCTCGGCGCGCTTAGTTTGAAACTGATCCATGGCCTCCTTCTGGGCACAGAGTGGTGCCTCTAGCTTCGCAATCCTCGCGATGGGCAGTGTTATTTTCTGTTCGCAACTGTTGCGGTTATGTGCATCGAATTCCAGCAGAAATGAGTTGTCCTGGAGGAGCGACTCGCTTACACCTGTTAGTGCAGTCAACTCTGTAAACTTATGCCTGATCTTCTGGGCACAATCGCGTAGTTCAGACGCAATTTCCTCGGCCTCCTCAATATATGCTGAGGCATATTCCTTCATGAAGGCACAATGCTCCAACATCCATTGCGCACTACAATTCCGAATGTTAGTAGGATCCGTATCTGCTGTCAAGACGTGTTCGCGTTGCTTGATCAGCTCCTGGACAACGAAGCCGACAAGGTCCAAAAGGAACTTGATGAATTTCATACCACCCGGCATGACAACCAGATACGATTTGATGTTCGTCCAATGCAGATTATGTTTTTCGTTCAAATGCTTCAAGTAGTCAATAGTGCTGGATCGAAAATTCGCCTCCGATTTCTTGTCCGTAATGGGCCAGAAGAAGCGGCGTTTGAACTCAACGGGATCCACTATTCGAAAGAGATAGTGCATCATTTGAAAAAATGCTGGCTGATTGGGCTTGAGAAACATGTCCCACGAGAGCAGCTTGACCATTTCATCGTTCATGGGATACAACAGAGATAGGCCTTGCAGTTTCTTATACAGTTTCTCACTCTGCTCTTTTTCTTCAGCTTTCCAAGGCGCTATTATTGTACGGTCCATAACTTTAAGTCTATTTAATTATTGCATATGGCGATTCTGCCGCTCTCTGTTCAAGACGACAAGCATTCGAGTACATATGCAAGGTATCGATAGCCACCAACAGTTATTGTTTTTCTGGATTATGGATAAAATGCAGTATATTTTTAAAATATTACACGATTGGGGTCACACTGACATAGTATCGATGCTTCTATCGGTAGCTTTTATTTATTTGAAATGCTTACCAATTATTGTATGGTTTGTTTATGGTTGTAAATTTAATTTTCAACCACATATATGATATTTTAGGTATATATGCGATCTTAGCCATAATAATAACATGTCATATATAATTACAAATAATCGAAACTGACTAAGAATCACAATAGCTTGGACTATCGATAGTATCGGCATTCTTTTTGCAGCTCTACATGCAAATTCGGCGAAGAAAAAAAGAAAAAACGTATAAAAACCATAAAGTGCACATTAAGCAATCGAGTGATTAGTGGAAAGCATTCCACTTCATCAAAATGGATGCCGATATTGCGCTGAATCAAGCCACAGACAAGCGAATGGGCACTTCTCTGGATGACGGTCCACCCGGTGTGGATGGCAACGATGCGAGTGAAAAAAACGAGGAGACCGCCGTCGCCGCCGCAGCGTCCTGCAAAAGTAGCAAAACCAAATCGACATCACGTCGTCGCTCAACATCACGACGGCGTTCGAATTCACCGCCACCAATACGCCGGCGACGCTCACATTCGCGCTCACCAACGCCACCGCCGCCTCGAGGACGGGGTCGCTACGATTCTCCGGAATATGGCCGATATCCACCACGACGTCGCTTTGATCGCCGACGTTCACCGGATCGTGATCGCGATCGTCGGCGCTCACCGCCGCGTCGTGGCCGACGCGATCGCTACGGCAGATCCAGATCGCGTTCACGCAGTGGCGGCTCACCGCCCAGGCGTGGTGGCGGCGGACGTGGCGTAAGTCCATCGTCGTCTCGCTGGTCACCCAAGAAGAAGCCTGCCTCACCGCCCCTGCCAGCACAATCGACACACGCGGGCCAGCAACAGCTGCCGCATCCCGGCCAGACCACAGGCTACGGTGTCATGCCGGCGCCCATGTACGCCCAAGGACCGTATGGTGCACCCGATGTCTATGGTCATCAGTACAGCATGGCGCCGCCAAATTCATTCCCACCCCAGGGACCCCCACCCGGCTATGGCATGCAGGTGCCACAAGCAACGCAGGCGGCCGCCTTCAATACGGGCTACGGCGCATGGGGCGTAAATGGTAAATTAGATTCAAATACTTACTTTTCTCACCAAACATATTGGCATACGTGACGTAACAGAATCTTTGCTGTCTTATGCATTTTGATATGATTTGAAATAAGATTAGTAATAGATTAAAGCTATATAGATCCATAAGTTTTATTAACGATAATCATCACCAATGTTTTTACCAGGTTATCAATTTACTTTCATATATTATAAACAGGAAGTTAGTGGCAAAATTTCAGCATCGTTGCTCGCCTGACACTTGTCCATAAACGTGAGCCAAAGTTGTCAAAATGTCAATTGGCTTTTCTTTTCATTGAGAATAGTTTCGTTGACGAGCTTGTCAGATAAAGTTGTTTTAAATTTGGTTAGCTTGGATCGTATTGTGGAAATGCGCATAATCAGTTTAAGTGAAGCATAATACTCGGCCAATTAGCACAGCTATACTCATAGATCTAATTATTTTGTTGCAGAATATGGACAACAAGTGTGGCTGCCACAGCCGATGGCCAGTGTGCCGCCGCCAGTAGTAGCAGATTCACTGGTAACCCAGCAGCAGCAGCAACAGCAGGCAGTGGGACAACAGCAGCAGCAGCAACATCTGTCGCCGGCTATCATTGAGGATCAGGGAGCTGCGGCGCTTGAGAGCGCAGGTTTGCCGCCACAGGACGGTAAGTGTGGAAATGAATTTTGCCTTGGCTACTTACGACAATTCACATGCAAACCTCTCACATTATATTTTATTGTTGTCATGATTACGCGCTCCCTGTCGAAAAAAAAAACAAAATCAAAAACTTGTATGTAAAATTGAATTATGTCAATTGTAAATTACAAAATATGCGTTGAACACCACGATAACAACGAACTACTATTTAAAATACATTGTAAAGACATTCAGAATCTAGATATTAAATCGCAGCGAGAGCTTAAACTGACCCGGATCCGGTCGCGGACCCGGTCTTCTCAAATATTTAAATCGATTGTTTTTGCGTGTGTTTGTGTCTAAGAGGAAAAACTTCTCATCTTTGGGGGGAGAGAGCGGCACGGCACTACACACACAGTCAGCACAGTCACAGTTACGTCGGCACCGTCAACTAGCCCAACAAACGACGCACAACAAAAACAACAAACCAACGAGGACAGCAGAACAGAAAGCAGTCAGACCCGATAAGCTCCGATCCGATCTGTGCCAAACCGAACCGATCCGTTCCGGCAAACGCATCCGTTGGTCTCTTTTGCCCAACAGTGTGTGTGTAACAAAGCCGTGAAATGCACTCGAGACTGCATTTTGTAAATGAAATTTGAACTTTAAATCAGTTAACCACAAAATGTGTACTAATTCATTTCTCTCTTTCTACCCCCCAAAAACTGTCGTCATATATGCCAGCCGTCGCCCAGGAGGCAGAGAATCAGAAGGATGAGCTCAAAAAGCAACGCACCAACTATGTGAAAAAGGTGTCGCTTCTCAAGAGGGAAATGAAAGTGCTTAAGGAGCAACGTAACGATTTGACTGCGGGTGATGCACCACCATCGCCGACCACAAAGAATTTCATCGAGGAAAACGATCGTCTGCAGGTGTGTGTTGCATAACAAGTTATTAAATTAAATTAAATGATCCCAATGAAAGCTGAAATTTCGATGGCAATTGCAAATGATTTCTACGCCTAGTTATAATAATTATGCATTATAGTAATGATTATAATCGACCAGCATCGAACACAATTGCTAACTTCATTTCAACATTGAAAATTGCAGGTGCAAATCAAAAAGAAAGTGGATACCATTGAGAACGTTATAGATATGTTGAACGGGATCATTGGCGACGAGGATGCCGACGAGGAGCTTGACCTAACGCCAAAGGACCCGGAGCCAACTGTCAACAAAACAGTTCAACCAACTGTTGCTTCTGCTGCGGCTGCTACGTCGACGTCGACAACAAGCGATAGCTCAGAAAGCTCCGGTTCTAGCTCGTCCTCGAGCAGTTCATCGGAGTCATCAACGGATGATGAGGGCGATGAGGAGAATGGCACGGGTGATGGTAGTCCCACGAATCGTCTCAAGAATCGGGCCATGAAAACAATGAAAGCCAAACAGCGACAGACTGCAACAGCTGCTCCAACGAAACCATCTGTGCCCCCAGCTCAAAACTACAATTATGTGTTCTTCGATCCCGAGCAGCATTGGTGCGAGAGCTGTAGCGTCTTTCCAAAGACGGCACGTGACTATCTCAAGCATTTACATGGTGAGGAACACATGAACCGGGAGACAATGGAGACACCCTGGCATGTGGGCATCGATCATGATCCCTTCCCCACGCACGACAAGGCGCCCGTTAAGCGTGTCCCAGTTCGTGGACTACAATTCCTGGTGCCCGCCAGTGCTTGGTACTGCAAATTGTGCAGCGTTTGGATTGGGGATCTTCACTGTGCCTCAGCGCATCTGAAATCCCGATTGCATGCCAACAGATATGATGTAAGTGGCCAAAATATGAATATTTTCAAATTATGTTCAACATAAGATGTGTATTTCTATTTAAATGCAGTCGTTTCTGAAGAAGCAGCCCAACTACGACAGCGAGTGGCTGAGCAAAAGGGAACGGGCACAGCAGGAGCAAAAGGAGTGCGAGGAGGCCAAGCTCAAGAAGGCCAAGAAGGATGACGACAAGACCTCAAAGAAGCGCAAGAAGAAGAGGTCAGTTTGAAATCTACGATGGAAATGACAGCCGTGAACACTTCTGATAAATACAGTTGTGATCCTTATACACAATGCACGTATACTAAATGAATCTCTTTTGTTTTTCAACACATCAGCGAGAAGAAGAAAAAGAAGCGCAGCAAGCATAGCAAGAAAAATAAACGTGATTCGAACGCTGCTCATAGTACATCCTCATCGACGGACAGCTCGTCGTCGGACGAGGTGGCGGATGAGGTGCAGCAGCAACCAAAAAAGGCGCATGTCTCCACAACGGATGTCGCAGCCCCAATTGCGCCAATCAATGCCGCCTCGATACGCGTCACAATGCGTAAACAGGATACGCAAGTTGCGCCACCGCCGCCGCCGTTCATTAAGGATGCACTCGGCACGGTTGAGCGCGGCAAATGGACGCCGGCGGCGGGCAGCGATGTCAAAGAGAAGGAGGATCAAAAGAAACGCGACGATGTCATGATGCAGCAGTGGAACACAGTGCAACCAGTGATAAGCGACAGCGAGAAGAAGTTGCTCGAGCAGCTCAAAGGCAAGCTGAAGGGTAAATCGTCGCGATCAACGGATGATGGTAAGAATTCAACGGCAACCGCTGCTGATGATAAGTCACGACGTCCCACTTCCAAGCGACGCAGTCCCTCGCCACGGGATCGCGATCGTGATCGGGATCGTGATCGTCGTGACAGAGATCGTGATCGCGATCGTGGCCGTGATCGAGAACGGGAACGGGACCGGGATCGTGATCGGCGTCGTTCACGCACTCGCTCAAGGAGTCGCGCCCGCAGACGCAACTCACGCTCACCAATGCGCGCCGGTCGACGCAGTCGCTCCAGGGATGCCCGCTGGCGTCGCAGCCATTCGGAGGAGCGTGTTGAACGGCCGGTGATCAAGCATTCCGAGTTTCGCCCACGGGCAGCTGCCCGAACGCAAGCCGTCGGATGCCAAGCGGGACAAAAAGGAGACGGCCGCCCAGCTGAAGTCGTCCTCGAAGAGCAGCTCGAGCACCGCTACCGCGGCGGCCAATGCAGGCAAAAAGTTGCCCTTCATTGGCAAGATGCCTGTACTTAAAAAGCAGCCGCCTACGGCGCCGGCTCCTGCCTTAAATAGTGATGCCGGCGTATATACAAATGGCGGCACCATGGATGGTATATCGGTGGGTCCACCACCGCCGCCGCCATCCATGGGCATGGCGTCGTCTGCTGCAGTGCGTCAGACGGCGCCGACAGCGGCCCAAATCCAAATGGCCATGATGGAGGATGCCTTTGGGAATGCGCCACCTTTTCATCCCGACGCCGGCATGATGATGGACTATGATGAGCTAATGCCCGATCCCGTGCAGTTTGCCAATTTAATGACCCATTGTCCGCCCCCACCGCCACCCGGCGAGAGTACAAATGCCGATGGCAGCGAGTCCCACAACAATACCGATCAGTTGGATGGCGAGGATAATGGTGAAGACGATGTGCTGCCTCCAGGCATTGATGAGGCCGATTCGGATCTGGTGCCGCAGGCATTGGTTGCTGCGACCCCAACACGTGATGGTGAACTGCCCCAGGATCTGGCTGATGCGCTCAATATCATATTCCCAGCGAATCGACAAGGCGACGAGGCATCCAATGATGATGATGCTGCCAATCAAGTGGCGAACGTACCGCAAACAATAACCACAATTGTGGAAGATGGGCCGGTGCTGGACGAGCACAATCTACAGGATCTGGCCAATCAGGGCATACATTTGGTTTCAATCGAGGAGACCAGTTCCAGTTCAATGGCTGCCAATGAAGAGGCAACCAAATCTCTCGATTCCCCCATGCAAATCAGTGCAGATGAGGCATCCCAAGGTGCTGCCGCCTATCCGCCAATGGCAAACGGCAATGGCAATGACAATGGCAAAACCGAAACCGAAAACGCTTTTAGCCCCAAGCAGATGACGGCTCAAGACATACCCATGCCCTTTTCGCCAGTCGCAGCAGTCGCTTCCATTGAGGATATCAAATCAAATCAAAAAACCGATGAGCTCCTCAATGTGGCTGATATACCGCAACCGCCACTTTCGCCCACGAATAGTGAGAGGATGCGACGACAGGCGGAGCTCGATGAGTTGGGCATCGATAGCAGCGACATGGCGGCACAATGTATGTACTGAGCACCTGCATCCAAGAAACACACAAGCATTCACTCACTCACTCACACAGACCGACACAGAAACACTTACACTCATCCCATCCAACAATTCAATTATTGCAATTGGTGCATATTTATCCTAAATCTTGTGTATTTCCCTAGATGCGTTATAAGATTTGATTTAACTTGGCTACAGACTACAGACAGGGGGGCGTCCACTAGCTGGCGCAATCGGAGTCAATTACATGAAGCGCGAGCTGGCAGCAATGACGGCATCCAAATTGAATTCATTTTATTAGTTTTACTTTTATTCCTATGTATGATTGTGTGTATATGTGACGAGAATGTTATCAATAAATGCCACATATATATGTATGTAATATATGTATGATTAAATCAGAAGTTCTCACGTCTTTTCTCTTTATATTTACATAAATTATATTTAAACGTGAAATCACTGAGAAGCCAGCCTATATTTATACATAAAAACAAGCAGAAATGTTTGTATAATTTTTGTATTATTTTTTGTTTATATCAAATGGCACCTAAATCTGTTTTAATGTAAGTTAATAAAAAATAGTGATTAATTCTACGACACTGCACAACAACATTGATGAACATTGATATATATGTATATGTGATTTAATCCGTTAACAAAACCATTACAAGTGTATCTAAATTAGTTTTGATTTTTGTTCGTATGTATGTTTAAATGTAGGTACTCGATTTTCTATTTGCTATTAGTTACAGTTACAGAGTTAATAATAGTTTTACGCATTTAGGTATGTGTGTATGTACTTTGTTTTAGTAACAATTCGTAGAGTGGACTGGAGTTTTGTGCGGTCAAAGGGATTGGACAGAATCTCGAAAATACTCAATACGGGATATTCGATTTTGGCTTAGGGATACAAGTTTTAACAATCTTTTGGCTTAGGTGTGTTTGTTGTGTGTGTGTTTGTGGTTCCTATGCAAATGTCAATGAGTTATAAATAATTTTGAAACGAAATGTGTGCAGTCGCCGCTGCTGCCGATTGTTGCCCCGATTTGGATTTGGTGCCTGCTATAAATGAGTTACACGCAAACTGGCCGTCTTCTCTGTGGTTGAACATTTGTGGCCAGGCGCGTTAGTGGTTGCGGATGCGGATGCGGGAGCGGGGGCGCAGCCGGTTAGCTAGAACTATAAGTCCGTAATGGGTCCGCCGGCGACGCTGAGTTTGTTGGCCGCTGCTGCGCTCGCCGTTAAGTTATCCAAATTCCAATTTGATTGGCCGGCCACCACCTGGGCGCTTAGGTCTCTAACCAATTTTTCGAGTCTAAATTCATATTGCCGTACAACAACAAAAACCAGGAGAGCGTAGAAAGAGAAGAGCAGAAATGCAAACAAAAATACTATAAGTGATTTTGGTTGTGTTTAGTCACCGGATACGCTTAAAAAATGGAAATCGGAATGGTTTGGTTATCATTGGTGGCGCTGATCATTGAAAAGAAGTGTTTGTGCATGCATGCGAATTGAAATGGTGCAGATTAAAGTGGAGTGAAGTGGAGTTTAGTTAGCACAGCATATATACAACAAATACAACAGAAACGTATATATATATAAGAAACAACCATATAGAGCATAGACTACACCCACGCAATGATACGCTGATTGGCCTCCTTACGTGCGCTCGTCGCTTCGCTGAGCTCGCGCTTCAGCTGCGCATGCTCCTTTTTGCGGGGCAACAGGGGCGGTGGCGTTCCCACCTGCTCCCCAATCAATGCAAATTTTGGCGGACTTTGAATGGATTGTGGTTGCTGCTGTTGTTGTTGCAGCTGCTGCTGCTGTTGTTGTTGCTGTTGTGGTGCGGAAGTGGTTAGGCCATTGGTGCGTGATTCATTGCTGGAACTCGATAGCCGCTTATTGCTAGCTACGCTGAGAGTCAGCTCCTCATTCTCATCCTCGGCGTCAAGTTCCACCTCATCGTCCTCGTCCAGCAGCTGGGTGGCCTGCGCCGGCGCCTGGTGTACGGTGCCATAGTGCAGATTCAAGGAGTGCGCCCGACGTGCCCCACCCTTGGGAAAGGGAAACGGCGCCTTAACACCGCGTGCTCCACGCGCCCGATCATTCTCGTAGATAATGTCGTTAAACGCCTGCCGTTGATTGTACAAACTGGCCAGTGCCTGGCGCAGATATTTGTTCTCCGCCTCCAGATGGGACACCCGCTTGTTTGTATCCTTGCGCTCCACGCGCAACTGCATCACATGGGACTGCAAAAACGAACATGGTTATCGAGTTGGTCACTTAGATGATATTCAAAAGTGTACACTGGACTACCTTTAGCTCATCAATGTCGCGCAATATGCGCACATTTCCCTCGCTCATCGACCACTGGCGCTCCTCGACCATCGACTTGACGCTGTACGTATAACAAAGATGGTTTAGGTTAAGTTCTGCAAGAATATGAGATGCGAGTTGCACTCACCGATTGAGCAGCGCATCCTCGCGTACCCGTGCCGCTTCCTTCACCTCTCGTACAACATCCGTCATCATGCCGGGCGTGTAGGCGCCTAAAAGATAGCCAAGAGCATTGATTAATTGTCGATCTATTTGAAGCCATACTTCAAGTGTTTTGTTATACTTTGGCAACTGTTTATTATGTCTATGTAGATATAGATATAGATATATATACCTGAATGAAAGGTGGGCGCTGGACTGTGGGTGCCACCGAATCCGCCGCCGCCAAATACCAATGGTTGACTTTGTGTGCTTAATCCGCTCAAGCTATCTCTACGGTGCCGCATGCCCCCGCCTCCAGCCCAAAGCTGGCCACTGGGAGCGTGCTTCAAAGCTTCGATATCGACTGTGTGTGTGTGTGTGTGTGTATATATTTACGTGTGCAGTGTGTGTGTGTGTAAAAGATAGTAGGCGAAAAACAGATGAAAAGAAAATACACAACAAACAATAATAACAGATAGATAATAAATTACATAATCGAGAAGAGCGTGTAAAGTTTAAACAACAATAATTGCAAACAACGAGAGCCAAAAGAGAGTCGTAGGAAGGTATTCAATATTACACAATACAGAATTTGATTTACAATATTACATAAGGATTTTGATATACGTTCATATATATACATATATACAGATATCAGATATAGATGTGTATATATGTTTGCCTCACACGCACCTTTCGTCTCATGCAAGTTGCGACAGATCTTGGAGTTCGTTTCGTGCAATATGTTTATCTGTTCCATTAGGGCGGCAAAGAACTTGTTCTGCTGCTCCAATTCGCTGCTGCTGCCATTTGCTGTAGTTGTTGCTCCACCATTGGCATTGCCATTGCGACACTCCGGCGTATTCTGGCCACTCAGCTTGGAATCATTATCGGAGGGATTCAGCAGACAGGGATCGCTAAAGCGAAAGCTGCAAAGAAAACGTCATCAATTTAGTAATGTTTTTCATGGTAATTCATTTGGTTTACCCTCGACTCATGTTTGGATTGCTGCCGCTGCCATCGTGAACATCTGTGGAGTTCTGATCGTTCTCGGGACTGGCGCCAAAGCCGCCCAGCATATTGACCAGCGGCGGCAGACTGGCAAAATCCTGTGCCCCATCGCCGTGCAGCGCTGGCAGTCCAAAGCCCAAACCATAGCCACCATTGTGGGGCTGGGGCGGAAACAGCATCGGATAGCGATAACTCAGCGGCTGTGAGTGCTGTGCAATTACAATGACAATAACAATAACAATAACAAACAACAATTAGCCATCGATCGTTAACAGTTAACAGTTTCTGGCTCAAATGGCAATCACTCACGCGTTGTATGCCCAAACTAAAGGGCGTGGCAGCGCCCATGCCATACGGCTGCGAATGCGAACGCATGAGAAATTGTTGTTGCTGCTGCTGCTGTTGTTGCTGCTGTTGTTGCTGTAGTTGTTGCTGCTGTTGTTGCTGCTGTTGTTGCTGCTGTTGTTGCTGCTGTTGTTGCTGCTGTTGTTGCTGTTGTTGCTGCTGTTGTTGTTGCTGTGCTGCTGCTGCTGCCTGCGTTACAAATAACGTTTTGTTTGCCGCTGTTGTTGTTGGATTAAAGTCAAGGAATTCGGATGAAGATGAGAGTTGCGCATTTGTTGCATCCCTCAGGCAGTTCTCCAGCCAGGCATCTAGATGATCCTTGGAATACTGATCACGCACACTGCCATTGCTGCTGCTGCTTTTGTTTTTATTGTTGCTGCCCAGTTGTGCAGCTGTTGCTGTTGCTGTTGTTGTCGATGTTGTTGCTGCTGCTGCTGTTGTTGCTGTTGCTGCAACGTTGCTGCGCGATTTCAGTTTCTTGCGTTTGCTGACATCAGCAGCTGAAAAACAAAAATGAAATCATTTCGATTATTTTTTACTTGGGCGTAATTCAATTAAAACTAAACTGAGCTTCTTTGTGACCCGTTTGAATTGTCCAACAAAACGATAAAACACAAAACAATAGTCAATCATCGACTGCAGTTGCGCATTGCGAAAACACAAATGACTCAACGCCAAATTGTTAGCTAGCCAGGCTTAAAGCACGCTCTCTCTCTCTCTCTCTCTCGCTCTCTCGCGCTTTGGGTTATTTTGAGCCCACAAAAATGTCGCGAACCGCAAACTCAAAACGAGTTTCGAAAAGCTCTCGCAATTCATATTCGCCTTTATCTGTTTGTATACCCTTCCAGTTGAGGTCTATCGCTGTATTCACAGTTTGTTTAGGTTCATACGTTTAGAGTAGATTGGGTTCGACTTGGCAAAGCTAACTGTTCTTTTGCCTGTTTTTGTTTATTTCGTTTTCGGTTTTGTTTTGGTTTCAGCTAACCAAATATTTGAATTTGAGCGTGGTAACATTTTCTCTTTGGGGTCTTTTGTCAGCAGCGTCATTTAGTGCGTTACAGTTTTCAATCGCAAACCGGTAATTTTATGCGCCAACATGTGGCCCCCATCCCCCATCCACTCTAAATTGCAATCCAATGCATAATTGAATAGCGAAAAGTCGCGACTTCAACTGGAATCCATATGCTATTCCACATTCCACACTCCACATTCCACACTCCACATTCCAGGCACATGCGCAAGCCACTTCTACTGATGACTCCCCCCCCCCTCCCCTTCCCCTTTCCCACTCGCCATCGCCAGAGGGTTAAGCACAGTGCGTTTAAATGTAGCAAAAGAGCTGAATTCTTTGCTGTTGTTGTTCTTTTCTTTGTGATCATGGCAAGGGCAAGGGCAGCAAGGGGCGTGTGCAGGGGGGAGGGGGGTGGAGGAGTGTGGCCATGAGGGTACTATAAATAGCATGCGAACGAACTATTAAAGCGGATGTGGTGCAAAAACAAGGAGCAGCCAGGAGGAATTAAGTACATAAATGGTATGTGATGGGAATGGGTAATAATATTGGTGGTGGCTTACAAACTCAGCTCTAATCAGCCACATTGAAAACGATACTTTCCAAGAAGCGGACACACACACACACACACATACATATATTTATATATATATATATATATATGTATATGCATCTTAAGTGCAGCCTTAATTTGGAATTTTTATAGCTATTCCGCACACTCAAGTCGCATACTTTAAAAATTCGTTTCAGTTACTCAATTCCGACACAGGAAATTGAAAACTGTCAGTAAAAATCTAGAATTTCATTTCAAATATTTATAAATGTAGTTTTAGGTATATATATATATACAAATGAGGGAAACGAAAAACTAAAAAATAGTTTTATATGTTCATCAGACGCTGATCTCTTTTTTTTATATTTTTTTTTTATAATGTTCGAGTTCTGGAACCAAAATTGTATTTCCTGCCTCGACTTGTTTCGAATTACACAAAATTAGATTTAGATTAAGTTGAGCTTATGAGAAATGCAAATGTATATTTGTGAATAGTTAATTTAAATAATAAGATAATTTAAATGTATATTTTTATTGGCTCCATATCAAGAATTTTCCATTTTTTATGTATAATCCAGAAGCCACTATAACTAAATATAAATCTGAACGAGTATCTCAACCAGTTTCTTTTGCTACCAGAATATAGCATTGAATATTGATTGTATGAAGAATTAATGTTATTTTGCAGCTAATTATTTGAAAGTGATATATAAAAGTTTTTCATTACAGTTGATTGCAGGCATTGACTCAATTTGAGACTTCCGCCCGTGAACATCATCATTACTGGTTGGTAACACAAAATAAAGCCTAAGCCCACTTCCACTTCCACACCCTCCCTGCCGGAACCCATAGGCCATGCTTAATTAGCCATCATTTAGTACATTGTTCCAAATTGGAATCGCAGTCGAATCGCATTCGAATCGCTTACCCAGTTTCAATGTCAGATCGCGTGTATAGATTTCATAACAGTCCCACAACCCAAAAATTAAATCAATCACTGACCGTGAACTTAGCCCACAAGCTAGATACACAAATAAATAGACAAGTTGGGGATCTGAGGAGTCGCCAGCTGGCACGCCATGCAACCAACTGATGCAGTTCGTTCCAAATTGCAACAGAAAGAGCAGTTGCTCCAAGGGGAGAGTGACTTAATCACACCAATTAGCGACAAGGGCTAAAACAATTCATCGGACACAATTTTGTTTAGTTTTTTGTTTTTTGTTTTTTTTTTTTATGTTGCGCAACGCAATTTGCAATCATTAAAAGACTTGGGAAATACACTGGCAACTGGGGAGAAAATGAAAAGATGCCAATCGGCAATGTTGAGGAAATTGAAAAAGAGAAAACAATCAAGCAGCGAAGCAAAGTAACTGAAAACTGAAAATCAAAATACAAAAGTGCAAAATATGCAAATTGGTCTGCCAAAGATAGCAGCAGATATCCCAAAAGGGCATGGGAAATCTTTTATGTAAATCTATTAGAGAGGCGGTCACCAGCAGCCGACTCTGCCACAAATGTATGTGTGAAATTAAACATTGTGTGGCAATGGGAAACCAAGAGCGACTTGAAATTGAAATTAATTAAGTGAGCCATAAATCAAAAGAGCTGAAGTTTTTATGCGCTCAGCCCATAAAAAGATGAACTTGGGCAAGCCCAGTTGGGCTGGCATCGAGGAAAGTCATCTCCAAATAGCCCCAAACACAGTTATCTGCGAGATAATAATATAATATAATACTCGCGAAAAGATACGAAATGACAGATTGTAAGAGAAGTTATTTTGTCAGCTATATTCCTATATATAAACATATAATCCTGCAGGTAACAAGTCAGAAGGATCTAGTCAATAGAGTTCGACAAGTAGAACAGAATTTTGCACAACTTTATTAACATTTTGAATGAATTCAATGTGTTTATACAAAAAAAAACTGGTTAATATTTAAGTAGTGAATCAGTTTCATTAAATTGTACTACCGGAAATCGTATTGCGTCCACTCAACATTTATTTATTATGTGTAAAACCCTCTTACAAAAGATAAGCCCATTTCTTATTTATAAATACGTAAAGTATTTAGAAAATGTGCAGCTGTAAGGACTGCATTCAATTTCTGTTTCATTGATTGTATAAGTAATTGATGCCTAACAATAAATGACGAGCCCCAAGAATGACTACACCCATGTAAGACTAATTTAAGAACTTATTAATGAGTTATTACTCGGAATGCAATAACTCACTTGCGCTATTTTTAAAGAGCTCCTCTTACAAACATCCCCAACTAAATTTATATAGGTCTATATATATATATATATCGTTGTACTTGTGTTTGTGTTTATAACCAATTATTATGTTAACTCATTGACAAATGACTTAAGCAGCTGCCAGCTTTGTCGTGTTTGTTTGCCATATAGCGGAAATTGCGTGTGGCATTTTGTCAATGGCGCAGAAAAACTCCAACATTGTCTAAGCGATGCATTAATCTTGTTTCTTCCGGAAGCTAAACCACATCGCGTGTGTGGCTCCTATCCCAGACACAAGAAGTGTGGTGCAAAAATTAACAGCATTTAGCTAAAGTCTTTGTGGCCATTTCTTGGCCTCAACCCACTCGAGCGCATCCACAGAGCACAAAAAAATCGAGTAAGTTTCTCATCTCAAAAAGCATAACTCTGATTTGAGTGTTTAGTAAGAAGTTATAGTTATATAGGAGGAATAACAAACTAATCACACTCAAACTAATCTAAGCCACCCAGTAATAATAATAATAAAATTTAAATTACTTAAATGAATAGCAACTTAATATTTGTGAACTGAACAAAATGTGTAAATATCATTAAAGAAATGTTGTTGATTCTAACTTATGAAAAGTTAATTGTATTTTTAAGATTTTTTGTTATTCTTATTGCAATATACGAACTCAACTAAAGTTTAACTTATTTTTCTCTGTGCATACCTCTTTGTGTGCTTGCCACGCCCACGCCGCTTGGATTCTTGGACACTGGATTGAGTTTGCCCAGAGCCGGACTCGCTGTGCCGTTGCTCGAGTTCAGATTGGAACTGGTTGCAGTTGTCGTCATTGTGGTCATGGCGTTGGTTTCCAAGCTGCCGTTGCCAGTTCCATTTGTGTTGATCTCCACCTGCATTGTGGTTGTCATTTCTATGCAAAATCAGTCGCTCGTCTGCAAACAACAAAAGTGTAAAGAATAGTTTTGTTTTTTTTTTTTTATTATTATTGTTGTGTGTATTTAACAAAAGTGATTCTTCTGTCTTTTAACGGCGTCTGGTTCGTCTTGACTTCAAGACTTGCCTGTCTTGCTGTCTGCTTGCCTGTCTGTTTCTTTGCAACACGTTGGCGTTCGACCGTGAAAAACTTGCCAAACAGAAGAGGTAGAAGTTCAACGCTCGAGTCGAGAGTTGCTCGACTAGCGAATATCCCTTAAGTGTCTGGCACAATTAATTTCTCAACATTTATCTAATGAAAATACCTCACTATTTAATTTTGTTACGAAGTATACATTTATCTACCATAAATAATACAACAATTGAGGCTAAAGAGTAAACAAATATTTCAATGAAGTTGCTGTTGATTTGAAATTATTATTATCTTTTATTATTAAGAGGCGAATACAAAATAACAAATTAGTTAATAAACCAATTTAAACTTTGTCACATTTTAGTAATGTTTACAGGGTATCACAGAGTGTGGTAACTAAGTAACTGCAGTTGGTGGTTAAGAATGAAGAAATAAGACTGATACAAAAATGCCGAAACTGATGGCAAGAAAACTCAGGCCGCCTTCGTATGCCAGAGCCGGAAAACACCTGTCTATTTTGTATAGCTTGCAACGTGGCTGTTGTTGCCAGTTGTTGTTGTTGCTAGTTGATTGTGTAGCCGTGGCATTGCACAAACATTTTATTGATGAAAAGTAAACAAGCATTTTATCGAAATGCAAACCGTGGCGAGCAAACACAGACACACACACACACGCATGCTGAGAAATGCTTGTTGTAACTAGGAGACAGACAGATAGCGGACAATGGCTTTGAACAGTTGCTCGAATGGGTGGCAGCAACGCCTAAACTCAAGTGCTTCGAGGTGCAGGTAGGAGAGGAGGGGCACAACACACAGGTTGTGATCTTAAGATAATGAAGTAGGTACTTGTATGCAATTTGCATTTGGCGGGTTTCAGCGGCAGCTGTTGGCAACCATTTTAGCCATTTGTCCGCCAGCTCCGTTCATAATAGATCAAGATAGTGTTAACAATTTTAAAGCAACTTGGTTGCAATTGCATTAGGCCACATTTGAGGAATATTTAATTGGCTGCATTTTGAATATGCAAAGTTAGCTAATAATATGGGAAACAACTTGAAGATCTTATAAAAAAAACATATTCACTATGATAAAAATATTAATTATGATAAGAATGTTGCCAATATAGTTTCAAGTAAGTGAAATATTATAATATAATATTCCCTATTAGGATACTCATAATATGATATGTTATTATGATACTTGAAATGCAAATTCTTTTCTAGAGATGATTATAATTATAGATAATTATAATTTTTGAAAATAATTAATTTATACAAATGTATTTATGATTTACTTACAACAATTTTATTAATGTTTAGAGGCGGAACATAAAAAACGATTATTCCTTTTAGTGGAACATAAAAAATGATTATTCTTTCTATGTTCCGCTGTTAAGCATCGAGTTGTAACGAAATCATAAATATATTTGTATATTTAGATTCTAGATCAGACATGGAAAGCCCTCGAGACTGGGATGCTGATAACATTAGAAAATGAGCCGACCAACTTATGTATATATATATATATATATATATATATATATATATATATGTATATATGGTGACTGTATCATTAGTCTAATGGTTTAACTGCATCGTTTTTACTGTGTTTTAATGTCTGAGAAAGTTGTTGGTAACAAAATAACATTTGCATGCCATTAAGAGCAGCTAGACACACACACTGACACACACACACACACACACACACACACTGACGCACACACACATGCATAATTTGAATATGCTTGGCTTGTTTTAATGTAGCAGCTTCTCCTCATTTATGACAGCATAATTGCCAGCCCGTTAGCTCTAAAGAAATTAACATGCACACATCTCTGCACACGTATGTATACACGTATATATGTATGTATGCGTGTGTGTGTGTGTGTGTATGCATGTTGTGTACATTTATGCACTGCCAGCTGGAGTTCTGTAACAGAGAATTAACAGAGCGCTGCTACGCTTTAACGCTTCGCTAGCGTCAATTATGCGGCAAACAGAGTGCAAGCCACATTTGTAACTGCTGCTGCTGCTGCTACTGCTCCTGCATACATATGCATGTGTGTGTGTACATGTGTGCACATACTTTTTGTCTATCATTGTCAAAAAAAAACAAGTGCCAAAAACTAGTCTGGCCTTAAGCATAATTCACAAAGTGCCAAACTAGGCGCAACGAAAGTCGAGCGACGCTTTGCATTCGCCACGCTCGTTAAAGAAACAGCAAAAGATAAAGATAAAGATAATGCAAAGATACTGGAAATACAAAGCTGCACACAGACAAAGAGTGGAATGTGTATGTATGTGTGTGTGTGTGTGTGGGTGCCAATGCCAAAAATCTATGCAAGACAGAAAACGAACTAAAAAAACAGGCTACTCAGAAAGAGAAAGAGAGAGAGAGCGGGATAGATAGAGAAAGAGAGGGAGAGAGTTGTGAGATGAAAAAACGGCAATGGCACGTTTACCTATTAAGTACAACAAGTATCTACAACTATTATATCTACAGTGGTGGCCACATCATTAGGGACATCCATTAAAAATGGCAAAAGAGAGCGTAATTAAATAATCGACTAAATGGTAAACATTAACTTGGATCTGTTTACAAAGTGTAGTTAAGCTATTATAAGATATTTATAATACATCAACATATTAACCGATAAGATAAATCGATAAAATACTAAACATTGATAATATATATTTAATGCATAATTTCGAAATAATCAAATTTAAATTTCGCTAATCAGCCGAAATTTAACCGGCTGAAGAAAGTCCATCAATCATTTTCATTAAAAAAAATACAAAACGGCCAAAATTCAAATGAATACATTTTATTTGGAAAACTTGCAATATATCATCCTCAGTATAGCATCAAAAATCCGTCTATCTGTCTATCTGAATGCATCGATCTCAAAGACTATAATAGGCGCAGACCAAGTTTACTTTGTTTTATCGATAACTCTCATTTCTCGAAAACCGATACAAATCGATTACTAATAACAATGAAAACCATCATTTTCAAGATATATCTTTCTACAGTGACTTAATATTGTATATACGAAGTTCTTTGATTTTATAGGCTGCACCTAATTATATGTCCACCACTGTTAGTACATATGTACAGACAAATGTACTGGATCTGTACAAGCGCTAACAACAAGCGAAAAAGTTGACTTTGCTGTGAATAAAGTGGTTGGTGGTGTTGCTGTTGCCATTTTATATAAGCGTGTCGGCAAAAGGCCTTGCCACTTTATAATCAAGTTGAAAGTGAATTAAGTTTTTGCTTTTCTTTGGTGCTGCGCCAGCGAAAGGCAACAACAACAACAGCAACACCAACGAAAACATGCTACAACAACACACACTCATCAACACAACAACATTGGCAAGCACGGCGATTAATTAAATTATCGATAGCGTAAAAATGTTAAATACCCATTAAAAGATAAACACAAATAACCTTTTACATATACATATACATGGCAAGTACGTTTAGGATTTAAAAATAAAATGAACAAAGTTCGAATACATTGAAGCGAAAAGCAATACATCATCATCAAGAAACTATTATTATAATCAGCAATAACATTTTCTTTTTTTTTTCAACTGTATGTCAAAAAAGGTGATGGCATTTAACATTAACATATGTTTGCCGAATGAACGTGATTAACAGTTTGTGTTAAGAATTATTTACTGACCTTAGGTGTTAAAATTAACATGAATATACGGAAAATGTACAGTAATATGTAAAATAAGAGAAACTATTATTTTTTTTTTGTATTCATCTATATTTCAAATTCCAACAAGGGAGAATGGGGCAGAGAAGGCCTTTAACAGAACCAGAACCTTTGTTGTGATATAGCAAGACACACGACACGACTGCAACTTAGGAACAAAGAAGACAGAGGCGACAACGGAGCTGGGCAGAGGCACCAGGCTTCCGTGAACCCAAATGTTTTCTGAGAGGCAATAATCATAAGCGATTTAAACAGGTAATTACCATGGGAAAGAATAAGCTTAGGATACTCACAGGTCTATTGACAGGACATTGTAGACTAAGAAGTCACCTATCTAAGCTGGGTATTTTTAGTAGCGAACTATGACGGTTTTTTTTTAAATCGAGGAAGAATCCCCACACATTGATATAGTATCTTAGATATGAGCTTATGAGCTCTAACGACATAGAATCCCTCAACCCAAAAAAGATGCTTGTATTCGTACAAGAACTTGGGTTGATGGAAGAGCTATAGACTCAGAAGGGGGCGCAACAGATCAACAAAACAGGTTGCAGTGCATATATATCTCGACAATATAATAATAATAATAATCAAAATAGGTTTACTTTTGACAGACTTATGGCAATAGAAAATAGTTGATTTATTAATCAATTATTGATTATTTAAGTTATTGTTAAATATTTAAATATTTACATACACATACAAATTATATATACTATTAAAAAAATAGCAAATAATAATTAGAAAAATATATAAAAATGTTTCGACTACTTTTAAGCATTTTAGCATAAGCGTAGAATGATGTGATGCAAGTCTATAATTACTGTTGTTTTTTAGCCTCTGCTGTGCTCAGCTAATCTAATCTTGCAATCGCAATTAACGGACTAATAAATTAAGGCACTAAGGGACAGTTCCGAGGTGCTATCTATGACTCCACATCCAAATTAGCAACAATGACAATAAAGCGCAACAACAAAAACAACAACAATAAAAGAAGCGCTTTGAAGCTTGAAGTTTTTATTTAGTTTTGCAGTGTTTTTGTTAGTTCTCGAGTTGGCCCTGATTAGCTAGCTGGCCACAAGGTGAGAGCCGAACCGTCAAAAGCAACAGCAACAGTGGAAAAAAAAACACATTCATTGCTAGCAAATACTTATTTTGGTGTTTTTGCTTTTTTCGTTTCGCTCAAGTTCTGGGCTATTGACACTGTGCCAAGAAAAAAGCGCATGTCGCCAAGGAAAAGCTGGCGAAGATGAAAATCTCTGGTGGGAAAGAAAAATCAAATGTCGACTAGATAATGAAGTTTGAACGTGCAAAAAATGTTTGTAAATAAAAAAAACAAACATAAAAGAACCGGTTTTATCTAATGGTCCACAATGGCAAGGCAAAAATCTCTCTTGTGTGTCAGTGTTGACAGAATTTAAGAGTCAAACAAGCAAGAAAATGCGGAGAGAAACAGCCTCAACAGCGATGACAAATAACAACACACAAAAAAAAAAGTAGTTCCGATTAAAATATACATTTTATTTTTCACACAGCACGGTTTTTATTATAGCCCAAATGCTTTTAAGAAATTAAAACGCCAAAATGGCAACACTGATGGCAATTCGATTGACCTTTCACATAAATAAAAAAAAAACAAAAACAAATATTAATGACACCAATAAAAACGAAGCAAAAGTGAAGTGAACAGCCAAAGTTGATACCACTAACAACAAATCACCGGACGCGATCAATGGTTAAATATATGTATGTGTGTACATAGAAGAGACACAAATACGAGCAGAAAGAAAAACACACACACAGAGTCGCAATCGTTTGGTTTGTTGACCCAAGCGTAGAGCATTCAATAAATTGAAGAAAATGAATGAACGGAGAAACAAAGGCAGAGACGGGATGGGAAAAATCGTAAGAGCAGCAATGACCAAGCAAAAGCGCGCAAGGAGTAGTTAAACACAAATACACACGCACGCAAAGGCACGGAGACAAACACTCGCACTCACAAAGGCACCCAGCCAGACACACATGGGAGAATAGAGAACAGAGACAACTATCGGCTTTGTTCGTTTCTCCTCCCCCACCCCCCATCACAACAACAACAACAATAACAATACGAAGACGCGACAAACATAAAATGAAAAGTGACGTCGTCGTTGTCAACGTTGTCGCTGGCGTAGGCGTCTCTGCCTCTATCACTGCCGCTGCCTCTGCTACTGTCTGCTGCAGCTGTGCCGCTGGAATAGAAATGGGCTTTTGTTTTTATGCTGGCACTTTGACTCACATTCCAAACAAATTTCTCAAGGTTTCGGCACACATACAATCAAATATTTATTGCTAATTATTTAAATTACCTACGCGTTGCAATTGGAGCAGCTGTTATTAAACCCGGTCCCGCTTCAGGTATTTTATATGAGCACTCTTTATTAAAGAAATGCTAATTTGCAGCACTTAATAACTGACATACAAATATATATATATAAATATGTATAAAACTATCTGCTTCTTCGCTTGACCATATTCAATTTTGCACACCAACACACACACACAGGCGCTCACGTCAAGCGTCAACTTAAAATTCTTCGCACACGATTTTTTTATTGAATTTTTTCAATGGATTTTGCGGTAGTTTTTTTTGTTGTTGTTGCTGCTGCGACCGACCAACTTTCAAGTAGTTTTCATTCGCAATTAGTTAAGGCAACAAACACCCGCAATGCGTACCCAGCATATATGCGCAACAAAAAGCACGAAGCGTCCGCTCTCGACATGTGTTGCTCGACAACAGCAGTGAAACGACGAAATGAAACACCAACTAAACGAAAACACCAACTGAATGCCGACAGATAAACTAAACGAAACTTGACGAACGACAGTGTTGGAAAGCGATCAGCGTTGCACATTGCGGCGACGTTAGAATTTAAATCTGAATATGAATTTAAATGTAATTCTAAAATCGTAAAATTTCTGTTATTGATGCCTTACTTCAAATATAATTCACTTATTTTTGTACAAAGAAAAGCCAGTTAGAATTTATCTTCAAATACGTTGTATATATTTTATGCTCGCATTGCATGTGAAAATCGTTTGCTTCATTTTTTTTGTATGTTGTTTGTTTGTTTGTTGTAGACAATATAAATGTACAATAGCACACACAAACATATTGTGCTTAAAATAAATAAACATACGAATACATATACATACACATTTATATATAAAAAACAATTACAACTAGAATTACGAATACGTGTTTTGGATGTCTCAACATTAAAATACATAAATCGATAGATACATATACAGTTGCATATACATATACACGTACAGATAAAGATACAGATACATTCACACATATAGCAAAACATTAAGCGCTCAACAACAATTTAACTATTTATTGCATATGTATAGGAAGGCGCCGCCGCTGCAGTGTGCAGCGTGGCAATTAACAAACATTTCAACACATATATATATACATATAAATATACATAAATATATATATATGTATTTATATATATATATACACACACATATGCACTAAGCAATCTCTGTTCAATAACTAATCCTAGTTCCTTAATTACAAACAGCATTCGAATTAATATTCTACACTCCAATCGAGCTCATCATCGTACTCCTCCTCCTCCTCCTCCGCGTACTCCTCGTCCTATTTCTCCTGTTCGCGATGCTCCCGCTTGAAGCTCCACTCAACAATCACGAAGGCAACGGTGCCAATGGTGCCCGTTACCACCAGAATGGCCAACTGAGTATACAGCCCAAAGTGCGCCGAGTAGAAGAAACTAATGGCCGCCGCCACGGATTGGGTGAATTTGAAAAGGGCAAAAGCGCCGACAGGATTGTTGACGAACTCGCCACCCAGCATGGAATACACCTGAGTATTGAAGCAGGCATCGCCCAGGCCCAAAAGGAAGGCACAGACGAGAGCGATTGCCGGGCTCGGTGGATCCAAATACGAAATATCGGTGGTATCCTTGAACGGTGCACTATTCGGCAGATTGAGGAATGTCAACAGATAGGCAACCATATGCATCACATAGCCAGCAATGACAATCGGATCCCGGCCAAAACGTGTCGTCTTCGATGCCAATATGCCAAAGAAGCCGCCGCCAAAGACCTCGCCAACGCCAATGCATATCCCGACGAGGCCAACAATCTCCTTCGGCGTTGCAGCGATTTTCATGGTGAATCCAATGGACGAACCAAAGACGCCGCTAAAGAACGATAGCTCCAGTCCTGTAAAAAAAAAAAAAATCAATCGTAAATTGGTTAAAGATGAGAAAAAAGTTAAAACTTTGAGCAGTTGAAGACTAAATATTAAAAATATATTATTCTATTGACAAGTTTTTAAAATATGCAAGAAATATATGGGAAAAGATTCAAGTTTCGATCTTCCGATTGATTGTCTACAAATAGTTACCACGGTAACTATATAATAAAGTTTACAGTTTGCAGTTAAAAGAGGGAACTTCCTCATAGCTTGTGACTTGAATCTTAATGCTGAATAAGACTATATTTAGCTGATATAACATCGCTATGCAAGAGCATAAAATAAACATTGAAATCGCCCCTCAATCCGCACCTGTGTAGAAGAAGGCCAAGCTGAGCAACAGCATTCGTTTGGTGCAGAAGAGTTTGCCGGCCAATTTCAGGGCATACAGAGCCTGGCCACAGCCCGTGTGCTGTTGCTCCAGTTCGTTGTCCTGCTCCGCATTGCTGGCCATGAAGCGCAGGGCAGCGAGGAACACAATGCCCAAAACGGCCACCGCTGTTAGCACACCAATGACCAGATTACGTGTCTCCTTATCGATGTGCGTCTTGTCCTGGAACTGATAGTACACGAAGAGATTGCCGAAGAACATGCTGCACTGCAGCAGGGCCCAAAAGATGCCCGAATTCCTTGAAATCGTATCCGAATTGCTGCACCTCGCCAAATACGTGCCCTGACCCGTCCAGGTAATGGACGCACCCAATCCGAGCAGTGCACTCGCCACATACAACAGCCACGTGGATGGAAACAGAAATGTGATCATGAAGGCGCTGCAAGAATATTATTTGATTATTTCAATATTGCTGACTGCTGAGTGCTCATTTTCAATTCATACGTGTAAGTTGCGGCACCCGCAACCATTGCCACCCGTGGTCCTGTGAAGGAGATGAAGGACGGCGCCAGCCAATTGGAGAGCGAGAAGAACAGATAGAGTATGGCCAGGCTTGTGTAGCCATCGCCCTTGAAGCTCTCATCCTCCTGCGAAATGCTGTCCAATATTGTTTTCTGTGTGGCATAAAAGTATACGAAATTAACATTTAATTTAGTTCTTTTTAATTTGTATACAAAAAAGGTAGACAATATCAAAGCAAGCCAGCCAATAAAGTCAATAAACGAATTTGTGACTTGAAAACGATCAAATTTGCAAAGCATTCGCCTAAAATGTCACGCACGAAACGTGTTTAAGTTTTATATGCATATATATAATATATATATATATATACTATATATATAGTATGTATGTATGTATAATCACTTCCATTTCTAGTCTAAGCATTTCCTGTGCGGATGCGGTAGTGGGTAGTGAGTTGTGGGCGTTGTTTTCATTTAGGCCCGGATTTTGTCTCTATATAATACATACATCAATTGGCCGTCTATTTATATATATGTTGATAAATATATATATGTATATATTTAACGCAATTCTTGGCTCAGCTGTAAACGGGTTTACTGTTGCAAATTCAAGTGCAATGACAGCCACAAAAACAGCAACTGAAAATTCTTGTGTGGCTGGCTGCCTTTTAGCCACATTTCGCATTCATTAATTGCTTAACTTAGACGAAACGTGTTTTTATGCACAAAATTTTCCACTCTTAAGGATTGTAATAAAAAAAATATTCAAAAAAATAAGTAAATAATAAATTGAGATAACGATATCTCGGCAATTTGACTCTGACCGCAATTTGATTTGCATTGAGTGCTTTTTGCACTACTTGCAACTGGCTTAGCTTAATCCTTGGGCCAATTCAAGAGCCAATTCAAGTTGTCAACCGACAAATTGGCAATTGATAGTTATCAGCAGCACAACAAGAACTAAGATTACAGCCCTTTTTACATCATGTTTCATAAAATCTACCTTGAAGCTTTAGATTAAAAAACTGCAAAAATGTATGCATAAAATAAAAATGTGTTTGTTTAAATCAAAATAGCTGATAAACTATTGATTATAAACAATTGATGGAGAACTTTTTGGAAATACATAATTTTTAATTATTGTAGAATACAGAATTTTAACTTTATGTTTGGGCATATAAAGAAATTATAACTTGGAAAATATTTTTAATTGCAACAATTAATTGAATTGTTATATAATGACTTTCCCAAATTATAAATAGCTGTTATCGGAGGCATAAGAACATATTTGTATACTATTGGTGCCATTGGAGTGATCATAAATAAGCAATCAATTCATTGAGTGAAACGACAACAATAAACTGATAAGAGAGCTTGGCCTGTAATCAGTTCAAAGACATCCATGGAGCACATGTTTAATGAGCAATTCAAAAATAAAGAGTTGCAGTCAAAAAGTCACAAAAACTGGGTTAAGTTTTAAGCCAATACTTGAAATGCATTTACTTTTCTTCTTCTTAAGAAATAAAAAAGCCAAAACAAATAAAATATCTGCAACAATGTGAAAGTCAATGGTCAGCCATATTATAACTGTAAACGCGTAAGCCGGAATTAAAACCATATCGAAACCTATTGCAGAGATCCGTTATTTACACATGTATGCGTGTGTGTGTGCATGTGTGTGTGTGTGCATGTGTGTGTGTATGTATGTGTGTGCATGCATGTGTGTGTGTGTGAGTGTGTGTGTGATACATGTTACGCAAAAATCAACTGGTGCGACAACTCTCAATACGAACAATATGAAATAGAGAAGTGGAAAAAATGCAGAAACAAGTTTTATTTTGTATTGGTATTTTTTTTTTGGCAGCCACTTTTAACAGAGGGGAGTTGTGGAGGTTGTGGGGGAGGGGGGCATTGTGGGCTCGTCTATTGGCGCACCCTCTTTTTGGTTGAGTAATGACGTTGCAGTTTGGCGCCTAACGGTTTTTATGCTAAGCCAGTGGGACATTTTATTGTTTGGCATACACACATATGTATATGCATACATAACATACATATGTCGGTGTGTGTGTGTGTGTTTACATGTGTAAACAAATGCATACAAATGCTGGTCAGCTTGACCTTGAGTGTATACGTGTGTGTGTGTGTGTGTGTGTGTGCAGAGTGTGGAACTTGCGATTGCATTGACATTGAAAGAGTTTTGACTTTGATGCGTTTGCAACCTAAATTGTATGCAACAATATGTATTTGATTGTGCAATCATGTGGAAAAATTTTTGAACTGTTTATTGTACACACCGACAAAGTCACGCAAATTGCGTTAAATTTTCAATTTGGCTTTGGCGCTCATATAGCTATTTGGTTAATTTAACAAGTTCGTTTAGTTTTCTTTAAAATTCGATTTTATTAAAAAAAAAACTGTAAAAAATTGAACTGTTTTCTTGTTACTTTTGCCAATCCCTTTTTTCGTCGTTAATTGAGCTGTTTTGTTGATGGGCAGCACTGGTGCGTAAACAAACTATACGGATCTTCAACAGCTGAACGAATGATTAACAGTTGGAACGTGAGATTAACAGCTGTACGAACGCTGCTTGCTAACATTGTTTAAACATGTTCACATGTATATATATAAATACAAGATAAAACCGCTAATTTGAGCAAGCAAAGTATTTGAGAGAGAGCATTTTCGCTTAATAATTGATGCACTGTTCTCCTTTGTCTTGCTCACAACTAGCAACAAATAATTAGTTCAGTTTATAAGGAACGCGTGCTGGACTATTTGATTGGATAAGACGACAGCAGTAGTAAATGTTAGGCGCATTTTAGCTGTGGATAGATTACGCCATAAGCCAAGGCCTTTTGCGCGCTAAGTTGCTCTCTAGCACACACATACTTGGATATATAGTATAGGTATATGTATTGTATAAATTGCTACGATTTTTCGCTCGATTGTTTTATATTTGTCAATAATTTTTGGTAAGCGACTTGGAGAACGCTCAGCTTGAAATTCCAGCTAACTTCGATTCAATTCAATTTAAGGCGTAGTAAATTATCTAACAAAAAAATAACTTGAGGGCAAATTGGCATAACTTAAAAGTGAGCGTGTTATGTGATATATATATATATATCTGTATATATATATATATATATATATATACAAATACAATCTATAATTTATGTATACTTGTGTAACTGCCGAAAAAATACAAAAACAGAAGACAAAACAGCAAATAAACGAAACACTCAAATCTGTGTCATAACGGTTTTTGTTTAATCATTTCGAGGGATCATTAAAGTTTCGAGTTTCGAGTACTTTTACAGAATATTAATGATTTGTCTTCAATTCAACGCCTTCAGTTTTAGATCGCTTTCCAAAGAGCAAAAGATATACAAAATGCTTAGCATACTCAATTAAAAAAAAAACAAAAAACCTGAAATTTCAATAAATCAAAGCAGAGAAAATAAAAGTTGTTTTGTTTTTATAGCACACAGAAGTTGAAATACTCTTGCAATTAATATTAAAAAAAAAAACAGAAATTTTCAGCTGTTATCAGTTGTGTGTTTCTCATTCAGATCTATTAATTTGAGTTGAGTTTTGTGAAATGAATTTGCCAAGAAATATGCAACTGATAACAGCTAAAAATTTGAATTTTTTGTCGTTCGTGTTGATAACGAAACACAGTAATAATTTATACACCAAGAAAGATCGAGTTTGAATTTAAATGCAATTTGTGATGAATTTCAAAACTAATAAACAATACAATAAATAATAAAAAAGAAAATAAATTTCTGTGTAAAGTTGTCAAATAATTCACAACCTGCAGCACAGTTTACTTCTCTACTATACTAGAAACGACCTTCATTTGAGCACAGTTAACAGTTAACTCAGCACGGATAAGGGCGTGAATAAACCGTTACAATTGACAAGTGAATTGACGCATTAATGAAGCAATAGCTTCATAATACACACACAAACGCGCGCACACACACACACACATACATATATAAGTCAACAAGCTTTCTTTGTGCTGCACAAGCATTGAATCTTTGTAAATTCATATTCTTGATATTTAATGACAGAAGGAGGCGAAAAAGCAAACACAAACACACAGACAGATTCGCATCTATGTATCTATACTGAGTAAATATAGGGTCATTCTAACACAGAAAATTAGCCTGCTTTAAAAAGGATCAATAAAAAAAATTTTATTAAATATAAGGTCTTTTTATTAGTAATAAAAATAATTTAAAACAAAATTTCTTCTTCGTGTTGCCTATTCTTGTCTGCATTTTCTCTCAGTGCAGAGTACATCAATTGTTGTGGGCGTTTACTTGCTATCAAAGACAGCATTTCCCTTTCCATTTTCTTGACATTAAAAGCCCCACGCCAGGCAGCTCACATCTGCCCTTTGACAAAGTTAGTTGACTCTCTTGGAATGTGAGTTGACTTTTGAGCTCATCAATTGCATTAATCAAATTGATCTCTGTTATGTGCGTGGTGCTTGTGAGTAAAATGTTATCAGCTGGTATGTGTTATCGTATGCAGTAGTTATTAGATGCTGTTATGATTTATGGTGGTGTGTTCCAGGTCCCCAAACGAGATTACAATAATAACATGTCTGAGCAATCTGTTAGTTTTCACAGAAACATAAATCAGTATAATTTACTCAAATGGTAATTGAGTGAAGAGCTTTCTTTGTTCACAGTAGTTAATATGCACATATCTATATATATATGTGCATACATGCAAGTAAATCTAAGCAGATGTATGTATCGAAATGTGGATGGGCGTGTGTATGTGTATGTGAGCGCATGTGTGTGTGTGGGTGGGTGGTAAAAGCGACTGACAAACGACGACGACACGTATGCCAAGGCTACTACAACGTCTATTGGCAAGGACAAGGACGAAAATAACCCTATATGAAGAGTGGAGGGTTGTCAACACAACGCCAACGCATACATGCACGCACTCACACACACACACACTCTGAACTCACCTCGATGTTACACATTGTTTGAAATGCCGTAAAGACAAACATAAATCCAAAGCCGAGTATTATAATCATGACGAATTTCATATCCATTTTGTAGGGTTTTTTAGTTGTTATTTTAGTATCTTTGTAATTAAACGATTGTCTTTATTTGTTTATTTGTTTTTGTGCATATCAAACGCAACGCACTTGACGTCACAGCAAGAAGAGGAAGAAGGCGGAAGGGAGCGAGGCGGAACGTGAACGACTGTTAGTTTAGACAATGTTGAGCGCGGGTAAAAACCAAAACAAACAATTCGTAAATTACAATTTACACGAGCATAGTTGAAAAACACCTGCTTAATCACTGTGTAGAATATACTTATACAAAAAGCAATGCAAAATAAGTTACACGGAAAATTAAAACCGAAAGACACCAAATTGTTTGGCGTTGGGTTAATGTGTATGTGATGAGGTTTGAGAGTGGATTGAAACCAAAAAGAGAAAATGCCATGTGTAAATATACACAATGTTATCTACAATACAAGTAATGCTATACTCAAAGTGGCACTGTTAACTTCAACTGTCGGTAAAATCACAGGTCTCTCGACTCATCAGCCGACCTCCACACCTTAGTATTTTTCTTATCGATTTTTAAAGGGCGGTTGAATGTGGGGAATTTCATTGAAATAAATGGGGAACTATATTTAATGAACAATCGCTGCAAGATGGCAGTTATGACAGTTGTGATAATGGATTTTTCCATAAATAAACCCATTTGCATAAATTCTTATCTTTGCGACATTATTCTACATTTGTGTTCTATTCCCGATCGATCCATTTCATTTAATCGATAGTTAGAAAACTAAACTAGTTTTGAATTTTTGTAACGCAATTGTTGAAAAAAAGTTGAATCCGCGAAAGTACAAATAAATTCTAACAGTCCGTATCAGTTTCGTTCAGCTTAGGATTAATCAACTCAATCGACTTATATTCTTTCAATAAACCCGAATACAGCGAGTGACATTCTCGGCAGATTCCTTTCTCCATAAGAGATTGTTTCAATTTTGACTTGCGTTTCCCTTTGCCCTGCAATCGTTTGATCGACATTTCTCTGCCCTTAGAATTGATCTTTAATCGGGTGATCCTGGGTGTGTACCACTTCAGAATGTGCCATATGGCATGTTCTTGGCTGCCGATGCAATCAAGGACGCCCAGTCGGGTCATATTATGCAGCGATTCATTTATGATTTCATTCAGACGGGGATTGTTCTTAGATTTCTTGCTCCTCAATTGCTTCTTCACGGACTTGGTGATTTCGTTGACGGACGCAAAGCCGCATTCCGAAGATTGTATTTTGACAACAGCATTGAAAACCTGCCGATTGATATTCCTCGGCACATTGAACTGATCCATTCCGAATTATTGAAATAATAATTTTGCTTTTTAGGAATATTTATTGTATTATTTTATGGTTTTGTTTAGTTATGTGCTGCTCTGGATGAACTTGGAAACGTGTTTGAAATTGTTTTTGAACTAGTACTGACTGAACTGTGAGTAAAAGGCAAAGTTGACTTGGATGTAAAAGCTAAAACGAGATTCTTAATTTTATTGACAACATTTCTGCAATCTTCAAGTGTTTTTTTTAGAGCATTTAAGTTCTCTTAGTTTGTTTTTTCTAATATAGATCGTTTATTATACTGTAAACATATTATTTATAATGATTTCGTGAGTGTATACGTGTGTGTGTGTGTTTTTGGTTTACTGTAAACACTAAAATCTATTCTTCGTAGGTTTGTTGCAGGTATGTAGTATCGTAAGTAAACTGAAAAGTTATATTTATCATTTTCACTCATTGAACTCAAAAACTCTTTGCTTGTGCCGAACACCGGAACTGTGAGGAGGCTCCATTGAACCGCAATTACAATTTGTATATAATATGTAGTACATGTTGTATGGAATGTGTTTTGCATATATATAAGTATACATATAAAGATAAATTTGCTATTCGCCTTCCGGTTGTTGCTGGGGTACTCCGTATCCCGACGCCCGCATCCGAATCGGTGAACTGCATGAGTCTCCAAATAGCAAATAAAAAAAAAATGTGGAGCGACAAAACATTTCCAGAGCTGGTTTAACACAGACGGTACAGAGTTATCGATAAACAACAGATATTTATCATTAACATTATCATTTCTTAAAATTATTTAAAGGGTTTTCATCTTTCATCAACATTATTGCTGCTTTTTGAATATTTCTTTAGCTGGCATGCGTGTAAAATGGAATTTCTCTTTTCTTTTAATGTATTTTAGTTTAATTTTTCAGTTTCTGATTTCTAATCTCTTTCCGATTTCTTTCAATTCATCAAATCAACTTGATTGTAGCTCTTGAACTTAGTTCATCATTTATTCGCTCTTTTTGTGTGTTATCACTGCATCATCAATCTCCTCCTTTAGCTGATCCTTGTCGCCCCAGCCCCAGGTGGCGTGGGTGCCATCGCCGGTGCGCTTCACACGCTTCTTAATGATGTCGGGGGAAACACTCTTTAGATCGTAGGCCCATCCAATCTTGGCAAAGAAGTCAATGAAACCCGTGGTCAGATTCAACGAGTAATTGCCAAATTCAGCGGTCTTGTAATCCCAGGGGAACACATGATGATAGTTATGCCAGCCCTCGCCAAAAGCAAGTACCGCAACCGAAATGTTCTCCGATGGATTAATGAATCTATAAGCAAATTGAAATCAGTTAAATAACCAATGCAAATATGAGATTCAACAACGGTCCACACTCACTTGTCATAGGGACGGCCACCGAACTTGTGGGCAGCACTATTCACCAGCCAGGTCACATTCAGAATGAAGCACCAACGGAACATGGTAGCCACAAACCAGGCATTCACCAAAGTCTCATCCCAGAAATACATGGGCGCAATGGTCGGCAAGATGAAGCAGGCCAGAGGCATCAGAATCATGTAGTGTCTGTGGCAATAAGTTGAGCAAATATTAGTTATATAACTCGTGATAGACGCATATGACGATTGTACCTCTTCTGGAACATCAAGACGGGATCGGCACGCAAATCGGATAGGTCGACACCCTTGCCCTTGGCCTTAACCTCGGGATGCTTCTTGCACAGCAGCCAGCCAATGTGCGAGAAGAAAAAGCCGCGCGTGGCATTATGGGGATCAGCATCCGTTTCCGAGTACTTGTGATGCACACGATGGTCACGGGCCCAATGGTAGGCGGCATCCTGGAAGGCGACCGTGTTGAAGATCACCAGCAGCACGCGCAGCGGCCATTTAGCCTTGTAGGAACGATGGGCCCACAGACGATGAGCTCCAGCCGTGATGCCCAGGCCAGAGACCGCATAAAGAGCGAGAGCTGTACGTATGTATAAAGTTATAGTCAAATTAAATACGTAATAAATATATTTAATTATTAATATCGGTGGAGGATAATGCTTTAATATATTGTGGACAACCACGAGGAATTTCTACAATTGCAAATTGTTAATTATTCTTTTTCACTTCATCGTGTAGATTATGTGGATGATCCTTTACAGTACGAAGGGCATAGGATTCGTTATTGTCATCGCTGGCAGTGAGCAGACCGAGAAGCGTCAAGTTATGCAAGGATTGCTTGATACAGTCATCTAAACGATGCACAGGATTCGAGTTACGCATCGAATGCTTCACTGCCAATTGTATATCGGACAATGGCGCATAGTTAACGCCATCAGATTCGGTAATATATTGAATGGCTTTCAGCACATGTCGATTCACCTTGCGAGGCACTTGAAAATCATCCATTTTGCATACGTTTGTGTTGTAAATTGCCTAGCTCTGCTAGTATTAATGTATAACTAAATTATCGGATTTTACAATGTGTGTTGACAGCACTATTTGATACTAATGTGTTTTTTGTACCCAGGTTTTTCTTTTTTTAATAGAGTAGAGTCTCATATTATGTGTGTATATAGTTAATCAGAAACGATTATATATATGCATATATATATTAGAATTGAATCTAAAATATGGGTACTTCAATTATTGTATAATATATATGCCTATATTTAAAATTAACATATACATATATATATATATTAATTTCGATCTAGGTGGACTATAAGTACGCGACTTTTGGCTCAATGTTATCAGCGCGTCCAAATTTGAAAACAATGCTGATAACCTCGCAATTGAAATGCGCGGCACGCTCCACAAAGATGTTGAGAGACAACAATGAAATGAAATTCAATTCAATTATTTAAATAAGGCACTCTTCACTTACCCAGTGCACCTGTCTGCCATTTGGCTGAGGTTAACATCAGCCAGGCGCCATAGACAGCGGCCAAGTGCAAATAGCCAAAGAGGATGATATTGCGCCAGACCAGTTTCAGTTTGCGTCTGTCGGCCTTTTTCATGGACACGATGTCCTTGACGAGGCCACCATCGATGGTCTCCGCATCGCACTCGAAGAGCACACCGGTCGAGTCCTGTTGCAGCTTCGTTGGATTCTGCTCCGATTCAGCTGCTGCGGCGGCAGCGGACGAGATCAGCGAGTCGGTTATCGACTGGCCTCCAGCGGTGGCGTTTGGCGGCATTCTGTTGTACCAACTGCTTAAAAAAAAGAAACACTTTTAGCTTTCAAGTAAATTCTGGGGCAAGACAATTAACTAAGTAATTTGGCTAAGCTGAACTTGACACGATTTTTCTGCTAGACATCCCAGCCAGGGTTGACGCCCAGCAGTTGTTTTAGGCTCGTCTAAAATTTATGGAAAATAAAAACAAAAAACACAAATTTCGTCTCTATTGAATTTTATTTGAGTGCAAAGCTAACCTTTTTTACTGCGTCTAGTTAACTAACTGAACATCTTAATTTTACATTTACCCTAATTACACAGATTATTTTGCACTTTGTCGCCATGTATAAAATAAATATGACCTAAACGTTTACAGGTAGCCATTGAACTGCGAGTCAAGCTGAACAATAAAAAAATCAACACAGTGGCAAATTAGCATTTTCGCTAAGTATATTCTCCTTTTTTGTATTTGAAATTAAATGATTTTAATAGACAATTTTAGTTGTATATTTTAAAATGCATATTTAAGTTGAATGCAATTAACTAATAGCTGCAAATTATTACGAGGGAAGGCTGTACGTGTCCTTGCTAAAGGATAACTGTTAATACACAATAATTAAAGTGCCGGCAACGGAGCAGTCGCACCAACACTAACACACTCAAGCATCTCCCCACACACACACACATAAGAAAAGAGAGAGCTAACTGCAATTCACACCCATATACGTATACACATACACATGTGGGTCACTGGGCGCCTAGTGTAAAGGCCACGCCATTAGGTTATTGGTGTACGTGCCTGGCCGTGGAAAATTTTGCAAACAAATATATTGATACATCCACAAATACCCACACTCAAGCAAACGTAAAGAATTATAAAATTTTTGCATAAAATTCACACAGCAAAAGCTAAATGCCCTGCTGTCTTCGTATTGGTATTAGTGTGTATTAATAAAACTGTGCAATGGCATCACTACTTTACCGTTTCTACGTTAAACAAGCGCGTCTTTCACAACCTGCCAATTGGGGGTTAAGTTTAAAACTGTTGAGTAGAGAATTCGCGTAAAAGCAAGCGACTAGGCAAGCAGCTGCTGAGAAGCTTTTGCTGTCGTAAGCTTCACTTGGAACGCTTGGTTAGCTGTGCTGGCAACAGAGCTTTTTACAGGTGTGCAGACCGATTAGAAAAAAAGACACAAATCGACTGATTATTAAACATAATTCAGGGTCAGGGTTTTATTTTTATATTGTGCCTATAGCCGTCCACATTTTTAATCAATGCTTTTAAAGCTATTCGTCAGTCTAATAGTCTGTTAATTAGTCATAAATCTGATGCAATTCTTTCAACACAAAGCAAAATAATAATAAAAAAAAACATGTAATCTAACATATGGTTTCTAGGGTGGAAATTGCGGTGCAAGCTTGTACTTAAGTTACACACTTACGCACTTATATGCATGCAAATTTAAGAAACGTGTGTATGCATGTATGAGTGTATTGTATATCAAAACATTGAAATGTGAACCATACGTGGTGCTAAAAATCATACGATGTCTGCGCCATATACAAGCTGCTGCTGGACAGAAAGAGCCAGAATGACAGCAACACTAAATTCAGATGAATTTGTTTGTGTGCACACACACATGCATACATATAGATAAATACATACATACATACAATTTAAAAGAATATTTAGAAAAAGAAGAGCTTTTCTAATATGGCGCCTTAAATGACAGCGCACTCAGATTTCACAAGCTCTCTCGCTTTCTCTCTCTCTCTCTCGCTCTGTATATTTCTGCCTTTGCCATGTCAGAGAAACAGCTGTTTATTCTTGCGGCGAGAGTTGCACCACAAAATGTAGCAAAAAAAAAAAAACCGGCAAAGCCTCTACCGGCGCAATAAACTTTTAACGACTTTGTGTATGTTTATAAAAATGGCCGCACCCCGCATTTGTTAAGGCCACATGCTTTTTGGTATTGAACTTGAAATGTGTGTGTAGAAGTAGCCCTGCTGGCGACAATGCGCTCGGCGTGGGAGATAACGAGATAGAGAGAAAGAAAGAGGGAGAGAGGAATGAAAGCTCATTGCGCTGACCGGCATGTCACGTTGCAACAGCGTGATTCGTTCCACTCGTAACGCGGAAATAAGCAGTTCGCCTTTTTGGTCAGTTTACATCTATGCGCTATTATTTGCTTGTGCCCAAATAGGCAAAGATAGTTTTTCCGTTCTCTTGTTAAGTGTGACACATAGTTCTAACTGTGTTGCATTTAATTAGACTCAGCAATGTTTATTAATGCGAAGTCAAATAAACAATGCATGAGCGGCACATTTTATTTATTCAATTAAGTTAAGAGTTCGTTTCACCATTTAATTGTAAACAAATAATTTGCGATTCAGTGAAGTAAAAGTGGATTTGGATTAACATAATGAGGTGCCTCTGTATATATGAACATATATTATATACATTCCTAGGGAGAACCCCTTTCCGTAGAGGCAGCTAAATTAAATGTATCGATATATATATATATATACACATATATATTTTTTAAGTATGTTTAATTTTCTTTTCGTCAAATTTTGTTATTGGTTGCAAGCGCCTTTGCAATGTGTATGCATATTTATGTGTATACAAATTAACATACATTCGGAATAAGAATGAGCTATCATTGTATTAATGTATTTTTCATTGACTGAATGGTCTCGACTCATAGCAGTTAAATACAGGGTCGATTAGCTAAAGGCCCCAAGCTAACTTCGCAAGACCTGCTCTGCTGTGTGTGCCTAGGTCTTTAACCTTCAGCTTCAACAAGCAACTTGTGGTAGATGCTGCTTTGACCGTTAAAGTACAGCCTTCATAACTTAAGACAAAACCTAACTTATAACAAAAAAAAAAAAAAAATCGAAATTTGATTATTGGCATGTCTCGGAAGATCGATGCTTTGGCGCAGGAGATATTCTTTTATTGGCTCACTAAGCCAACAAAACAAGAATAAAAAATAGAGAACACAAATATATAAAATACATATATATATATGTATATAAACTTATTTACTTTTTTTTGTGGTAGTCTTTTTTGCTTTGTTAATGCTTTACGTAAACACTTGCAAATCCTGTCGCAATGAAAACTGCTACTAACCTGTTTGGTTGACAACGCTGCTAATAAACTTTGCTTTTCGCGCTATTCCTTTTAGGATATACAAATTGTAGTGTCGCTGATTTTTCACAGCTCAATGTCTATCGTCGACACGTCCGCAAGCTCGGCGCTTTCAACTTAAACTGAGAGCAACTTGAGCAGTGTGGTTATTATTTAAACAATTTTTTTTTTCGCTCGTAAAACTTTCAGCGCTGGCAGCGATGCAAACTTTTACTGCTCTTACGGCTGGCATACGTATTTATGTATATATATATATATACATATGTATGTGTGTGTATACATATACAAACATGCATTTGGCACGCATACATTAATTAAGGCATACTAAGAAGACGACGAGTAGTCAGATTTGCTCGTACACATTGTATATATAGAGGATAATCGCTAATGGGTAATGAATGAAAATTAGGCATATTAAGCTTTAATAGGATCATTTACAATTGTAATTGACCAAATGCAACCAAATGCACTAATTGCATAATTTGATGACAGCGCAAATCAACTGAAATTCTATGTTAATCAATGCACTATGAACTTCATTTGTATCGTTAACAAGATAACCATTTGCTTATCATTCACGTGTAGAACAACAATTCTATTAATAACCAAGTAATTGATTATCAATTCCAGCCAGCCATAAATGATTTCACTTTTGCACTTTGTACAATTTAAAAATTTTCAATTAGCAAGTAACAAAGTAAGTAAAAACAATGACGACTTTAAGTGCCACAATTGTGTATTATCTTACTGAATGTTACGCACCAAATTTATGTTAAGTTAACTAGTGGGAATGTTGGTGCGGGAGTCATAGTCATAGAATAATGTTGTGTGATTGGAGCGCAAGCGATATGATGCCCAGCTGTTGCTGTAACAGGTAAGATATCGTAAACGATATTCTGTCACTGTCAGCTGTTCGTGCAGCTGCATTAAATGCGAATTCTGCATAAATAAGAAAAAAAAAAAAAGAAAAAAACTGCGCAGTGTGGAAAATTCTGAGGCAGAGGAACTCTTAAAGTCAAACAGATTAAAAGTGATAGTAATCATTCTAGTGTCAATCGTTGATTGACAAAACGTAATTACAAACTGTATAACAATAAATACATTCTATATTGAATAATTTTTTACATTTTCAAATCAACCACGTGATTAAGACAACGTACGAGGGTAATTTTCATTCGTAACCTTCTGTCATTGAATGCAAAGTGATGTCACTTCGAGGACGTGATGCGCATCATTTGGTGAAAACATTGTTCTAATCAGATCACAATTGCTAAGCAACGCATTTGCTTATGCGTTTAGTGTTGTTGTTTTAATCTGCGCTGTGAGCATCGCACGCGTTCACACATTTGCTTCAGATGTTTTCGGCAAATTATGACAAATATTTGTTTTCAACAAGAGTGAATATAAAAAAAAACACACACACAAAAACTTACTTGATAAACTCTTATAACAATTTAGCGGCTAAATCCGAGAATATGATTATAGATTATGAAATGTTTTTGCTTGCGGTGGTTTTGTGTCACTTGATAGAAAAAGCAAATATCGGCTTTACTGAAAATTTATCGGGTATCTATCCCATAAAGCCGAACTGGGTAAAATATGCATCGATAATAATTAGTGATATTTGAAAAAGTATGTTTAAATATTTTAATACTGTTATATTTGATTAATGTATTATGCTTAGACCTGATTCTACAAAATTATATCGATGGGTTTTTAAACACTGAATTTGAACAACACAACAATGCTATTATTTGTCAAAAATCAAACCAAAATAACCTATGCCTAAATAATAACAAAATTCATCGATAACAGTTTGTGGCCCGATGACCTATCGTTGCTTTGTTAATGCTTATCCACTGACGTCATAAGATGTTACAACAAGAGAGCGACGCAGTCGAGCAGCCAGATGAAGATCGTAATAAAGAAGTGGCTGCCGTTGAGAAGCCGTCGAAAAAGGACAAAGAGAAGGTTGACAGTTTCATAAACAAATCGTCAGAGCTTCGCATTGCAGTTCATGGCATGTCCTCGCTAATTAATACGCGTCTGTCCAGCGAGGCACTGCAAACATGTCTCGCACTCATCGAGGCCGGAGTGCATTCAAAGGCTCTGGCTGACATCGTCATGCACATCCTGGACGACAATGCCAAAAGACAGGAAGCGGAGCATGGCAATACACAGCCATAAACTAATTGCGTTTCTCATTTCAATGCCAGACAATTTTTGGACGTAGGTTCAGCTGCTTATCAGCAGCTGCAAAACCTGCAGACTTTGACGCATAAACATTGCTCCATTGATTGCGATATCATTGTTATCATCTTGCTTATACACACAAATATATATATATATGTTTATTTATAATACAGACTAAAATAGAAAACTTTAATCGGCTTATTAATTTTGCCTTAAGGTAGATAACAATATAATCGAATTAAGCGAGGAAATATTGCACTTGGACTGAGATAACTAGTTGGACTTCTTGTCCAGCACGTGCAGCACAGATTGGCCATCTTCTGGCGTTAGATCCTTGTCGCCCCAGCCCCACAGCTCGTGGCTACCATCGCCGGTGCGACGCACTCGCCGCTCAACCGTCTCCGGTACGACGGACTTCAGATCATAGGCCCAGCCAATTTTGGCAAAGAGATCAATGAATGCCGTTGTCATGTTTAGTGAATAATTGCCCCATTCCGCTGTCTTGTAATCCCAGGGGAATACATGATGATAGTTGTGCCAGCCCTCGCCAAGGGTAAATAACGACACATAAGGGCTCTGTGACGGATTAATGTTCCTGTGCCGCAAGAAAGATTCGTTAGTGAAAGGCATCATTAGCATCAGCGTCATTAAATCAAATCTTACTTGTCATATGGGCGTCCACCGAATTTGTGGGCGGCGCTATTCACCAGCCAGGTCATGTTCAATTGCAAGCACCAACGGAATATGGTGGGCACCAGCACGGAGCACAGCAAGGACTCGTTCCAGCAGAGCATGGGTATGCAGGTGGGCAAGATGAAGCAGGCCAGAGGCATCAGTACAAAGTAGTGTCTACGGAATATATGGAAAATGAGTAAATTGAAACGGATTTTATATATAGGTTTAAACTTACTTTTTCTGAAACATCAAGACACGATCGGCGCGCAGATCGGATAAATCCAGGCTCTTGCCCTTGGCCACCACATCGGGATGCTTCTTGCAGAGCAGCCAACCGACGTGCGAGAAGAAGAATCCACGCGTGGCATTATGAGGATCGGCATCCGTTTCGGAGAACTTGTGATGGACACGATGATCACGGGCCCAATGGTAGGCCGCATCTTGGAATGCGATCGAATTGAATGCGACTAGAATCACACGTAACGGCCACTTGGCTTTATAGGAGCGATGGGCCCACAGACGATGTGCTCCACCCGTGATGCCAATCATGCCGGCGCTATACAGAAACATCGCTAAACATATATAGAAATTATGAATATATATCTTGGGAATGTAAATATGTAAATGAAGTACTTACAGAAGACGATTGTTGCCCATTTGGCCTGCGTCACAAGTAAATATCCGCCGTATAATGCGGCCACATGTACGTATGCAAAGAGCACAATATTACGCCACACCCATTTCAATTTGCGTTTCTCGGCGTTCTTGAATTGAGTAATATCCATGGTCAAGCCTCCATCGTTGGTGTCCGCATCGGCCTCAAAGAGCACTCCCGTCTGCTTGGAAGCTCCTCCAGCGCCGGACTGGCTCCCACTCAGCACCTGGTCTTCGGGGCACGTGGGCAACGCATCTGGCGGCGAACTGATTGCATTTGGCGGCATCTTTAAAGTCTGAAATTACATGTTTTTATTTATTTAGATTATATATTGATATAAGTGAATTTCAATAATGTTTGATCTTGAGAATATCATCTGATTTTTGCAAATCGCTGAAATGCGCTATCAGCTATCAAAGTATACGCATTTATTATACATATTATAACCACTCACAGATGGCTTAATCAGTCTATCTATCTGTCTAGCTATTTGAACTGAGCTGATCCCAAGCAATTTTCGCCTGTAGACATAATACTCACTAAACATACGTGTTTTTTTGTGAATATTTTGAGAGCGCAATTTTAGCAAGTAACTTTTTATTTGGGAATAAAAATATGCCACAATTAGCAAAAATTAAAAAACAAAGAAAACACTTAATACAGTCAACGCTCGTAAGCAAGAACTTTCATGAGAATTATCCATAAATTGGAATTAATTAAATTTAAATTCAATTCAATTCAATTTCGAATTTTAGGCACTATTATCGAGACTCACTTGAAACTTAGCTAAAATTATTAAAATTGCCCACAATTTAGATTTTATTCTTCTTTTTACTCAACGCTTTTGAATTAAAACTTGAAAGTATTCAAATTATCCACAAGCTAAAATTAATGTAATTTATTTTTCTTTTGCTAGTTCGAATTTTAGGCACTATTAATTTCTTATCCCGACTTACTTGTGGCACCAAAGAATTCTTAATTATCACTGAAAAAAATGCTTACCTATTAATTTTATTTATTTAATTGCCAACATTGGTTTTGCACGTGTTTTCGCAATGTCAACAAAAACACCAAACGAGAAATAAAACACTCTAAATAATTACTTCTTAGTTAATTGAAGAATTCCTAAACGAACTCAACTCTTTTTTTGTTTTGTTTTTTTTTGCTTACCTTTATATTTGGAGAGATGAGTTTAATATATTATTGAACGCCACCCTATACGTTTTAAATATCAGAATTGATTTGAAATAGTAATATGGATTGCTTGCAGTATTTATACAAAAAGCGATCTTTAATTGTCATTAGATCTGAATGACGACTGCAATCTAATTGTATTTCATCAAACAACGCATTGCTCTTGAACTGTGGACAAAAAATCTCGTAGGCGCACTGAAACACATGTTCGATTCTGGAGCAAAGTGCAAATAAATATCGCTCAATCTGAATTGATCTGAGATTTTAGCCGGCTTTCGTTTGTGATTCATAGTTGAGATCAACTCGCTACTTATAACATGAGCGCCATCTACACGTAGTGTTTAATATAGGCGACATCTAGCGTCCAAATTGGGCACTCATTTTAGAATATTCACTTTTATGTTTTCAGATAAGTTAACAAAATGATTAATGTTCTTATGGATTTCAATAAATAAGCAGTTCATCACTGGCTATATGTATTCTTCTATATACACAGCATTTTAAATTAAAGATTTCGTTCATTTGTCCTTTGGCTTTTCGGTTGAATCGGTTTCTTCGCTTGGCTTTTCGCTTTTCTCATCGGCGGCTTTCTTTGATTTCTTTGGCGCTGCCTTCTCGATCTCTTTCTGTTTCTCTGCCTCAACGATGGCTGCCTCCTCCTCCTGCTTCTTGGTTTCCTTATGAGCAGCAGCAGCCGCAACATCCTCATCATCCCAATCGGCCATGGAGCGATCACGCTTTAGCCACGAGTGCGTCGTGTCTGCCTTAAAGGCTGGAAAGCAAACACGGATTTCATTTGAATTTGAAGCAAACATTGGAAGGATTATCCACTACTTACTGTGATTGAACCACTTGATGCCATTCTGCATGTCCTCAATGATCTCACGGGACGTGTACATGACCTCGTTCTGCACCGCCTGGTGGAACGTCGACGTCTCAAAGGCGGCCGAGTAGACGGAGTTGCGATCATGGTTCAAAGCACGCTGCGGAAACTTGGCCAAGCAATTGGCCAGCTCCATGGCATGGCCCAGGGCCGTGCCCGTGGGCACAATTCGATTAACCAGTCCAATATCGTGTGCCTCCTGGGAGCCGACCGGTCGTCCCGTCAATATTAAATCCAAGGCACGCGACAATCCAATCATCGCCGGCAAACGGACAGTGCCGCCATCCAACATGGGAACACCGAAGCGACGATTGAAGAAGCCCAGCACAGCGGACTCCTCCATCACGCGCAAATCACACATCAGTGCCAATTCCAGGCCATTGGCTATGCAATAACCGTTGATGCCGCACACAACTGGCTTCTTGATCTGGCGACGTGTTGGGCCAACGGAACCCTCGGGGCGCATCAGAATATCAACGCTAATCTCCTCCTTCTCGTCGGTGCTGATCTCGAGAATGTCGAAGCCGGAACAGAACGAACCACCCACACCGTAAAGTACCGCCACCGGCGACGTGTCATCCGCCTCGAAGGCGGAAAAGGCCTCGCACAGCTGGGAAGCGGTGCTCGAATCAATTGCATTGCGCTGCTGCGGACGATTGATGCCGATCAGTGTGATATTCTTGTCCTTGTCGATGAGTATACTCTTTGCCGGCTGCTCCTGCTCCGTGTCTGCTTTAGCCGAGGCATCTGCAAGAGCAACAATTGCATTTGCCATCGATTGTTAAACATTATGTCACGTTGTGTTTACCTTTGTCCAATCTATTTGTCGTTGCCAGTGTGCGGCGTGCAGCTGTGAAACGAACTTGCCGGCTTAACTGCTGGCCAAGCTGCCGTCCAAGTTTGAGGAACATATCTTTTTCGAGGCTGTTAAATAGTTTGTACCTTTAATTTGGGTTGCACGTGAGCTTTACTCCTTGGTAATTCAAAGATGTTCAATTGTAATTCGCAAACACAATTTATGAATATTGTAAAGAGGGCTGCAATACGTGACTGCTGCTCGCTTACAGGGCTGATGTGCGTCTGTGAATAGTTATCGATAGTAATTTTAGAGACGAAGCCATAAAAGTGTCTGAATTATTCACTCTACAAATGGTTGTTAAATTACAAATAAGCAGGCTACTGCACCTGTTTATTTTCGGACATCAAAATAGTCGATAGATAGTAATCTAATGGCTCCGTTATGTTTTTTTTAAGACATCCAAATAACAGCGTTAACTAAAATTCAAATGCACGTTTTGATGTTATAAGAAGGCTAAAAGAATTTCTTTTCTTCATACGTAGCTTCTAATAAATAAATATTCTTCGAAAACAAAATACCAAGCAACGGCATTTAGTTTGCGCTGTTATTAACCTTTCTGTAAACGTTATGGTTTTTAAGGTGCCCACAGTGCGTTTCGCGCCGTTTTGAATGAGCAAAAGCTTTCGAGTTGTGGGAGCTTGCCGCAATGTGCTCAGTTTGGAGCGGCGTCGAGAAGCGAGTGGTTGTACATTAGCCCAGCAGAAGCAACAGCAAGTTGAGGAGCAGTCCCGAACAGCTTTAGATTTTGAAATTTTGATTGTTTGCGTGTGTGTGCGTAGTATATAGAAGCAGGCATGTATCACCTGAAGAGTTTGGCCCGCCAGGGTGCCATGCGTCAGCAGGAGCTGACGGCATTGGCCAAGGCATTGCCGACAGCAGTGCTCCAGACGCGCAACTATCAGATTCCCGATCGTCTAAAGGATGTGCCAACCGCTAAGGATCCACGTTTCTTTGACATGGTCGAGTATTTCTTCCACCGCGGCTGCCAAATCTCCGAAGATCGTCTAATCGATGATATGAAGGGCAAACTGTCTCTGGACGAGAAGAAGCAGAAGGTGAAGGGTATTCTGATGCTTATGCAACCCTGCGATCATATTATCGAGATTGCATTCCCCCTGCGTCGAGATGCGGGCAACTACGAGATGATTACCGGCTATCGTGCACAGCACAGCACACACAGGATCCCCACCAAAGGAGGTAATTTATCAGCCCAAAAAATGTGCACACACCCTTTTTTTTGCTCTCTATTATTCTTCATCTTCTTGCTACCTGCATCATCCTTTACATTCGACCGGCAACTGTGCGTGAGAAAATTGAAAAATCGATTTTTCAATATAGTTTTTGCATTTCTTTCCCTTGCCTTCACCAAATTATGTAACAGCGCTGCTGCTAACAAAATATTTACCGCCTTCATGCGCTCTCTGTCTCTCTCTTGTCTGTCTCTTTCTTTCACGCGCACACTCCCATTTGTTTACATTGCCTAGCTGCTGCTACCCGGGCCACAACATATGTGTTCTAACTGGGCCATTTCTTTACCGTTACGCCTCCCCTCACAATTGCATAAGTGACTGGATTATTTTCCACGTGTTGCCATTTGATTTCCAAACCCTTCAAGTGCCCAATAGAAATTGTCTATCGCCAAATATTCATAACAGTTTTTCATTTTTCGCTTTGGCAAAAAAAAAAACAGTTAATGTTTTGTTTTTCAGCTTGAGTTCTATTTTTAATAACACGTTTTTTTCTTTTGCTTTGCTTTTTGTTTTGTTTTTGTTTTCTGATTGCCACTAGCACTACACAGAAAATAGTGCACAGTGTGTCGAATATAGCCGAAACGCCCTATTTTCCATTGCAATATAAAAACTTTTATTTTGATAAGAACTTTAAGTTTCTATTATCAAAATTGTTCCTTATCTAACCTTGGTTGGTCGAAAATAAAAGTTTTGTCAAAAACAAGAAATTGTACAAAGTATCAGCTACAAAAACAACTAAAATATTATTTTGTTTGTTTTTTTCTTTTGTTTTTGCTTATTGACTGGTTGTTGTTGCTACTGCGGTCTTTGATAGTCGGCGCCCCCGTATGCTCAGGAGCATAAATAGAATAATAATTTATTTTATGATTTTATTGTTGATTTTGATAGTCATTGAAACTGGCTGTAAACAAGTGTGACTTTTTTGCTGTTGCCAACCAACATGAGCTTGTTAATTATATTTTTCTAGTTAGACCTGCAAAATCCAAACAGTGTTGTTGGTGCTAAATGGATTTGAATCATTTGTTGAATGTTTCGGCCTTTAGTTAGCCATTGTATGAATGTGTATTTTGAGCTAGACTGTTTTCATCGATATCAATATTGCTCTAATTAATGTTAATTGCTTTGTATGTAAGTCTGTTTGTTTGTGCACAAGTGACGTCATGACATGGTGCTAATTCGGGTAAATACATTTTGCGTCCAATTCACAGACACAAAAAGCTATTAAATGAAATTAGAGACGAAAACAAAAACGAGAGAGAGTTCATCAACGGGTTTTACTTACTATTCACGTGATGCTCAAGTTATGTGAAAATCGTGAGTCATTTGTTCGACAGTACCAGACACACTGTGCAGCAGCAAACTGCAAATGTATCGAGTGCTTCATTTCTTTACACACCAATTTCTCTATGTCGTTGAACTGCTCTCTCGCAATTGGTGTCATTTTATTCTTATACACGTATATGAATATATATGTATATGTATGTATGTATTTATGCGTGTGTATGTAATGGATTGACAAACAAACAAAACATTCATCAAATGCGATAATTGTAGAACTACAAAAAGAACTGCAAACTACACTCAAAAATATGTTTCTAAATTCCGAATTGATTTTTTGTTTTTTGAGGATTGTATATTCCATTTATAAAAATTGTTGTAAAAATCAGAAGCGTTTTTCTAATTTGATTTTAAACCAAATCGTCATCATTTTTCCAGTGTTATTGATGTACGTGTTACAGCGAATACACTCGAAAATTACAGTGCATGTTGATATAGTTTATCAAACAGAAACTCGTAAGTCGAACTGATAATGCGAATCAATGCTAATAATATTGTGAATACTCGTATATATAACATTTGTTGACATGCACAACTTGCAATTAGCATGCAAATATATTGTCAACATTTCACTTTGTTTGCATACGTGTCTTGCTCAAGTGGCAAAAATACTTTAGATAACAACTGCATGTTACGCCCCTGATTTTGTTTACCAGAGGAGTTTTCTACGATTGGTTGTTAGCCAATTGTTGTGATGCTGATAGAGCATTATTTTTCGATAGAAAAATAAAATACATTTTTAAAGTGAGTATTTTATTTTGGCAGTTGACTACAATCCATTTGCTCTGTGCTATCTCGACTCTTATATCTTATCCATTTCGAGTGTACATATGTCAAAGCGGTCAAAACGGAAAACATAAGATGCCGTTGTCAGCCCACGCTAAAAAAAACTAAAAACTGACGCTAGTCAGCTGACATTTGCTTTGCTTGGCTTTGCTTCACAGGGGGCAACCGGTATATGCTCTACGTAGAGATTTGCAAGAGTTTTGCTAGAGATTTCCAATTGCCGCCTGTTGCCAACTCACACCAATACCAATGCCAATACAATTCGACAGTGAATATAAATAAAGCGGAACGTGGCAATATATTGTATGTATGTGTGTATGTATATATTCTATTCAGCCCATGAGATCGAGCCCCCAAAAAAGCAAAAGAACTTATCGCGCTGATTATATAAGCAACGCATACATTTATATAAATACATAAATATACAAACATAATATATATGTACACATTTGAAAATAATAGCTAGCTTCTACGCATTAATAGATTTTTACGTTGGGCATAATATACACGTAATATTGGCACGTAAACAGTCATGCGTTTGCTTGTTTTTAACAACAACAACAAATACTGGACTAACGACACCCAAATTGCTCTTTATGCTGATAAAGCCGGTTGTGTTGGCAACAACAACAGCAGCACTGAAAACACTCGAAAATAAAACGAACCTTTCTACCAAAATGTTTTTCACTGTTGTTATGCGCTGACATACATCACTTACATGTGAGCATGTATGTATATATATACACTGTATATATAATACACTAATACTTTTGAACGAAACATTTGACGAACGCGTAGGCAGAGAAGAACGCAAACAAATAAGAGAAGAAAAGAAAAAAACACTCGAGAGAACTGGTGAATTTAGTTTGCTTCTTTTTTTTATCTTGGAGCCTATCGGAGCCGTTACTTAAAGCTTGAAATGCGGCAATATCCCAAAGCTTGCGGAGCTTGAAGAGCAGAGCTTTTTAATGCACTTATTCATGTGAAATGCATAAGCGTAATGAAAGGTCGATATTTTATTTGCATTAGTAGCACTTTAATATCTTGAATATATAAATAATTAGTTGCAGCAGTGGAATTTGGCGAACCAAAGTTCGCCGGATGCTTGACCAAAAAAACATCAAGATTAACGCTTGACAACCGTATTTAATTTATTATTTAATATTTTTGGGGGATTGTCCCATGGCAAAAAAGAAAACAATTTTTGTTTTATCATACGGTGCATAGCGGAAAATTTAATGAATTTATGGACAACGATTTATCAGAATTATTGCTATGGCTTGCATCGTAAAATTGAAAAAAATAAAGCTAATAAGCAAGGAAGTTGCTTATCTAATCACCAAGACAATTTACCCCTTTTAAAGACATAAAGATAAATGCGGCAGCAACAAACAAGATAAATAACAAAAAATAATACTTGCACATTGCCTCTTGTTTTGAACAAGGTGGATTAATACACCAAGAAAAAAAGCCATTGCTTCAGCTTGTAGAAAAATGAATTCGCTTTATTTTCTATGAATTCCATTTGAAATTTAAATAGATGACAACTTTTTTCTGTCGTGCTTTGACCCAATTTGACACTTGTTCTGACAGGTGAATTCACGTGAGAGCAGAAAGCAGATCTTGTAGATCAACTTTTGCTTTCAGCAGCATCGAAAGACACTCAATGTACTATTTTGCGTATTTTTAGCCATTTTGTGCAATTGGATTTGATCCAAAAATAAAAGCGCAAATAACGACGAGCTCCCCAGACAGATAGACGGACACAGCAGAAATGTACTGCTTCTAGAATATATAAATATCTTTGTACATGTATATAGTGTTCTTTTGTACTTTCAAGGTTGCTCTTCTTCAGAGGCACACCTGCCCCTGCCGCATACGTAACTTGTTTAATTGATTGTTGTTATGCAATTTGGTTTTGCTTTTTTTGTTGCACAGGCATCCGTTTCTCGTTGGATGTGTCACGCGATGAAGTCAAAGCCCTGTCCGCTCTGATGACCTTCAAGTGTGCCTGCGTCGATGTGCCCTTCGGCGGTGCCAAGGCCGGTCTGAAGATCAATCCCAAGGAGTACTCCGAGCATGAGCTGGAGAAGATCACGCGTCGCTTCACCCTTGAGTTGGCCAAGAAGGGTTTCATTGGCCCCGGCGTCGATGTGCCCGCTCCCGATATGGGCACTGGCGAGCGTGAGATGTCCTGGATTGCCGATACCTATGCCAAGACCATCGGCCATTTGGACATCAATGCACATGCCTGTGTCACTGGCAAACCCATCAACCAGGGCGGCATTCACGGACGTGTCTCGGCCACCGGACGCGGCGTCTTCCACGGCCTGGAGAACTTCATCAATGAGGCCAACTACATGAGCATGATTGGTACGCTTTAATGGTAGATATGTATTGATTCAATCGCTACTACAATCAAATCCTTTCCACACACACAGGCACCACTCCCGGCTGGGGCGGCAAGACTTTCATTGTGCAGGGCTTCGGTAATGTTGGTCTGCACACCACCCGCTATCTGACCCGTGCTGGAGCCACCTGTGTCGGTGTGATTGAGCACGACGGCACTTTGTACAACCCAGAGGGCATTGATCCCAAACTGCTGGAGGACTACAAGAACGAGCACGGCACCGTTGTCGGTTATCCCAATGCCAAGCCCTACGAGGGCGAGAACCTCATGTTTGAGCCATGCGACATCTTCATTCCAGCTGCCATCGAGAAGGTCATCAACAGCGAGAATGCCGGCAGAATCCAATGCAAAGTGAGTGGGAGTGGGAGTCGGAGATAAGAGACGAGACCTAATCATAATATATTTATGTAATGGGGAGTTTAAATAATTTGTTTTAGCTTTTGCTAGTTCATTGAAACATTTGAAATACTCATGAAATTGTGAATATTTGAATAGGGCAAGCGGTTGATGATTTTCAATGCCCTACGCAACTAATCAAAAACTAATTTATTACAAAAGAACTTAAGATTAATTAATTTATAAGAAATTCGAAATATTTTACGATTATTCCTTAAGCCTATTTTAACTGTTGAATTTAACACTTGTAGATCATTGCCGAGGCTGCCAACGGACCCACTACTCCTGCTGCCGATAAAATACTGATTGATCGCAACATCTTGGTCATCCCCGATCTGTATATCAATGCTGGTGGTGTCACCGTCTCCTTCTTCGAGTGGCTCAAGAACCTGAACCATGTCTCATACGGTCGCCTGACTTTCAAGTATGAGCGCGAGTCCAACTACCATTTGCTCGGTAAGTTTGAGTTTAAGAGTTATTCACATATCTACAATCATTATCTATATATATATATACGGTATATAGCTATGGCTTGTACTATCAATCATGCCACATCATTTACAACTCACTTAATAAGGGTATATGGTTACAAAATTATTTAATGATTATTTATCAGTTGCAACAGAAAATCCCTTACAGAAAAGCGGTTGCTCTTAAGCATTTGCTCTTCCGGTTTGGTTTCTACTTCAATAATCAAATATAAAAAAAACATTATTTAATATTTATTTGGCTCGATTCATTAAAATGCTCGTCAAGATTCGCATTTCAAACAATTGTACGATTATCACAAAACAAACAAACAAAAAATACTCAAAAACCGTAATTTAATTATAATGCCATCTTAGTAATTCGTTGTATATTCTATTTCTTCTTTTTTTCCGTTTCTCTATCACCAATGTAGACTCAGTCCAACAGTCAATTGAAAGAATTATTAACGACGGTACATTATTATTAATTCTCTTGTTTTCTACCTCCTATTATCTATTATCCCCCATAAGCCAAACAAAGCCTTTTGCCTACCTGTTACTCATGTAATTGAACACACAAACACAACAAATTCGCCTTGCATTTGTTCTTGTTTATCCCGTTTAAATCTTTAAAAAAAAAATCAAACAAACCCTTTTGTTCTGTTTTTTGTAGCTTTTTGAAGTTTTCCTTTAATGTATGTTATTTTATTTTGGTTTTAATATATATATATATATTGTAAGCTTTTTATCCCTTCCATCCTTGCATTGATCGAGCTTGAAAAGATCTGTTCAGATCGTATACACATACACAAACATATGTATATCAAATACCACATACCGAACTAAATGTTTTAACTGTGCTTCCATTCAGTAGCTCTCTAATCTAACACACTCTCTTAATGTAGTATTATGTTGATGGCTTTTTATTGAACCCATTATATCCAGCATGCATAATTAATGGCTTTGTCTGTTTTTGTATCTCTCTCTCTCTCTCTCTCCCGGTTTGCTTCGTCGCCTGGCTTGGTCACATTTTAGAATCGGTTCAAGAGTCGCTGGAGCGTCGCTTTGGACGTGTCGGCGGTCGCATTCCCGTCACACCCTCTGAGTCGTTCCAGAAGCGCATCTCTGGTGCCTCCGAGAAGGATATCGTTCACTCCGGTCTGGATTATACCATGGAGCGTTCGGCGCGTGCCATCATGAAGACAGCGATGAAATACAACTTGGGCTTGGACCTGAGAACCGCTGCCTATGTCAACTCCATTGAGAAGATCTTCACCACATACCGTGACGCCGGTTTGGCCTTCTAAGCGGATCGCAATTCAAGAAAAACTTAACTAGTTTATCAAACCAAACTCAAAGCAAGCAAAGCAATTTCAATGCATCCGCGCACCTCCGTTTTTTAGCTAGAACCAAGGAAAGAAGTCACAAATGCAAATTAATTGATTTAAGGCAACAAAGTCTAATTTTAGCTGATGAAATAATTTGTTTTTAACGTTTTTAACTTCATTTGTCTGTGTTTTGTATTAAGATGTACAACAAAAAAAAAAAAAAGAAAGAAAAAGAGCGAGCTTAAATTGCTTTTACAATGATTATTGTTGATTTTCTGTAAGTTTTCTTTTAGTTTAATGAGCGTAAAAGTGAAGCAATTGCATTTTATCAATTATGTATCGTATGTCTGTCGTACGAAACGCTCCGTTTGCCGCAACTTTTAAAGTAATCAAATATACACATAAATTATAAACATTATACAAGTGCATTTCATTTAATTGTCAATTGTCAATTGTCGATTGGCCACTAAAATTATCACAATTGGGTAATTTCAGTTAAAAATTACATATACATTTGCATATTATTGATCGATTGGAATGCATGCAGACTACGTAAGATATACATATAAAAAAATATTGGGTCTATAATACTATAAGTACACTTTAAAAATGGCAGGACAATAAACCTGCTATAAAAATTGGAAGATTGCTTGATCTTAATACGAATTCAATATCAAAACTTTTCTACTAAATGAATTAAAATGTGCGTATTAACCGTGTGCTTTAATCATCGCATCGATATCCGATATTCGTACATATATCCATTTAGATCACCAAGGACTTGGGAAACAACTGCTGTTTCACATAGTCATCGATCATTTCCATGAGCAGGGCGCGCGTGACTCGCGGTTCCTGCAGCACATAGCCAAAGTCCTTCAGTTTCGTATTGTCCAGATAGAGGTGCTTATGGTGCAGCTGCTCCTCGTCCAAATACGGTGTCAGCGGTGTATTATCGATGCCATTGTTTTGACAAATCTCCGCCCAGGGCGCCATGTGCTTGTCGTTAATTTCACCCACCGTATCGCTTGGATACAGCTTAAGTAACGAATAATAAACGAATTAACTGACGTTCAAATATGTGATGAGTCATAGAAAATATATATATTACCTTGGTCAAGTTGGACATAACAATGCCGAAATATTCCACATTGATTTGAAAAATGTCAACGAGCAGATCGCTGATGCTACCCTGCGTAGACGCTGAGTCATCCACAATATTGTAGACCTGTCCAGCCGTTTTTGGACTCTGAGCTAATTGCCAAATCGCCGCACATACATCGCTTATGTGCACCGTATTCAGGCGCATGGCATCGTTCCACAGTAGTTTCATTGTCTCCCCAAGGTATTTGTAAATGGCAGCGATTATAATGCGTGGCACTGTCATATTATCGGTTGCATATGGGTTACATACACACAAATTATCAGTTATCAGTTGCTGTACATGGTGTGCATAATTCTACTCACTTAAGTAGCGCTTATCGCCAATGCCGTAAACAATGGGCAATCGCACCACCGTATAGCTGAGATTGTTAATACGCGCCAGTTCCTTCTCCACGCGTAGCTTTTGTTTGGCCACACCCGTCCAAGGCTCCAGTTTGCAGTCCTCCTTCAGGGGCGTCTTCTCGCTGCTGTTCACACAGCCCGAGCTGAGTTCCACATAGCGTTTGGTCTGCTCCTGATTGGCGGCCTCATTAGCACAGTTAATGCTCAGCTTGTGGATGCCCTCCTTGTAGACGGCATCGTCTTGATTGGCACGCGTCTCAGCAGCACAATTTATGATCACATCCCAGCCTCGGTTCGTTGTTGGGTGTGGTGCATAAGCCAGCTTGCATGAGGCTGTATTTCCAGCAGCAACAACATAAAGGACACATAAAAAACCAGTTTTAGCCTGAGTGTGAGTATGCGTGTGTGTGGTTGTGTGAGTGGGTTGTATTCTTTTTTTTTTGTACATACCGGCATTGATCAGATTTGCGCTGCAAAATTCGACTTTATCATTGGCAAAGGCCTCGGCTTGTTGCTCATTCAGCCAAGCCATCTGTGGCGGCGTCTTATCAACAATGCGTATTTCCTGCGTCAGCTCACGCTTCAGCAAGTAAGTCAGCAAGTTGCGTCCAATGAATCCACAGCCTGTGCACCACATACATATTTGTAGATATACAGACCAGATAAGTTGGAGCATTATCGCATTTGTAGTATTTGACTTGTATTTGTGGACACTTACCGCCCAAAATTAATACGGTCGGTTTCTCAGACATGACTGCAACGACAACGCCAAGCAACGACTGCGACAAATGACTAGACTTCTGCTGCTGTGCCGTTCAAAAACCTTTGAAATTATATATGTAAACGGGACGCGAATCAAATACAAAGACTAAGCATCAGGGCTGAAGCGGTTCGTAGTCGTTCAGTTCAGTGAACCAGTTGAAGATGCAACTGCAATCGAACAAGTGTCTTCGATAGTTCGCTCAACAAGTGGTTGATTATTTTTTAGAGATGACACTTGTTCGGCGAACATTTTTCAGCCATGAACAAATTAAAATGCAAGCCAGGAAATGGAGTCAAATTATTTTCAATAAATCCAACACGATATATGTGGCCTATAGATTTTAGATATTTTATTTGTGGACAATGGCACGATCTTAGTTATGAGATGATTTTATTTATTCAAGGTATTAGGTGGACCACAAGTTGAATGTGGGTGGCCTAAATCCTCTGACTATAATATCTGTCTGCCACCAGCCACTTGAGTGCTCGGTGTCCTCAATGCACTCTTTCTTGCTGGGCTTGGGTTGATCCAGATTTAAAAATGACATATCTTCGTATATGGTCATCTCCTTGACACATTGCACTTCTTCATTTTGCTTCGCATGCAACAAATGCAAATGCACATTTTTACAACTTCGGGGCAGCTGACTTATGACATCCTTGGGAAAGAGTTTCCAAGATTCGCAATGTTCCCCACTATTTACAGGGGTCAGCAGCTCCAATTCGAGAAACACATTTGTGGCCTTCAGATCCTTTGACCAGAGCGCATAGAGCTCCTCGCAGGTGAGCAGATGGAGAAGTGTTCGATTCATTTGTCCTTCCGGCACGCCATGAATATCGCCATGATATTTCGATATGGACGTGTGTGGTATGTGTATTGTGTAGGACTCTGTTGGCATAAATGTATTGCTGCCAAATAAAAATCGCAAACTCTTAACGGCTTTGTTACTTCTGAACGCACATCGTATTAGCTAAAATACAAAATATTTCTGTTCAGTTTTTATTTCAATTGTTGGATTTGTTTGTTACTCACTTCTCGCATATTGCTTATGGCTTCCTTGGTATCTTTGGCCAGGGAACGTTGCTTTTGCAATTGATAGTGCCCAAATGATGCTTCAGTCTTCTGTGTTTCATCAGTCTCATCCCATTTCTCCACATAATATTTGTATGTTTTATATACGAATGGGATTTGACTGCGATGGAATAGCAGGAATTCAAGAATGCCATTTGCAATCTCAGCGGCGACTCCCGCTGTTAAAACATCGATGTCTCGCAGCTGAATCTCAATGTTTTTATGATTTTGTGCCATTTATATCGATTCTAAACAATTTCGCGCCTTTTATTTTCAACAAACAACAAACTCGAATTGTTTATGTTGGTGATCAAATATATACATTGGATTCGTGTAGTTCATCTATGAACTAGTTCGCTGGTGCTAAGAAAAGTATCGATTAATTTATACAAAACAAAAACCGCTTTATCGATTTTAACCGACAATTTTTGTTATTATTATGAATTTTCAATGCGAAATGAATCACAAATTTAATTGTAAATACTATTTATTAAAAATTACAAAAAATGTATATTATTTTCTTAAGAGTTTTAATTAAATATATTTGTATATTCCTAAAACATCAAGTGTTCTTAATCATTTCCTATTTATAAAAAATGTATATTTTTAGATGAAGTAATAATTTTCAAAAGTGAATATTTTATTCTATGAATATTTAGTTGTTGAAAATTATTTTCTTGTAGTCAATATGAGTTCGAAACATTTGGCAGGTAAAGCTAAACTGGCAGGATTAATATTCATATGTGATAAATCGGGACTGCTTACATTATAACGCAGTAAAATATTAGCTAACAAAATAAAACCAAAACCACGGACCAAATTCTGTCCAATGCACGTACGTTTTCCTATACTAAAAGGTAAGAAATGGGGAAGATTTTTTTTCAATTGAAACTTGAATGGTTGACGAATTTCGTTGTTGCCTGTATCAGCTGTCATGTTTGGATTTTTTAAATATGAAACAAACTCGTTTTCTTGTCCAAAGTCGATACCTGAATCAGAACCTTCAGAGATTTTCCTCTTGTCAGAAGTCAATGACTTTTTAGAATTATTTTTGCACTTTTCTTCCAAAAAACGTCCAGGGCAAAATTGATCAGGATTTCTCCAATATTCTTGGCTCATATTAAGCACATAATTATTTATGAACACAATTGTACCCTTGGTTACGCCAAATCCAGAAACCACACTATCTTCAGAGGCAACATGAGGTACAATCGGGGACGAGGAGTAGCGCAGAACTTCGTATATTGTTGCCATGGTATAGGACATTTCCTCCATGTCTTCCAACGTTATAGACCGCTCTCCATTATTCGATATCGCATCAATTTCATTTTGAATGTTTCTTGCAATAATTGGATCCTTGGCGATGTAGGTAAGAGCAAGCATTATTAGATTCCCAACCGCTGAATGACCACCAATAAAGTCTTCCAGCATGAAGATAATCGTATTACGGCACATATTCTCGTTCTCGATTAAACTCTTCAAGAGGGCATCCGTGAAATCAGTGTCGGGTTCGTCCAGATCGATATCCAATTGTCGTTGATCAATAATACGTTCCAGAATAAATTTGCGTATTGTTGTTGACCAATATGCGATGCGTGTTGTATGCTTCGTGTAGAACGGTGAAAGCCATGGTAAGAAATCCAATGGATGCCCTTGGTTAATTTCCCAAAAAATCTCGTCGAAAAAGTGGACGATTTGTTGGAATTCATTGTCTTCATAATCAAAACGAATCGAACACATATACTGGCTAAACATATTTGCACATGCTGCGTTTAAAATAGGCTTCAGATCGATCGGTTGACCAGACACAGTTACATTTTGCAGTCGTTCCATTAAAATGCCGATCTCATCACAACCAATGCAAGACATTTTTGTGAAATATGATGACGATTCACGCGGGGAGCAATGCCGACGGGCTAAATTTCGACGTTTTTGTTGTAGATGCGACCAATCGCACAGGGCCAGTGAATTATTGCGATCGCCCCCAAATAGTTTGTGATAACGCAGAAAATCCGGGCGACCACCAAAAAATTTCCCATTCTTATTGAGAATCTCGCGTATTAATTCCAAATTATTGACGACCAAGCAACGTGTGTGGCCAAAACTTAAGGAGTAAATGTTGCCATATTTCTCGGCCAAGGTTTGAAATCCCTTGAAGGGATTGGCGAAACGCCCAATTATATCCAAGTTTCCAATTATGGGCCAAGGATTTGGACTAGGTGCTTGAGCAAATTCACATTTCACTTTTTCGCCGTTCGAAAGTGTCGTTTCCACAATTGCTTTTCGCTTGCAGTTAAGAATGATTAAGATATACGAAGTGCCGATCACTATTAATAAAATTGCGACGAATAAATAAATAATTTCGAATATCATTTTTTATATCGAGCAAACGAATAACTGATTGAAGTGAAATTTGCGTTAACTCTTTCTCTTTGCTGGTGCTCGAATAATCCACAGACTGCTTCTGTTGGCACCTGTAAGCAACTAACAGAAAGAAAAAAATAACAGGCTGCCAAAGCGCAGGTGTAACCAACAACAACAATAACAACTTACATGTGTATGTATGTTCATAAACGTGTAACAGAATGCTGATCGTAAATAAATGAAAGCGTTATTACAATACTTCCTTCATCTTTGCAGCTCCTATTATTTTTGTCAAGTCTCCATAATAGTTATTTTTGCAGTTTGTCAACGTTTTCTAGTGTTATTTACATTGAAACTAACATTGATCTATCTGCTTGCATTGTCCTTGTCATCATGGTGAATATGTTAAGTTTAATTACATTTCTGTAATATGATGCTATGTTAAAAGTGATGCCATGTTAAAACAGCAGCAATGGTAAAGCAATGCCCTTCGAAGGGATCTAGCCACATTTATATCATCTTTTAATAAAAATTACAGTCGTATTGCAATTTAAAACTGCCTAATGAAAATTTGTCATTAATCAATTATTATATTAGTTTGCGTAATTTAAAATAACAAAAGAAATTAATTTCGAAATTATATTTTTCATAATTAATTTAAAAAATACATTAAGAAACTTTTTTATTTTTAATAATGTAAATTTTAAATTACTAGAACGCGCAATTATAATGTTCGATTTAAATAGCAACCCTGCGTGGTACAATGTGTACACACTGACAAAGCAGCCGCAGCCAACTTCACGTTGGTTATGACTGGTAAAAATCTGTTTGTGTTGCCGACTAAATAAATTCATTTCTATCTGCAAATATCAAACTAAAATAGCAAAATGGTAAATTGCTAAACCAAATGCTAATGCTTTGTGATCTTTGTAATTATTGTGTTCTTGTGCTTTGCAGGGCCAAAACCAATCGGCACAGGGGGGAGCTGGAGATAAGAAGGATGACAAAGACAAAAAGAAGAAATACGAGCCACCAATTCCGACTCGCGTTGGCAAAAAGAAGCGACGCGCAAAGGGTCCAGATGCAGCCATGAAACTTCCCCAAGTGACACCCCATACACGCTGTCGCCTTAAGCTGCTCAAATTGGAGCGGATAAAGGATTATCTGATGATGGAGGATGAGTTCATACGCAACCAGGAGCGCCTCAAGCCACAAGACGAGAAGAACGAAGAGGAACGATCCAAAGTGGATGACTTGCGTGGCACCCCCATGTCTGTGGGCAACTTGGAGGAGATTATCGATGACAATCACGCCATTGTCTCGACTTCCGTCGGTTCCGAGCACTATGTCAGCATTCTGTCGTTTGTCGACAAGGATCAACTGGAGCCTGGTTGCTCGGTGCTCTTGAATCACAAGGTTCACGCTGTGGTTGGTGTTCTCAGCGACGACACAGATCCCATGGTTACGGTCATGAAGCTAGAGAAGGCGCCGCAAGAAACCTACGCTGACATTGGTGGCCTGGACACACAAATCCAGGAGATCAAAGAGTCCGTTGAGCTTCCCCTAACGCATCCCGAATACTACGAGGAAATGGGTATCAAGCCACCAAAGGGCGTCATTCTCTACGGTCCTCCCGGTACAGGGAAGACCCTTCTCGCCAAGGCTGTCGCCAATCAAACCTCGGCTACTTTCCTGCGTGTCGTCGGCTCCGAACTCATACAGAAGTATTTGGGCGATGGCCCCAAACTTGTGCGTGAGTTGTTCCGCGTGGCCGAGGAACATGCCCCGTCCATTGTATTCATTGACGAGATTGACGCTGTGGGCACTAAGCGATACGATTCTAATTCGGGTGGCGAGCGTGAAATTCAGCGCACTATGTTGGAGCTGCTCAATCAACTGGATGGTTTCGATTCGCGTGGCGATGTCAAAGTCATCATGGCAACGAATCGCATTGAGACACTCGATCCAGCACTAATACGTCCGGGACGTATCGATCGTAAAATCGAGTTTCCACTGCCTGATGAGAAGACAAAGCGACGCATCTTCACCATACACACATCGCGTATGACTCTCGCCGAGGATGTGAATCTGAATGAGCTGATCATGGCCAAGGACGATCTGTCGGGCGCTGACATCAAGGCCATTTGCACCGAGGCTGGTCTGATGGCGCTCCGCGAGCGTCGCATGAAGGTCACCAATGAGGACTTCAAGAAGTCGAAGGAAAGTGTCTTGTACCGAAAGAAGGAGGGCACGCCCGAGGGACTCTATTTATAAGTGAATCAAGTTTTCAGTTAACACATATTGTAATTCCTAATCACAGAAACACGCATTAAACTCCAGGTTAATAATTAAATCATTTCGCTTTTGATCTGAATAAATTTGTAGTTGTGGGCAGTGCTCCGGCCAAGTTTTTCATTGTCTCGTCTATATACAACTTCTGCTTTTCGGAAACAATCCTTAAAGGTTCAGTTTGATATTCCAAATATTTAAAGTGTGTTTTATCTGTTGCATCGGCCATTTTCATATCCTGGTAGACAAGTTGTTCTCTTGCCAAATTATCATCAACATCGGTGTCACTTAATGCATCGTAGAATGCCCTGAATTTCGCTATCTCTATTCCAGTACGTAAGCCATCGGCATATCCCTGATCAAAGCTCGACTGAAAGACCTTTTCGCGTCCATCGACGACTCCATCGACATAATTGATCTGTAGAGAATAAAAATTGTTGATTGCTTGCATATTCTTCTGTCAGTGCTAAGACAGCTGATTTCAGCTCACAGACACTGTACGGAATTACTCCACACTTAACAGTTTGTTGAACACATTTTACAGACGCCGTGCAGGCTAGCAGGCGAAAAATTCAGTTCTCCTCGTAACTACACTACTGGCATACCTTTGCTACTTTTTCCTTTATTCGCTGCTGATTTGCTGTGTTAACGGCCTTGAAATCCGCTTCATCATCTGAGCTGTGTGCTTGTGACATTGTTAGTATCGTGAAGGCGCTAAGTTAATCTAACTATGTAGCAGCCACATGTAAATTCTGTGTATTAAAAACAAAACCATTCTCGTGTTTACGTCAGCAGTCGCTTAACAGTCGACTCCACACTTTTGCAGCCGCTCCACACTGCCAGAGTTGCGCCTGAGAATTTATTTGAATTTTCCAATTGCAGATCACAGAATGGCAGCCGCTGAAATTGCTGAGCTGCTGCTCGCAGTAATCCAGGGAGTTCCCGGTGGGGCGACAAATGATGATCTGACTAAAGCACTCTCCGACGTGCCCGCTGCCTCGCGTGTTGAGGGGCTCAATGTTCTCTTAAAACAAGGCGGCATAGAGGTGTTGAAGAAGGGAGAGAAACTGATTTATCGTGCCAAGGATCCCCAAAAGAAGAGTGCCTTGCCCAAGGATGCAGATAACGAAGAGAAAATCGTCTACAGTATTGTGGAAGAGGGCGGCAACAAAGGCATCTGGATACGTGATATACGCATCAAATCCAATTTGAACATGACACAATTAAACAAAATCCTCAAGAACTTGGAAACAAAGAAACTCATCAAGGCCGTTAAATCCGTGAATGTAAGTATTGTATCCAATCCATGGCAGATTTTCAATTGATAAAACCTGTAATGTGTGCAAATTAGGCTAGCAAAAAGAAAGTCTATATGCTGTACAATATGGAGGCAGATCGGTCTGTGACTGGCGGTGCCTGGTATCAGGATCAGGACTTCGAGGTCGAGTTTGTGGATGTTCTCAATCAGCAATGCCTGCGCTTTTTGCAGATGAAACGCGAGGGTGCCGAGAAAAAACGCGATGGTCCCTTGGCCTTCAAGCAAATGTCCTGTTGCACTGTGAAGGAGGTGCACAAATTTATTTCAGACCTTGGCATAAGCAAAGTCAATCTGGATGAAGATGATTTGGAGACTATACTGAAAACAGTCGTGTATGATGGCAATGCCGAACGCATTCTACAATCTGATGGCACGTATGTTTATCGTGCGGTTAACTTGCCCCTCCCAGCACCTGGATTGGTTCAAATGCCCTGTGGCATATGTCCTGTGATCAAGAATTGCTCCAATTGCGGCGATGTAACCGCTATTAATTGTCAATATATGAATGATTGGTTAGATTAAAAATAACTGGACTTAAATAATGTATTTTCTAAGAGTTTCTGCTTTCTGCTTACAAATTCGTATTGCAGATAAATATTAACAAACTATAAAATTAAATGGAAATCTATCAGCAAAATTTAAATTTGCTTTGATTTGATGATTTCCTCACGACAGTAATGATTTATCGATTAATCGCAAGTCCGATAAGAATTTTTCTTATGAGCTGCAAACAGTATAAATACGTGGCTGACGATATTGTGATTGTCTCGACAAAAAATTCCGAAAAACAAATTAATACATACTCACACGAAATATGCGATAATTATTAGTGCCGCCCATGAGAACGACTGCTGCAACAGTAAAAGTGAATTAAACAAAGAAAGACAATGGGTCTTTGCAAGTGTCCAAAGCGATTGGTGACAAACCAATTCTGCTTTGAGCATCGGGTCAATGTCTGTGAGCACTGCATGGTCCAGAGCCATCCCAAGGTGACTAATAAAATTAATAACGAAATTTATGTTTATTAATCCGTTATTGTTTTTAGTGCATAGTGCAATCGTATCTGCAATGGCTACGTGATAGCGACTATATATCCAATTGTACGCTGTGCGGCACAACTCTGGAGCAGGGTGAATGCGTCCGCCTCGTCTGCTATCGTAAGTGAAGTATATGAAATATACCAAGAGGCGCCACCTTAACATTGGTTTTCACACTCCAGATGTTTATCACTGGGACTGCTTGAATGCACGCCAAGCCGGTTTGCCTGCCAACACAGCGCCCAGTGGCCACCAATGCCCCAGTTGCAGCGTGGAAATATTTCCCACCTCGAATCTGGTCTCTCCGGTGGCCGATGCACTCAAAAACTATCTGGCTGAAGTGAACTGGGGTCGCAACGGACTGGGTCTTGCTTTGGTAAAATACACCCTTGATATTCCCATTAAATTGTTTTAATTTAATTTGGTTTTGTCAGCTAACGGATGAACAAAACAATAGCTTGAAGGCGAAAGCTGCTAGTAGCCAGGCGGCAGTTAGCAATATTACCAAAGTGCATCATCATTCCGCTGGCGAACGTGAGCGTATGAAACCGAATGGAGGCGTTGACAGCCAGTCCAGTCCACATTCCGTTCTGCTGATGGACGCATTTAATCCGCCCAGTTCGGGCGATATACATGGTAACAGTTCATGATATTTTTGTGTGTGTTTTTGTTGTAATTAAATGTTAATTTTTTTTAGGCACCAGCAGTCGTCGTCCGTTGCTGCCGCGCCAGTCGCCTATTGGTGGCACGGATCGTGATGATAATAAATACCAGCGCCGCACACCGGCTGAGCTTTTCTCGCGTTGGACGCGTCGCTTCTATGCACCATCGTCGCGCCCGCCTTGGCGTCGCACCTGGTTTCTGGTAATCAGCGGCATTTTGGCCTTTATAATGTTCGTCTATTTGATGGCACTGCTGGGCAGGGGCAGCGGAAACGAGGGATTAGATGACAGCTGGAACAATCCGAACCCCAACCAGAATCATTACGAATAGGAAGTGTATGTGTATTGTATTGATGCAACAATTATGCCACAAAGCCCTTCTTTCTGTTAAAATCAAAACTAATTTATGTAACCAAAATATTGTAAACAAAAATGTAACACAAATCATTTCCAATCGCTTTTTAATCCACATGTGGCTTAATATTCTGCACGCCGCTCACATTTGGTGGTTCGGGCTTTTTGCGTTTGGGTGCATCCAGAACCTCGTCATATTCGTGTAGTTTCTTGGCCAGGAAGTACATCTCGGCCAATGCTATGATCAGCGCCACAATGACGCCAAGTAGTATGCGAAAACCAAAGGGCAGAGGGCCAACCATCAAGTTGACACCAAAGAAACCAAATGTAAATCCTGCTGCCACCGAGAAGATGAACTGGGCAACGGCAATGATTTGCTTATTGAGACTTTTCACTGTAATAAAGTAAAGACTTAGCAGTTGACAGCTGAAATAACGGTGCCACTTACATTGATAGGCGATGGTATCCTCGGGTACATTTTTGAGGGTCGCATCCACGTTTTTGGTCATCTTGTGGTATTCACGATTGTGTTGCTCATCGCGCAAGCGTTGACAACGTGCCTCCAGCTCAGGATTTCGGGGCTTAAACTCATTCTCCGGCAAGATGAGCTCACAGTTCTCAAGGAGCTCATAGAGAAATATATTAATCTTTTTCTGCTGACGCAGCTTGTCTAATGTATCCCGCAGCCAGTGTATATCGTTTAGGTATAAAAAGTTGCCTTTCACTGTCTGCTCCTGCTGGTCATCTGCCTCCTCCCCGTTCGCGACGTCTTCTACCTGTGATTTGAGAGGCACTTCGGGAATATCTGCCGTCAGTTTCGTCAGCAGTTTAGTATCAATTGTGGGTCGCTTATAGACTAGCTCGTTTTCCTTTAATACTTTTATACTGGTGGGCAGACTGTAACCGTTATCCTTGAGAGCTTTGGCCACATTAGCTGGCATTTCCTCAAAATGTTCCTTTTGTGCATCCAGCAATGCCAGCAATTTCTTCGATGGTCGCAAACGCACTCGAGTGTCGACAATTGTTGATTTCAGCATGTTGAGGACGGTTTATTTATTGTTTATTTGGTAATATTTAGCTTCAGCTGCAGATCTGAGTAGAGTTCAGCGATTTCCTCTTCTTTTTCTTGAAACGAATTGTCCAAACGTTGATAGCCGTGCTGCAAATTGTTGACAAACTCCGCTTTGCGTTGCTCACGCGCACGTCGAGCCTCCTGCAATTCGGCGCTGGGCTGTTTACCAAATAAATAGTATTTGTATTTAGTAATGCTTACTATACTTAGTAAATAATATAGACTTACAGTTCGTTCAACTTTTGCTTGATCTAGAAGCGCATCGACGCCGCTTAACAAATCGTTAACACTGGTCGCTAGTTGGGTGAGCTTTTCGTTACCTAATGCAACACAACGCTCGGATAAATCGTATTTGAGCGAACCCACAATTTCGGTGACCTGAAAAAGTTTCTCGACTTCGCTATCGTTGCGCTTCACTTCGAAATTGTCGAGAAATGATTCGATTTCACCATTGACAAATACACGATGGTCTAAAATGCGATGCGGCACTTTGTAGAGCTCTGTAACAGTCGAGTATATAAACTATAATACGATTTTCGAGGAGTTCTTCTTCAAAACGTACCCTGTCCAAATTGGCTTATCATTATTTTTCTACACAAATACCTTCTTTTTCGCTCCTGTCACATGAGTGAAGTTAACGATAACACAATAAACTATCGATAAATATATTAGTGATTATTCGTTTCAAGGAGAATTCAAAAAGACTATGAATTCTTAGTAGTAGATCAGTATTTACATTTGGCAATTAATGTAAAAAAAGTGACCCGACTGCTAAATCTACGGGAATGTATATTATTTCATTCATCTGCCGAATATGTTAAGCATAAAAGTTATTAAAATATACACTTCATTATTATTCATATGACAAGTCAAATAATTACGAGTTTTAATTTATGTAGGTCAATTTTCAGTGCATATTCCAAAAGTATTAAAATGAAAAATGCTGTTAAAAAGAAAACCATAAGGTAACAAAAAATATATTACCGATATGAGTTGCAATAGCATAAAATATTCAACTCTGCGCGCACGCGATTAATCGATGCAATATTTGCAATTCATCGATATTTACTCACGAGACGACGTGCAGAAAGTCACAAACTTATTTAATTGCCAATTCCCTCTAATTTATCTGACTTTCGGACAATGAGCGAAGAATTTAAATTGCCAAAACGATCACGGAAGCGTACACGTGATGTGAAGCGCAAGGCTCGGCCGGAATTGGACGAGGAGAGCGCATGGGTTGCAATGCGCTATTTTGAAAAATTTGAGACATTCTGGGACTTTACGGACAACCTGGAGAGGATTGACAATGCAACAGTAACATGTGATGAATTTATTGAACGCTTCGAGCGTCCCTATTTGCCCGTGATAATAACTGGCTGCGCCGATGGCTGGCTGGCCCAGGAGAAGTGGACGATGTCACGCTTGGCCAAGAAATATCGCAACCAGAAGTTCAAGTGCGGCGAGGATAACGAGGGCTACAGCGTCAAAATGAAAATGAAATACTATGTGGAGTACATGCAGGGGACACGCGACGACAGTCCGCTCTACATATTCGACAGCAGCTTCGGCGAGCATCATCGTCGGCGCAAACTGCTCGAGGATTATACGGTGCCCAAATACTTTCGCGATGATCTCTTCAAGTACTGTGGCGAGGAGCGTCGACCGCCATATCGCTGGTTTGTAATGGGCCCGGCACGTTCTGGCACCGGTATTCACATAGATCCGTTGGGTACCAGTGCCTGGAATACGTTGATACGCGGCCACAAACGCTGGTGCTTGTTTCCCACGCACACGCCTAAGGATCTGTTGAAGGTGACAAGCGCAATGGGCGGGAAGCAACGCGACGAGGCCATCACTTGGTTCAGCACTATCTATCCGCGCACCCAACTGCCATCGTGGCCGCAGGAATACAAACCCATCGAGGTGCTTCAATGTGCCGGCGAGACAGTCTTTGTGCCGGGCGGATGGTGGCATGTGGTACTCAATTTGGACGATACGATTGCCATTACGCAGAATTTTAGCAGCTTTACCAACTTTCCGTGCGTGTGGCACAAGACTGTGCGCGGTCGTCCCAAATTGTCGCGCAAATGGCTGCGGGTGCTGCGGGAGCAGCGTCCCGAACTGGCCCAAATAGCTGAAAGTATTAATATTAATGAGAGCACTGGCTTCGCCTCCGATAGCTCGAGCAATTCCAGCTCATCGTCGTCGTCCAGCAGTTCCTCATCGTCGGAAAGCGAGGCGGATGCCGATTCCAATACGGATAGCGGCCAGGAAAGTCTCACCGCCAAAAAGAAGAAGAAGCGACGCATGGGCGGAGGTGGAGGCAGTGGCAGTGGCAGTGTTGACGGTGCCACTGGCTCCACACGTTCCTGATGCCGGCGCAAAGCCAAACGGAATGGCCTGCTCCTGCTCAAGCTGTTCCATCGTCAACTGTTGTTCTGTCGCCGAGTGTCGCGACGGAAGCGTCCGTGTAATCGCACCCAGCGCAAATCCTGATCCTGCTTATTTTGTGCGTGTTTAGTAATATTTTTCTACATAGACAAGTAATTAATGTTGCTGTAAAAATATTAATATGAGAATTGTAATTATCCTTGGCAGAGAAAGACCCTCGCTTGGTCGACTTTGATTAATTTGGATTAGTCTTTCAAGCTGATCCGATAAGGATAATTAATAGTTTCGCAACAAAAATAAATTCAATATATTTGTAAAATCGCATTTTGCATTTTTGATTAGGATATGGGCATAAATGTATCTAATTTAAATTGCTTTATTTAGGCTTCTGACTGATCTTTGGATATATATTCCTTAAAAATGCTTTCAAATTGTTCTTATACAAAAATGTATCTTTTTATTTTGAATCTGCGTTTTTATAAATTGTTTTTTGTTTCTTTTGCTTATGCAACTTAAAAGGAAATGTAGCAACAAGAAGAGTAATGAATTTGCTCATGAGTCCAAAATTAAAAATTTGACATACAAGTTAAAATGTTTAAATAATAAAATTTATTTACGGAACACAAGCAAGCACATGTCCTTAAAAAAATCACCTTTAATTTGCTACAATTTATTATTCATACATAATTATTGTTTAAAAGCTTTTCCCACGCGTTCCTTAAGTTTTCCCGTTTTATTGTTGTTGTCTACGTTGAAGTTTTATAAGAGTTTTTGCACTTTTTTTCTTTGTGTCCTTTCTTTTTTGTTTAAAATATTGGTTTTATTTAATTAAGTTGATGTTCTGTTTTCATTTATGTTTATTGTTTATCATTGTGTATAAATTGAAAATTGCGCTCGCAGCTTCATTTTGCTTACTGTCGGTTTCTGTGTTGTTTTTGTTTGTCCATTCTGAATTTGTTTTAGCCAAGTTTGTGGTTTGTTGTTGTTGAATTATGTTTGTTATGTGTTAATCATGGCTTAATCGATATACTGCGCTAACCAACGGAAACCCTCGCCATAACCCTGTCGCTTCAGCACGGAGCACATGAACAATTCCAATGGGCGTCCTGGCAAATCGGAGCGTGCAACTTTGCCCTGTAGTTACAAAAATATAACAATTCATTAAATATAGGCATACAGTCGAAAAAGTCAGAAGTGACATACCTTTCCGGTTGTTAACTGATACAGTCCAAACATATTTCTCAGCTCATCCTCGCTGGCCGCACCGGGCTTATCAATTTTGTTGCCCAATATGAGCACGGGGCAGTTGGAGAGCGCCTCATCTGTGAGCAGCGAATCCAGTTCGTTTTTGCTCTCCTGGAAGCGGCCGCGATCCCAGGCGTCTATCAAGAAGACGATGGCATCCACAGCTGGGAAGTAATCCTTCCAGACACGACGTGCTACAAAGATACATTCAGTTAGTTTAATTTATCAACAATTAACAATCGACTTATCTAAACAGCCAAATTACATGTCTTAATAACGCCCAAGCATGCCGCCCATTTGTTATCAGAAACAACTTTGATATCATGACACTGACGCGCCTCACTCAAAACTCAAACACTGCTCGGCTCCACTCGGATGTCGAGCGTAACGCTGACAAAGCTACTTGGACTATTTTTTTTTCAATGCATATCATGATATACGTGAGCTCGCTTATCAATACAAATACTTACATACTATATGCATACTAATATATTTACATACATACTCATACTAATAAATTTACATACGAACGTAGACAGTTTTCAGCAAGCTCACGCTTATAATTACATTTTATAGTTTTCATATAAAATAGATTATTCTTATTACGTTTGTCCCTGTTGCTTCTAAATACACGGCGCATTTATTCTATGCACAGTGGTTATCAATTGATTGAAATACGCAAAATGAAATAACACTTTGAATTGTCGATTGAGCTACCAATTGACTATATTAGTTTTGCAAAAAGTTAATAATATTTGCATTAATCATTTGTGATATCTTCATATATGATTATGACTATTAAATACATCTGTAACCACTGCAAATGTATTTGCTGCTGTCCCATTGAAGAGTGAAGGCAACAAATGACAAAAATTACAACGCGTTTTCATTGCAAGTGTTGTTGTATAGGTGACCCCCTGTGCTATATTTTACGCTGATTGTCGCTATTTAGTAGCTGTCTTTCTGTTTTCTTTGTGCTTTTGTGCGCTATATTTAGATGGAGACTAGCACGTTTCGGCATGCGCAATATTTATGATATTAATAAGAGCACATCGCACAGATTATTGAATGTTTTAAGCGTTTCCCGCTCGTGCAAAATTATAACAAAAGTACAACACTTACCCTGAGTGTGTCCACCCAAGTCGAATGTAGTGAAACGCATATTGCCGATGGACAGCTCCTCGGATGCTAATGTAAGAAATGTTAATTAACATGAGTGCAACAGAGATTTACATGAATCTGAATCGCTTTCACTCACTTGGATGCAGTGTTGGCACATGCTGCGCTAGCTTATCATCTTTGAGCATATGCAATAATGTGGTTTTACCAGCATTATCCAAGCCAAGGAACAATAGTTTGCCGGACTTTTTCCATAGACCTGCACAAGCGAATAATACATAATTTATGAAATCATCAATACAAATCAACAAAAATGATCGCACGACTCGCAGCGTTTGCCAGTAGTCAATGCCAAATGTTTTGAGGTCAGTTCCGATTTGACTAAAAATCGTCATTAATTAAAAATTCAACGGTTTCTTAACAGGCGGCGATTTCATTTTCTCATGTTGTTCATCGTCTTCTTCTTTTTGTTGGCAAACGCTCAAGAAATGCGCTGCTCATTGTGAGCAATGTCAAATTCCATTTTACCTAAGTATCCCAGAACACCCGTAAACCAATCCCAAATGAACATCTTGGCTTGTGCTGTGCTTTATTTCCTGCGGGCGTCAATATCAAATATCAAAGGCTGGCTGCGTCTCTGTGTCTGTCTGTCTGTGTGTGTGTGTGGGGGGAAAAAGAGTGCGGTGCTTTGCTGTAGAGAGAGAGAAAAACAGAAGAAAACAAAGAGAGAGAGAGAGAGACAGCAATGAGAAAAGGAAATGAGAATTTGTGTAACAAGTTCAATGTTCACACGACGCGCGGGGCTTTGTTTTGTTATTGATAATCAATTTTGTCAACGGACCAAACAGCCTTGACATCAATAATAATTGTAAAAGGAAGTCAAGTTTTTTTGAGCGCATGTAATTAGGTTAAAAACCAGTTTAATTCTTTGTCAAACAACACTTTCTTTCTATGCATGTGTATGCGTGTCAGTGTGTGTGAGTACGGCTTTTGTGTGCCTGTCTGTGTGTACGTGGTTAACACGCATAATACTTTTGTAATTTTCATAAAATTTGGTCGAGTTTCGTAATGTTGCACTTTGGAGCTGAGCTAGGCACTTGGCACACTATGCGCCACACAAATAATCATATTGAGTTAAGTTTGACAACCAGCCGCACCCTTGGCGCATCACTTATTGGAGGGGTTAGTGTTAATTTTGATGTGCGATGAAAAAACAGCAGACATGACAATCTGATTTTGCACTACGTGGACACACACACATTTCTGTTTGGCCCTTTTTGTGTATTTGAATTGCACGTTGCTCTGCTTAACGGTTTACAGTTCGTTTGGTTGTGGAGCGGAACGCATTGTGTGTAACACTCTGTATATATGCATTAAATGCACTTCTTTCGTTTATTATATTAGCGAGTTATTATTATTTATTACTTTTTCTGCACACGTTGTATCGAATCGTTCGGAATAAGTTCAATCGAACGACTCACTAAACTGAACGAACGTTTGTCGTTCATCTAGTTCGATAGCCATATGAAATTAAAAAACTTTACAGTTTGCGTGCTGTTATTAACAGCGTGCTTCAATTAAGTTTTTAAAGCGCAATTTGCTGGGTCGTTTTGGAAGCAGAACAGTGCTGTTATTTCTATTTGCTCGAAGCTTAGTATGATCATTTAGAATCCATCTGTTTGCCGGAATTTTTGTAGGGCTTATTTAAAATATATTCTCTCGATATTTATCTATGTGCTTGCTTATCGATATGTTTAAAAGTCAACCATGTCAAATCAAGCAAAGTTGGCTGCGGTTCATCAATGAACATCCAGCGGAGTCAGTGGAACTTTCGAATTTCGCTTTACAACACTGTTGAAGGGCGCGCAAAAGTTGCTTGTTTAAACCTACTCTTGGTTTTATTTAATATATTTTCTGTACAAAAAAGCTGTCATAATATGGAAAATTTTATTAAATTTTGCTTTATATATACCCTTAGGAAAATTCTGTAAATATATCTTTATTTTATGGAATACATGAAAATGCAAAGTAAATATATATAATATTTTGAAATTTCAACATTCTATCGACTTTAGTCAAATGTTCGCATCTTCTGCAAAATAATATCTTCCACCTGGACGCCATCGGGTGTATCGAGCGCATAGAGAACTGCTTTGGCCACATCGTCTGCCTGCAGTTTGGGCAATTCATCGACAGCCTGTGAGTAAACATTGAGAAAATCTGTGTCCACCATGCCTGGACAGATGCTCTGCGATGCGGGCCCAAAACACAAAACCAAAAAAAAAAAATAAATGAAAAAGAAGACGCGTCACAATTGTTTGCATATCGCGTGGTGTGCATCCCAAACCAGACCAGCAACCCCACACTTGGGTGCAATGTTTGCATTGCATTTAACTTACCGTTAATTTAATATTTAATTTGAGAAAATGTATTTCCTGGCGCACCGTCTGGCAAAGTGCTGTAATTGCATGCTTCGTGGCCGGATAAACGCTGAATAAGGGCACCGGCACTTCCGGTATGCGATGTCCAAGCACGCTAAGTGACAAGCGAAGGGGGGTAGAGGGTAAAGTACGCATGAGGTTGGGTAAATAAATAAAGTCAGTCAATGTTGCTACGCAATGTAAGCCCACTCGAAAAACAACAGCAAACGAGGAAAAACAAAAATAAATGAAAAGCAAAAAGATGATGGTCAACAGCTGTCGTAGCGTTTGCTGCGAATGAAGAAAAGCAGGCGCTACTCCTCGCCAGATAGGCGGACAGGACCTCATTCTGCAGAGAGCAACGCCGAACTGTCGTTGTGCATTTTATGCAAACATTGCGTAAACTTCTTTTAATTTGACAGTGCTCCTGAGGCAGTTGCCAGTTGAGTGTCGGGTGGGGGGGGCATTAAGTGCAAACAGCGGTTCGACGCAGTGGAAGCATCCTCCGAGCACTTCCTCTAGCACTTTTAATTAATGAAGTCTTAATAATATTGCATTGACATTAAGCGAAATCCGTATGGATTGCCCATTGCCACGCCCACACGCCCGTTCATTGGCAACGCGCCGACACGCATCTGGGCCATCTTCTGTCACATTTCCTTTGTTTGTTAACGACGCTAGCCGAATTATATGAATATTCTCATTAATTAACGTTGCAACTCGCCACTTTTCCTTCTGATGTCCTGCATTTCGCATTCTCCGATTTTCACATTTGCTGAATTGTATTTGATTACAGTGGGCATTCTCGATCTGATTACTTTCTGCAGCTTTCGTTGCTCATTAAAATTGTATAATTAAATTCGTATGCAAACAATGCAATCGTTCTGCTCCGCAAAATATATCCAGTTAGTCTATCTACCTTTAACCATAATTATTCATATGAGTTATGGTTCTTGAGTTATGTGTCTTTGACCTGAATTCAGTTTGGGCTTATGCAAATTGTTCTACGCAAATGCAAAAAGGCAGAAAATGTAGTATTTGCCTTAATAAATTACACTGTGCAAGAGTGAAAGAGCAAATAAATTTGTTTGCATTAACTAAAACTGTACTTCTATGAAAGAAACACAATTTGTATAACTTTTTTTTAAATAATATATTTGCTTGTAATTTAATCTTTATTTTTCACTTTTTGAGTTTCTGTGCAACATTTAGATACTGCTTTAGGCATTCTTCAATTGGCGAAAGCGGAAAACATTCAGTTTTCAATTTTAAACTATTCAATATTAATATATTATAATATTGGAATTGGTACTTCGAGTAATCAAACAAAGTGTCAGATATTTGAAATAGATTCAACTTCAAACCTATCTGCACAGTGTAATTGTGTATGGATTGGCAGTTGGCATACTCATATCATATAAATTATTACACTCGAGTTGAATCTTTTGATTGCAACGAGCTGCTTTCGCTTTGAGTATATTCAATTCAATAATTTACATAATATTCAGCTTGAATTGTTTGACAGAGTTTTGCATTTGCTTGCAGTAAATGTTCAATTTGGCAATTATTTAATATACTCATCTTTAAATGTGTATAATACTAAATTGTGGGTGTATGGGTGTGTCTGTGTGCGTGTGTGTTTTGTGCGTTTGTTTACTTTCACAAGTAATTTGCATTAAAAGGAAATCAATGCAATTTTCAATTAAAGCCAAAGCGCGAATCAAACGATGCGAATTAATGCGCAACATTTTGATTTTAAATGCGTTGCGCATTGGTATTAATGAAATCAACAACACACAAATGGGTGTGTGAGTGTGTGTGTGTGTGTGTGTGATTGTGGGATGCTGTTCAATGCAAAATACTTAATTATGTTGAATAATTGAGTTCTTGTTGCTGCTTGCGCAAACACTTTGGCCGTGCAAATGCAAAGCTTTTAATGCACACGACAACCACAAAACAGCAGCAACAAAAACAGCAAAAACAACAACCAAAAGAAAACAAGAGCAAGCTTCTCTGCGGGAATTTCAACATTTAAATATCAATAAATGCGTTGTTTGTGCGATGGCTTTTAATTTAATTTAAATAACGTGCCAATGGTTTGTGCTCGCACACACACACGCTCATGTTGCCAATGTGAATATAATGAAAAATGCATGCAGTGAACAACACTGGTAGTCGCACTATTTGCACTTTAATTAGGGGCCCCATACACGAGCAGACGTAAGCACATAATTTTGGCAAATATTTTGCCCCTCAAGGCAACATTCAGTCGGTTGTTTGTCCATTGCAAGCAGCTGCTATAAAGCAAATGCATATGCAAATCACTTGTGTGAGTGCATTGTGCAGATGTATGACCACCAATTTAAGCCTAGCCCCAGTTTTGATATTTTAGCTGCACAAACATCACTTACAAAATGATAACAAACTTTGTCTCTCTCTCTCTGATTCTCTCTCTCGGCTTAGCGCTAATTGTGGTAATGCTCTAACGCAGTCGGGCCAATTTGGAAGCCAATTTATTATCATTTGTTTAGTCAAGTCTATTGGTTTTGTGAGATGGTGGCATTTCAATAGCATCATGGCCTACTTAATTATCAAAACCTAATTTACAAGCTCAACAAACGGGCCGACAATTCCATTCAAATAATTTCAATTTACATCAAGCATTGTACAACACTTTAAAACGAGGAAATATTTGCGTAAATCGATTGAATTTGAAAATGTACTTTTAGCATTCCTCTAATTGGGCATCCTTAATACTTATTTTCTAAAAAAATGTACAAAATAAGAGATGTTGTTACCAAAAATAGAAGGCTATGTATTTCAAAAGAAATAAATTAAATTAAACAAAATATAATATAAGATGCCCTCATAGAAATTAAGATGATTAATATGAATTGTGATATTTACCTGTTAATTACCACAATGTGGCAGCGCACCTTGCTGATCGCCATCTGCTTCAGGGACTCCCTTAAGCAGCTTGCCGTGGCGACCACATTCAAATCGAACAGTTCCTTAATATCCTTGGTGGGTGATTCTAAAGGAATTACTGCAGTTAACTTGGATACTCTTTTATTTACATTAGTCGATTTTACCACTTAGAAAGTTGGCTTTCAATATGCCCGCATTGCAGATGAGCACATGAATGCAGTGGAAACGCTCCCATATCCAGCGAAAGCTGCTGATCAGCTGCTCATCATCGCTGAGATCACATTGACGCCCAAATATCTTACCCTCGCCAGTCACTTGAGCGTTGAGTGCCTGCCATGGCAATACTTAAGACTCTTTTTAAGACTCCAACCGACTGCTCACCTCGATGAGTTCTGCACGTCTGGCGAGGCCCACCACAACCATGCCGGCATTGGCCAAGGTAATAGCTGTGCTCGCTCCAATGCCCATCGAAGCGCCAGTGATGATGGCCACCTTGTTGCGCCAGTAGAACTTCTCCATGCCGACCAAATCTGAACTGATACTTAGATAGATGGCTAGTAAAGTGGCAAATACCGCTCGCTATGGAGATGACCTGACAGCTTCGTGTGCTTGCCGCAAACTGATCTCTAGGAAGCGGTTTTCTATCGTCAGCAGCTGCGATTGCCACTCAATTGTGGCAGCTCAGTCGGCTTTGCTTTGCTCATTCGCTGCGATTGACTTTGTGGACTTGCAGTTATTGCTTTTAATTATTCGCAATTTATGTCTATCTTATTGTGATGCACTTTAAATCCGGTCGCCAGCTAGAATTTCTTTCAGAACGTTGCACTCGAAGCGGGTCTGTTGCAGCGGATATGTTGTAGCAGTTACCCTGTCTAAAATACCCTGTAATTTAAAATATTTTAAGTCTAGAGTCGTTTAATATTTATTTATTGAATAAGGCTAAAAGCTGTACACATTTTGTTTCTAAATAAAAATGAAAGTGACATATTAAATTATATATAATTAAAAGTGAGTAATTAAATTTAAAATGTGAAACAAATTAAATTAAAGTATTTACAATATTTGGGGGTAATAAAATGTGAAATGGTCCAACATTCATTACAAGAATTGGGGAATCCCAGAAAAAACCTTAGCTTAGTAATATGGAAAATATAAAATTAGCAAGTAAGAGAGAAAGAGAGATATAAAGAGTGACATGGAAATTAAAGAAAAGATTTTCAAATCTCTAAGTCTGTGAAATCTGTGGTATCTCGATTCAATTACCAAATATATATTATGATCTAAGTTTTAAAATTGAAATGATAAATGTTTCTAACTAAATGCAAGGTATTTCCTAGTCAGACTCTCTTGAATTAAGCCTACTTACGTGTTTTATCTTACTTATCCATTACTGCGGTTGTTCACTATAAATTTGATATAATCCGCCATTCAAATTTCATTTTGTGGCTTCGGATACGGTGTCTCTCTCTTGCGGCTTTTGCATTTTCTTATTATATCACGTTTATTTCAAACGACGACTAAAAATGTATTACATTTGAAATCACAAAAATTATTTGCTACATTTTTAAACCAATTGTTTTTTAGTTGTTTGTTGTTGCTTTAGTGCCCACTGTAGCCAGACCAATTATTTACCCGTAATCAAATGTTTGTATATTGTGTAAAAGTATTCAGAAAGTGGTTGATAATGTCATCAGCCTGAAACATCTTGAAACGGTTGCATTCATGCGTCAAACCTTATCATATTTTTGTGTATTACTCAACAGTAGCTTCGGTTTCAGCTGCCTATCGCATTCTTATGGCTTCCCATCAACAACTTAACAGAACAGCATTTCTTGCCACGCCCGGTTGCATCTAGAGCCGAGCAAACTTGTTTTGCTGTCAAGTAAATCAAAATTGATATTTATCAACATGCTCAAAATAACCCTTAAATTATACCAGACTATTAGATACTTTCCTTAAATGACATTCTGCTAAATGTTTGAAAATCATAAATAAATCTAAATATTTAATGTAATGTAATTATTTATGTAAAAAACAAACTTAAAATGAAAAGCTTTAAATTGCATAAAAGTGACATGGCTTCAGTAATTTTGGCTTCAACTGTGGAAAATCGTATTTAATCTTTAACTTTTGGATACGATATTGAAAGTAAAGTATTTGGATGGGATGTGGTTAGGATACAGATGTACAGATATATGTATATGGATAGGAATTATATGTGATATGCAAAAATTAATAGGAAATCGATCGGGGAAATCAAACCTGCTATTATATTTGATAAATACATATCAAATTAAGTAAAGCTACTCTGTATGGTTGGATATGCACTTAGAATAATATACCCATTGGCAAAAAATATATTGGGTATAAATTGTGTGCAACGAGAGTAAAGTTGAGTTAAGCGACAATTGTAAAATGCAAAATACAATTCAAAAATGAATCCAAACTTGGATTGTTGTCAATGATGCAGCGTTGCAGATGACAGCAATAAAATGCAGGTGCTGCATCATATCACAAACCGATGTCATATCTGAGCCAAGTGGTCCTTTGTGTGGCAAGCGATGCTGTTCAGTTTAAGCCCAGTACAGTAGTTGACCAGGCTGTTAACGAATAAAATCTATACAACTACAATATTGGCCTGCTCGTAAAAATAACTTTGATTCGGCGACAAATGATAAGAATACTGGGGGCAATATAAAATCGCCGCTTGGTATTCAATTTCGTGGTTGTGGCATGGGGCAACAACGTTAAGTGACACCGCACTACCACACTGCACCACAGTTATCAAAATGGCAGGCATTTAAGCCATACAAAAGCCCAATTGCAAACATTTACAATGCACTGCACTTTCCCTCGCCCGCTTCTCAACACTCTTTGCCCAACGAAATTGATAGAAAATTGGCAGCCAAAGTGTTTTTAGTTTTGCTACAATTTAGTTTTTTTTTGTTTTTATTACTTCGCTTTTTTTTGTATTTATTGGGTCGCTTTTGGTGCCGCCAAATAAAACACATGAATGGAAAAGGCGCACATCGTGCTGAAATTTATTGTTGCATACTTTTCGGCTCAGCACTCTGGTATGCAAAAATAAAATTGTGTTGCCACATGTTGGGGCATGATGCTGTTGGCATTATTTATTTTTCGGTTAAACCCAAATATGCATTTTTCATGGGCCCGCCAAGCGATTTTTTTTGGTTGCAGCCCCATCCGCAAAAGTTGTTTCTGTTGCATTCCCTTTTAATTGTAATAACATTTGTTGCGCACACGATTCAAATTGCATTTATGTTTGCCAATTGGCCCTGAGATGTGAGCTGCTGCCGCTTCTGCTGGCTTGGCTTTTTATATTTTCGCTTTCACAATCTAATAAAAAGCTCACTCGCAGTTCGCTCCCTGTCACAAAATAAATGTAAACAATGCCAGAACAGGACAGAACAGAACAGAGCTGAAGAGAACAGAACAAACGAACTCTGCTCGTCGTGTGTCGAAACGGGGCCAAATTAAATTACAAACTTTTCTTTTAAGCAAGCAGTTTAATTGAATTGCTTCATTCCGCACTGCCAACAGAGGGAATTCATATATATATATATATATCTATATATATATATACCTATATGTATGTATATGGGTAAATGTATATATCCATGCAACAATTGTACTTGTGTTTTTATTGCATTTGAATGTGCGCAGAGAAATATAAGTTTTCGCATGCATAACAACTAGCGACAGAACAGAAAGTTTGCAATTGTAAGATATCTAATTTCAACTAAAGAACAGCCTTTCTCAAGAGTTTAGAGTGGAAATAACATTTAAAATTTAAATTAAATCAATTCACCGCTAATTTTGCAGAATAATTCAGAATAATTTATTATTTGTCACGCAAGGTTAATGTTGAAAAATTAGACCAAACATTTTTAAATATTAGTAGCTTACAATTAATGAAAATTATACGTAATGATGGCAGAGAGAAAGAGAGGCATAATTTGATTTAAGGGAGAGATAGAGTTCCACCGAGAGTAAGGCATTGTAAGATTATGTCTGTATGTCTGTCTTATTATTTTTTAGGTTTTGGAAATTGGCACAAATACTTTGAAATTCTGTAATTACGTAGCGTAAGAGTTAAGTCTAATAAAGAATAATTTGTTTGCAACTAACAATTAATCAAACGTGATTGTAAGAATTTAATTAAGTGGCACGCCCAATGTTAGACAACTGCATAATTGACACGTAGACAATAGACGACGATTAAATAATTATTTGAGGCACGCGTGTGCCACAAAACTATATATATAAAATACATAGACAAAGGATCTGTCAGCTGACAGGGATGTGCCGAAGAAGCAACCTAAAACTATGCAAACAATTTTAATGTTAAGTGCCAGCCGGTGTTAGTGGTTATTGTTGTTGTTGCTTGTGTTGTTTGTGATGCTGTTGTTTTTATGCAGAGACAACTTTTGATTAAATTAAAATTTATTTTAATTAAACAAGCGTCGCAAATGTCTCATTTACGCTTCGATGATGCGACAGGCGACTGACGGACAGAGGGACAGACGGACGTGCCAAGCATATTTCACTGCCTGTATCTGTGTGTCTGGGTGCGTATCTGTGTGTATGTGTGGCTGCAACAAAGTTGCTTTATTGCTCGCATGTTTTGCGGTCTGCTGACAATTTACACCATCCACAAAATTGTTGGCAGCATTTTTTGTTTGCCTATGAAAAACAATAATAGCAACAACTGCAGCTCAAGCTGGTGCTACCTGTTTTGCCATTTTCCCGTCAAATCTAGCCATTTTTATTAGCGTTAGAAATAGTAAGTAACTTGCAGTGAATTTTAGCCTTTTCTATACAAAGTTTTGCGGCATTTCAGCTTTGATGGATTTTTAAAACAAATATAAATATCAGTTTCTTTTAGCAAAATGTAAAAAACCATCACCTTTAATTTTGTATAATTTATAGCTGTAAGTAAATGGCTAGTGAATATAATTTAAATAGAAAAGTCAAATGGAAAGGCTGGAGATGGCCAAGTGAGGGGCTCATTACAACACTCATACGACAAATTCAACGGTAACGAATTCGAATTGCCGTAAAATCTGCCAATAAAATACTAATATTAAAGAATAATATAATTAACAAAAAGGTTCTGTGTATCGTTACAAAAAAAAAACACCCAGGACATAACACATATTTATTTTATAAAAATTTGTGTTTGAACAATAGGGTGAGCTACCCTTTCTAAAATGTATTTTTTATTTTGGGACTATTTATTTGTATTTATGCGAGTTTTTAACGGGAGTCCACGATACGCCTCTAGGATCATATAGTAAAAGCGGCCAATCCATTACTGACCTCAAAAGCCATTGGAATGTTTAGATCTCATTTTAATTTGAATTTATTATCAACTAGGCTGAAGATTAAAAGTTTTGATCTTAAGGTTTAGAGTTTAAGCTTAGACAACATAATATTTGAGCTAAAGTTAAAGTAATGTATTACAAAATATATATAGTGTTTAGTCCATAGTCTACAAGCTAGCTCTTTTTGTTGGGCAAAACTTGGCAACATTGCTCACAACTATTTAAGGCACACTTGTCCCAAAAACTATGTTTACCATTTGTGGCTAAAACACAAAAAACTAAATGACGCAGCATGCAGCGTGGGATGGGCGAGGCAACTAAGTGACAGCAAAAATGTCCAAATGTCCCCCTCCTGCGCTTAAGTGCATCTAATTAGCCT